GCCAACATATCCTTGCAAAAGACACACTGAAACTATACATGGGTGTACGTAATATATATATATATATATATTTTGTGTACGTATAGTATATATAGTCGATAACAATTAATAAGTTAATTAGCTCTACATGTATGAGTTATACGTCTTTAATTCAATATATGTTTGTAACCCAAAAAAGAAAAAGGATCAATTTGTAAATAGGGAAATGGTAAACATAACGAGATTGATCATTGATATATCTTCACTCATACACTTTTTTTTTTCTTTTTGAAAAGAAAAAGGAACAAAATTTGCAACAATTAATTTAGTTTTCATTAGCAGTAACGAACTAATTACGAGTTGAAAGACTTGAAGAATGCTTGGTTTGAATTTGAGTTTAGTTTCAACAGGATATTGTACCGGCCGTTAGGCTGTATATTGTAATAATGTACATCTTTTATTCAAAAAATATATATTATATTGAATTAAAAAATAACACAAGAAAATGAATCATTTGTTTGGAACGTTTGGACGGTATTATAACAAACTAATCTTTTCACATTGGGGGAGGGGAATGTATGAGTTATTTAGCAGGTTTTTTATTTTTATTTATTTATGTTATTAGTAAAACGGCTTTTGATTGAATATGATGGACGCCAACACTAGCTTTAGCTTGCTAGATAGGGTAGGTAGGTTTTTAATTCAGACATACGCATAAAATTTCGTGCATGATTATGGTGCAGTATACTAAATTGTAGTAGTAAATTATTTTGATGTACTATGATATTCTTATGTTGAAGAAGTAGATTATAAGGTGAAAATTGATTGAGCGTAACTTGTGAATAAAGTCTCTGCAGCATGCTTGCATGATTATGGTTGATGTACTCGGCCCTCATTGCGGATTTTCGGTAGATGGACAGTTTTTACATAGAAGTTTAATAATTAACCTTTTACCATATGATGATCATTTACCGAATTAATAATTCGTATAGTACGAAGAGCTGAATTTATTTTGTTCATAAATTCATCCCACTAAAACCATTAATGACTAAGTTATTTAAGATAAATCAATATTATCGTGGCATTAAAGGACGCATAGTTCCATCTCGAGGGGAAAAAGGTACAATGAATCACATCTTGTGTATTATTATTACTTTCCTCCATCTCAAAATTATTCATCTTATTACTACTAGTTAAAATTCAAACTGAACAATAATTTTGGAATAGAGTGAGTATATTTACATAAGTTTCAGAGTTCAGACTGAATGCTAGTAATGTTTAGACGCCATCTGGTGAAGGAGTATACAATACATATTTAGGAAACAAAGGAAAAAAGAAAAAGAAAATGAAGAACTGAAAACGATTTATGGAAAAATAACTATGCACTTGATTTGTTAATGTCAATGTCACAGATAAGCAACTCGCACCAAAAAACGTGATATGGTCACAAGACGAGAGCTGCTTATGTAACTCCTAACCTAAAGTAGTTAAATATGTAAAAAGATCCATTAACAATTAATACCCTCTTTTGGTAAATAGAATTTGGACGCCTAAGGAAACATTAATGTAGTACTAATTGATTATCCGATGCTCCAATAATAATAATTCAGGACAGCGACCTAATTGTTACATAAGCTCGTGGAGTTTTCACCTCAAAACCAATTGGTAATGAGGGGAGTAATCCATAAAATTTATATATATTGATACTCAGAGTCTCTCAATACGGACATGGGATTGAGACTCTTTTTTAACAAGAGTGAACCTCAAAACAAGTCATCAACCTTTAATATATTTCCACTCTAGGTCATCAATTAAATTTATTTGTAGCATAGGTTACCTACTAAAGTTTTAATCCATTTCAGATTATTCTGTTAATTTTGGCCGTTAAATAGTAACGGAAATCTATTTTTCACATGTTTTTGGGTTCAGGGGTATTTTTGTCATTTTATTATTTATTATTTTTTAATCTTTAATTTTTTTTTACAATTCTTCTTCTTATACTTCCTAACTTGTAAAAAACAAGGAAAAAAATTAAAAGATTAAAAAGTAAGAAAATGACAAAAATACCCCTAAACCAAAAAACATGTGAAAAATAGATTTTCGTCACTATTTAACGGTCAAAATTAACAGAATAATCTGAAATGGATTAAAACTTTAGTAAAGTAACCTGTGTTACAAATAAATTTAATTGATGATCTAAAATGGAAATATATTAAAGGTTGATGACTTGTTTTGAGATTCACTCTTTTAATAATTGTGAGGCTAGTCCTTTTGGATTGGATTTTCTTGCCATTGGCAGAGTTCTCACCAACTTGAGAAGAATCCAGTTTTGCTACTGGTTGATCATTCAATATTTTTGTTTCAATTTTTTTGAATTAAGCATTAGTTTTTCTGAAACAAGTTCTAAATATCAATCCATAAGTTCGCAGTAGTTTTATAAAACTGGTCCAACAATTTCTCTGAAAACTGTGATATTGAAAATGTACTAATAATTTGGAGACAATAATACTCTCCGAAACACGAAGGCCTCACAAAGTGACAAACTATACGACAGCCACAAACAAAAAGGTCTCAAAAAATGTGGGACACAAACATGAAAATGGACACTCGGACACAGACAGCGCAGGAGATACTCCTCCTTTCCAGTCTTTTAGAGTCCAAAGCCTGAAATCCAAATCTTTTAGGCTGAGAGAGTCCGTGAGTGCGAGATAGATTGTTACGGTCTGCCCCTTTTTATTTACTACTACTAGTATATATAGTTATATACTACTCCCTCCGTCCCATAATTATTGTCCACTTTGCCTAAAAAATTTTGTCCCAAAATTATTGTCTAATTTGACTTTTTATGGATCAAGTTACACATTTGTCCTTAGTAAAAAACATTATCCATAAAATCTTAGTGGTTAAACAATTACTTATGTAGGGGTATATTTGGTTATTTAAGGTAAAATATAGTTAAGTTTGACTAAAAATAAAATCTTTCATTTTAGTAAAACTGGACAATAATTATGGGACGGAGGGAGTACTTCTTCGTTTGGAATTTTGGATTTTTATTTATAAACTATATTTTTAAAATTAAAAATTTAAATGTGATAACAATTTTGGAACAAAAGCGGTACATAAGTATTTGCAAAACCTCTAGCAATTCGAGCTTGACCCTAATGAAAAAACAAATATCCTTATTTACACAGATGAAAATCCAATAAATAATTATTTTGGAACAAAAGTGATACATAAGTATTTGTTTTAGAAAAATTTGCTACTGCTCCATGCTCAACATCTCAGGGTAAGAATTCATTTTAGTCCAGTTAAAAATAAAAGAATGTGAATGAACACAACCTGAAAATATATAATTTGGTCATTCATTCAACCCAAGTTTCAAAATATCTCTGTCGTCATTTCATCGGATACATCTATGCTCGACGTTAGTAATTGCCAACGTAGGTTTTAAAGGTTTTAGCACTTGAAACTCAGGACTCAGGAGCATTAAAATGAAATCAAAGGTACAAAGTAAAAGTGTGGTAGTATCAGGTGATTTTTTTCTTCTCTTTTTACCATTCAAAACGGAAGGGGAGTACGGCCATGAATATGATTACACCTATCACAAAGTGGAAATCTGAGAGGGACAAAACCAACAATAACCATACTCATCATCATCATCATGCATTTGAAGCCGGGCATCCTATGACTTCGACTTTGCTTCATCGATCATGGAGATTAACATTTGAAGTGGGGAGGTTCTGAGTTTTGACACCCATTAGGCCCCTTTTTCTTTGTGTGTTTACATCATTCCAATGTAACATTGCTGGATCACTCACTCCTCAGTCAACTGAGTCAAGTCCTCGATCCTAACAGAGATGGGCTTGCGATTCAATGTTATTTGCGAGACTCCGTATCAAACTGTAAAAAGCAGTTTCACTCCTAAGTCCTGAATAAGGCTGGAACCTTAATGAAACCCATGCTCACCATGTTTGCTAGTTTGGGTATGGTCCTTAAGGGACCGGAAACTAGGAACATTCAATTTCCAATCTTCGGCCCAATATTGTGCATTGAAATGAAAATTGATAGTGAGACCCCCCCCCCCCAAAAAAAACAAATTAACACTCCCTCTGTTCCTTACTACAAGGTATCTTGATTTGTTGTAAGTTTCACTTTTGTACATTTTTAATTGATAAAAAAAACTTTAAAAAAATTTTATAACAATTAAGAGAACACAACGAATGTGAAAAAATATTTTAAGATTTTTTTATCAATTAAAAATATGTAATAGATGAAATTTATGACAAATCAAAATGTCTTATATTAAAAACCGGAGAGAGTAACAAACAGGTCATAGTCATGTAAATTGTTCTGTGCCAACTTACCAAACAGACTACGCAACCAACATTTTATTTTAAACATTCACGTCCATTTTTTGCGTGGACTCTCCTAATACAATAACAAATTTGACGATAGCAAAAATTTTCTTGTAAACATTTGTGTCGACGTTTATGTCGACTTTCTTAACTCGATGATAATGCTGACAAAAGAAAATCTTACTTAAAACATTCACATTGATTTTTTCTTCAACTTTCCTAATTCGATAACAAAATTAGCGAAATAAAAAATTCTCCCGTAAATAATCATCGACATTTCTTAATTGACGATGAAGTCGACTACAACAAAATTCACTTAAAAATATTGGCATTTTTTCTTATTCGATGATAACGTCATGAAAGAGTACTCTTTTATGCATGACATCAAATGAATTTCTCAATATTTCATAGCCATCAATTTTTTCTTCCAAAAAATCACGAAAATTCAATGGCTATATCTTATCTTACATGTTTTTAAAACTCGAGAATGTTATAGAAATTAACAACGTAAGAGTAGATTGGTCCAATATGTTTTGATATTACTTTTCCTTGTTGCATTATGAAACAACAAACAAAAAGGAAAATGAAGAATACATAATCCTTTCATATATAAAAAAAGTTAAATATTATTCACAAAAAAAAAGGAAAAAGAAAGTTATTTTGGTAAATGTATAATGCATAATAATACCCTTTGAAGTTATTCTAGTAGGTAACAAAACTACAGTGAATACCATTTGACATTTTATAGACAACCATTAAATGCCAATTATCAGATAGATTTATAATTTTAAGAAAGAATGAAAAAAAAAACGAATTTTTAGAGAAGAAGAATAGTAATAAAATAAATTGGATTATGGTAAATCCCAATTAAGGACGATACTAATTTAGCGTAATCCTGAAATTCAATCATCACCTACCATCTTTCATTCATCACCAAATTCATCAACGAATTATGAACCTTCTTCAATTCATCGTCCCTTAGAAATCCCATGAATTCCTCCTCCGCCGCTCCCTATATGTATCCCGGCAGACAACAACAGGAACACCACCCGCCATAGTAGTAGTCAGTAGTAGCGTGTGAGTGTGTGTATTATGAGCCGTAGCTCTCAGAATTTGAAAGGATTGTTCGTTCCCAGGCCTCCCCGTTATTCTCCCGCTCTTCCTCCTCCTCCGCCGCAATTCGGCGCTTACACCACCGCCTCTTCCTTCTTACTCCTCCGGAAAGCCAGTACTACCCTGGTCTCCTTCCTCAAGGGTTTTGCTTCTAAAACCCTTCGTTTCTTGTATTCCTCTATGGAGTATCCCTCACCGTTCACCTTCCCCGGGGGCACCAACTACTCTTTTGATCGTTATGAAAACTCCTCTTCTTCGTCCCCCATTGGAGAACCCCTCTTTTTGGTCTCCCTCAGGTACTAACAAACTCCCGCCTACTCTTGCTTCCCTTTTTTATCCGCTGTCGTTTTACTGGATGATTTTTGGTGATTCTGCTGCTTGCTTGTCCTAGTCCAACCTAATTTTTTTTTTTTCTTTTTCGTTATTGGTTGTTGGTTTAGTTATTTGCAAACGGTGTCGCTTTTTATTTACTTTATTTTATTTGGTGGGAAATTTTGAGAAACTCAGGTGGTGGGATGACGTCAAAGCCGCGGTGACCGGCGGGGAGATTTTTGGAGTTCAGTATAATGTGACCTCCTCCGTCAGAAAGAAGAAGCTCGATAAGAATGGCTTTTCAGCGGCGGTGGAGTCGGAGATTGTTCTTGGCATGAACAGAGCAGACGAAGCTGCGAATGGCACCGGTTATGGGGATGGAGATCTTCATATTGCATTGCTTCCTGAGTGGATGTTTTTGAAAGCTTATAAACGGTGAGCCTTAATGGTGCAATCGTTTTCTGTATTAAAATTAAGTTTTGCATGCCTTTGCTGCCGTATTGTTCATTTATTGTTATTATATTATTTAATTTCCGTTTGCTTCTTGTTGCGGCATATTGATATTGTCCTTATTGGTGTCTATTATTGGGTTGTGTGCATCTATTCTTTTTGTGTTGGTGATTCTTCACTTGTTGAAATTTTGGAGGTAAGAATCATCTTTCCATGATGGATTAGAGGAGTTTTAACTGACCCTTTTCGCTTACCAATTTGGTGTAGGGATCTTTCATTTCTTTGTATCTGTTTTATAATCACTTGACAGACGAGTGTGGAATAAGGACTCGTGCCCATTGTTCTGGTTACAAACTAGATGGCTCCTCTGTTTGACTTTTGAATTTCTTGAGTTATGCTGTTAAGCGTTGTAGTTAAATTGCTGCTTTGAGCTACCATTTGCAAATATTATTGACGATAAAATTTTGAATCTTCATTGCTCTGTGGTAATGACTTCTTTTAAAATAGGTAAAGAGTACGAATATGATTTTTTTTTTCTCTCCTACGCAAGTGAAGTGTCGTGTTGTTTTGGCAGCTTTTCTTTATTTTTTCTTCTTTCTTGTAGGCACAATGATGCAAAGGATGCTGAAAATCCGGGAGTGCTAGTGTACATGCCAGATTTGTTCTCCCTAAAAATCCGGCTTTCGTTTTCATGTACAACACATTCATTGCTTATCAGGATCAACCAAAAGGTTCTATTTTGAATCTTTTGTCACTCCATTTGCCTTGCCTCTCTTCCGCACGTTGATGTGGTTTCTTTCTTCTTCTTACTTTATTGTCAATTGTTCATGATGATTGATCGGGTATAAAAGGAATTCTCACTTAGAATAAATGTACTTAAGTTTTTACCAATCAGTGTTTCTTACGATAAAACCTTGATCTGATTGTTAGCATCTGTGTTCTGCAATATTGCCATGATTTCCTGTAACCTTTTCAGCTCTCGCCAAAACTTTCTTCTGTTGTAATTACTTTGTTAATGATTTATAGATGACTTTCCGTTGAACTTTATAACTAGGTATGCTTACTAGTTACTTGTATAGAGTGGTCCTTTCTGCTTTAGAATTCTAATATTATTTGTTGGATGCGCTTTCTGTTATGGATACCACTTTTAGCCTTTTGCATGTGTTGATTTAAAATTCTTTCTGTTTCTAGGACAACGAGGATAGAGCTTTTGATCAGGCCGCCAGTATTTTTGCCGTTGAGTCTGGCTTGGTAAGCTAAGTTTTTTCGCAACTCCCTGTCCCTAAGGAGGGCAAAGAGCAGTTGGTTCACCTTCGTTATCTGTTACATGCAGTTTGATATTTGGGATTTTTCGTCGGAGATAAGCCAACTCTTTACAATAGACAAGAAGTTGGTCAGAGATCTGGATCAGCCAGAAGCAGAGGTGAGTGAATAATATTTACCTTTAAATTACTCATAGAAATGCTAACTCATATCTGGTTACCATATGCCTAATAGCCTTTCCATGTAGAGCTTTTGTCATATAATGCTCATCGATTGTAAAAACAGAAAAAAGCTCCTCTCGAGGTTAATGAAGAGAGTTCAAACTTCATGTTCCCTATTCACTATAAATCTCACAATCTGTTTTCCTCTGACTAGTAAAAGCCACTTCAAAGTACTGCAACTTTCTTGGGGTTTGAACCTAATCAGTTTTAATGCAGTAGGTGATGCAGTTACATGCTGCTGAAGTTTATACCACTGCTGTAGAAATTCTATTTGATTCTCACATGAAGGTTTTCTGTAACTTACGCGATTTTGAATGTCAATTTGCCTGTCAGTTACGTTATAAATCCTTCTTTTTGTTTTTTTTTTTTTTGCAAGTGCGGGTGCGCATGTGTGGCTGCAAGGTTAATTTTTTGTGCACATAAAGTATTCCCTCATTGGACAAGTTCTGATGCTGAACGCTTAAATTGTTAAGACTCTTAAGTGTTTTATATTCTTGAATGCAATATTCAGAAACAGGAAAAATAGTTATAATCAAATGGTATTTACATTAGTTACTTACCTAATTTGCATCTTTTTTGCCTGACAAATTAAAATTTTCAGCAGTTTCGGGACTTGCAAATTTATGGGCTTGTTGAGGCTAGAGAATTTAGAAGGGAGAAGATGATGACGTATCCATCGACAACTATAGCTCCCACTTTCAGAAAGTCATTAACAATTAATGGGAATGTGGACAATTCAATATCTAAGCAGTTTGCTCGAGTTGATGTTAGCCATAATACTACTTGTACTTTGGGCTTGACTGGATTGTACAATCTGAAGAATACGTGTTTTATGAATAGCGTTATCCAGTGTCTGGCTCATACTTCAGAGCTTGTTGACTACTTCCTCGGAGATTTCCGGAAAGAACTAAATTTTGGTAATCCCTTAGGAATGAATGTAAGTGAAGTCTATAATTCCTTTGAATCTTGTTCTTTCGCATTTATTTGCATCTTCTGAAATTGATACTGCTACATGCGACTAATTTCAGGGAAAGCTTGCACTAGCATTTGGAGAATTGGTGCGGAAACTTTGGACACCAGGAGCTAAACCTGTGGATCCATCGGAATTGAAGTCTGTAATATCTGCCTTTGCACCTCAGTTCAGTGGATATAATCAGCATGATTCGCAGGCAAGTGAAAATTATCGCATTTATGATTGGGTTATTTTATGTTGGCAGCAAGGTCATTGTTGTGCCTTACATAAATTAGTTGGTAGGAAATGTTTCTTATTTGTTTACTTAAAATGTAGGAATTTCTTGCGTGTTTGCTGGATGGGCTTCATGAAGATCTAAATCGTGTGAAGAGCAAACCTTACATTGAATTGAAGGACATTGACGGTCGTCCAGACGATGAAGTTGCGGAGGAGCATTGGCGAAATCATCTTCTTCGCAATGATTCCATAATTGTTGATCTCTACCAAGTAAGCCATTATTTGCTGGATTTTCAATGTATAGTGTGGTTCTTTTGACACTTTAAATGTAATTGGTCTGTATTATATTTTCTGAGTTATACTCTGAACTGTTGTTGGTAACCAATTTCTTATTTTATTTGGATGAAGTCAAATGTGAGTCTTGTTAAAGTTCGATGCCTAGCTCAGTTTGGGTATCCACCACCTTTTTTGTTGGTCATTGATCTTTTTTTCTCAACTTTAGGGTCAATACCGTTCGACATTGGTGTGCCCTGTTTGCAAGGAGAAGTCTGTTACATTTGATCCATTTATGTACCTGTCTCTACCACTTCCTTCAGCAACCATGAGGCAAATAACATTGACTATTTTTAGCACGGATGGGTCCACTTCTCCTTCTCCAGTAACCGTACCTGTTCCCAAAGATGGACAACTGAAGGATTTAGTTGAAGCCTTGTGTGTGACTTGTGCTGTACGGGATGACGAGACATTGTTAGTTGCTCAGGTACTTTTCCTGCCAATGTTTCAAGAAAATTTCTTTTTATCAGTCACGTAACAGTTGTCACGAGGCCTCAACTTTCTATAGCATTTCGAACTCTTTATCTGCGCATTACATTGTCAATCTTTTCATCAGAGATATTTACTTGATTGATAGTAACTCAGCATTGTAGATAGTTTTCAATTTCATTTGGGGCCGCCCTTTTTGGTGGTGATTCAGTTTGATCTCTTTGTTCCACGTTCGTAGTTACCCAATTGAATATAATGCAGTTATGCTGTTTGTTTTGCTTCAGTATTTGCATGCCTTAGATGAAATTCCACTTGTCATTTATGAAATTTCCCGCTTATTATTGTTTTCTAAGAATCAGGGCCTGAATTAACAATTTCTCGATTCATTCGCAGGTTTTTGAATCTCGCATTGTTGGTATTCTGGAGGATCTTTCTGGCACAATAGATTTGATTAGAGATGAAGATCAACTTGTAGCTTATCGATTGCCAAAAGAGAGTGAAGGGTCCTCTTTGGTTGTGTTTACTCATGAGCGTAAAGATAAGTAAGTATTGCCAGCTCCCATACATTCTCTGAGCAATGAAAATTTATTATGCCTTACAGCATGATTTGATCCCCCAAAATGTATTGTAAAAAAGGAAAGAAAAACTTGAAAAGAAATCAAATTAAGAGGGTAGGGGATAGGGGTAGACTAAAAAAATAACAAAAATTAGTTAAAACGTTAAATTTGAATGATGGTATGTGAATTGATCAAGCACGATTGTTACATCTAATCCATATAGCCGATCCCACATGGTGACTATTTGTGAAAAGAGACTTTTACTGTCTTAGAGCCACAATAATGACTAACTTAGACTATGTAATCTTTTGAGTTTCTCTGTTGTGATTAGCTATGATGCGCGGACTTTTTGTCTTGACAGTAACTCCAATTGCCAGTGATCAATTTTCACTTTTGTTAGAGTTACTTCAGGGCCATGTTTGTTGGATGATAATATCTTATAAGACAAGCGTAAGCAGAAGTAATTAAAGTTCTATTATTGGTCTACTTCACATTCTATGCATGTTGTTCCAACCCTCATAGGATATATAATAGGTTAGAGACTAGTAAAAGTGGTCATAATTGAAAAAGACATGAAATAACTTTGTTTGTGGAAAGTTTACCCCCCTCTCTCTCTCTATTTGTATAATTGCTTGCTAGGTTGGAAACTTCTTCGCCTGTGTTTATCCTTAATATTACACAGGTTCCAGGTTCGCTCACTTTTCCCTGCCAAGAAGAGATTTGGTGTTCCTCTGGTTTCTAGGATATATAATTTGTCTGAAGGTTCACAGATACGAAAAGAGTACCTCAGGCTACTTCACCCATTCATACAACCTGAAAAAGAGGGTTACCATGGAAAACTGAATCATACGAATGGAGATGTCACTACGATGCTTAATGGAGATGGACATGCAAGTACTGAAATGAAAAGTGAAGCAGCTGGGGGCAACGAGTTTCAGTTTTACTATGGTGGCGGTTTCTCATCTGAAAATTTTTGCATTCGAATGGATGGATCAATTCTGTCATCTACTGGCTTGCAGGTTCTTGTTTCCTGGCCAGAAAAAATTGTCGAAGGTGATTATAAATCTTTTCAATCGAGTGTTCTCCCTCAAGTTCGCAGGCGTGATTTTTACTCGAGTAAACCTCAAGAGTTCATTCCTCTGTATAAATGTCTTGATGCCTTCTTAACGGATGAATCTCTTGGGCCTGAAGACATGTGGTGCGTACCTGAACCTCATACTTATTACATTTTGTTGTAAGCTCGGCTGTTACGCATCTTTCTGCTAGAGCATCTCTATTAATTATACTGCAATTCTTTTTGCTATTCAAATCGATTCAGGTATTGTCCCAGTTGTGGAAGACATCAGCAGGCCTGTAAAAAGTTAGACCTCTGGAGATTACCCGAGATATTGGTTATTCATTTGAAAAGGTTCTCGTGTAGTCAAAATTCGAAAGGCAAGATTGAAACGCTTGTGGACTTTCCTATTGAGGGTTTTGATCTCTCTGATCACATGGATTACAAAAACAGCAAAGTTTCTCATTGTTACTCATTGTATGCTGTTAGTAATCACTATGGTAGCATGGGCATGGGCCATTATACATCATACGTGCGGGTAAGTTCTCCTTTACCAACTTTGGGCATCCGGTAGCTTTAAGTATTTAGTCTGAATGCTCATGGCCATTATTAAAATTCGGTGGTTCTGCATTTAATATGCGGAACTTGTTAAAAGAAGCCCACTTACTCAAGGATACTTGTGAAATGGTTCGACATCATATTCACATTTTGTTATCATTTAACTTTAGAAGATCCATGAAAAGCTAAATCACTTAAATTAGAGAATTTTTTTGCAAATTATGTGATATGTTAGCAACTTTTTTATTTATTTGAGACCGTTAGGAACTTTGATGATCTGTTTATAAGAAGATGCCGTTTATGGGTCTTTATCTTTTCTGCTTACATTCATCTTTATAAAATCTTGATGAGAAGATTAATCTTAAGTGGGGCTTGCACGAAACATATTTCCTTTGCTGATTCGAACTTGCTAATTGTTTTGATAACTTCTGTTTTTTTGGGTCTTCATTTGCTTTTTTCTTGTTTCCCTACATGGTACAGAGTTGGAACATTCTGTTTCCTAAAAAGTTGCCTATACACCTTCATTGGAAGGCCTTTCCAATTCCGGTGGATGGAAATTCATTCATTTACTCATTGAAATGTGTTCACTAGCTCTGATTTGGCCAACACTTCATTGCTATTTTTTCATGGAATGATTTGTAATTTACACACACTTTTGTTTTACGATGCAGCTTGGAGGAAACAAGTGGTATGAATTTAATGACATTGGTGTCACCCGGGTTGGCAGTGATAAGATAAAAACAGCATCCGCTTATGTTCTCTTCTACAGGAGGACTGATCTTAACAATATTAACCATTAGTTTATTCTTTTGGGAATCTGGATCGCAGAGGTAGCTCCCAAGCTGATTCCTGATTGTTTGGCCCGCCATTTTTATGTTCAGATGTTTATTGAAGAGAGCGGTAGAATCTATTCCATTGTACATAATTACAGATGCAACAAGAGAAGTTGATGACAGATGACTTTTTGGAAGAGATAGGAGGAGATTCGCATTAGATAACTTTTGCAGGGTTAAGACTTTAGAAGGGAGATGCAGATAGTTTTAGCCTTTTAGGGCTTAGCATTCTAGCAGTAGGCATCATTCTTTCCTGAAAAAATAGCAGTAATTTGCTATTTTGATTTGGGATATATACTCTTAAAACAATTGATTAATGGCAGGCTAGACAATTGAATTATGTCTATGCCTACCTTTTCGGCATCCAAGTTTTCTTCTTTTACCTATAGATACGCTACATTTACTGCCTCTTGCTCTGTCCCAAAATGATTGATCTGTAGAAAAATGTATGAATTTGTATCATAATCATAGACCAATCTGCTGGGTGTAATAATAGTATTTCGGTCGACCATGAATCCAGTTCTATTATATTTTTTTAAGAATTAAATATTAATAATTGTCTTATCTGCTTTTTTATATTTCTAATACTTCTGTCCCATAATTATTGTCCAATTTTACTAAAATAAAAGATTTTATTTTTGGTTAAATTTAACTATATTTTATCTTAAATAACCGGATATATCCCTATAGAAGTAATTGTTTAACCACTAAGATTTTATGGATAATGATTTTTACTAAGGACAAATGTGTAACTTGATCCATAAAAAGTCAAATTAGACAATAATTTTGGGACAAAATTTTTTGGGTAAAGTGGACAATAATTATGGGAGGGAGGGAGTATATTTTTTTACATTTTTAATAGAAAAAAACAAGTAAAAAAACACACTAAAAAAAAACAAACAGAGAACAAGTCTAGATTAGACTTTAGAGAGTGGATAAGATCATAAGAAAACATGGAGAGATATTTTTGCCCCTTCTCCTCGCGATCAACGCGGAAAAGTGCAAATGATATCTACACCCCAAAATATCTAAGCCTAGGCTGGGCCCTTATCCACCTAAAAATGCAGTCCAATTTTGGCCCACTTAATTATGGTCTAAACAACCCGTAATTAATCCACTTTTTTTCCAGCTTAAACAGAGACAAAGAAGAGGATTAACGATGTACTTATTAATCCTAAACATCGTTTGAGCCAAAAAAAAAGGGTACAAAAACAATAACTGCGCAACTTGACCTGACTATAAATATGTATATGTAACCTTGTCTGAACAAGCTGCAAATACTCAAAAGGAGATTTTTATTTTGATATTTTTTTGGTAATCAAGTAGTGAAGGAAAGATTAATGGATTGCTGCATCATGAGGCCAAATAGAAGTGATGTTCATTTGTCAAGGGAAGAAGAAGCTAAGATGGAGGAAGCAACTCGACAACACTTTGATAGCTTAGCTCCAAAACGCCACACCAAGCCTCAGCGCAGCGAGTATTCCAAAACTTACACCGATGCCGTTTCTCTTTCCGGCGGTGATGTCATTCCTCCTGAATTTGTGGAGTTTCAGCGCCTTGAAAATGACCATTCTGAGGTATTATTGCCCTTTGATTGCATTGTTGTGTGTGCTGATGGGTCATTCTTAATTCTGAGGTATTTTTTTTTTCTTGTTCTTATGCAGAAACTGGTGTACAAGAACGGAAATCATGAGGCGGAGGAGTTCGTGGAAACAGAGTATTACAAGGATCTGAATGGTGTTGACAAGCAGCATCACACGGTAAATCATTGTTGGATAATTAAAAGAGGTTTTTGGTATGTAGATAGTAATATTTGAAGGTAATTATTAGAATTGTGATGGACAAGAAAACTAACAAATGCTTCCGATTTTCTTTTTCTTTTTGTTGATGGTAAAATTTCAGACAGGAACTGGGTTCATCTCGATGGATAACATGAAGGGCAAGTCTTTCAGCTTAGATCCGGATTCTGATATTGACCATCATGATTCTTGCAAAGGAAATCCAGCTACCAATGATTGGATTCCAGCTCCTGTTGATGAGGTATGTATGTTTTGATCAGAAATGATGTCAATATTGCTTTTCAAATCCTGGAATTTCTGTCGTTTCTGATGAAGTCTTGCTTCTGTTAATGATTCAGGTTGAATTTGTCTCTGGCAAACCCAAGAGAAGCGAGAACTAAAAGGTTGGAGGAAGCTTGAAGACATCACTATGCATCTATGACTATAAATTATTAATAGCTGGGGAGATTTCCAATTCCAATGTTTTCTAGGAATTTCTTTGTAATTCAATAAATGCTTCTACTATGATGTTGTTCATCGTGCTTAGATTTACTACGATGGATTTGGATTTATAGTAAAATCTTGTTCTGTGAAGTGTGTTTTTGAAATTTCAAAAACCTCTTTTAGTATAGGTTTTCCGACTCACAAATCTAAGACTTTATTTGTTTCCTTTTCTTGATAGTGTTTTTGAATTAAATAATTATTAACTGTCTCATTTTAATATATTTTTTTATATTTTTAATATATCTTTTTATATTCTTAATACACATAAAAAAAATGAAATAAACAAACCCTAAGCTGCTCATTAAGCTCTCTTAATTTTACAAAACGTATCGTTTGTCAAGTAGGAAGTGTACAACGCAAAAGCAAATGGACACTAAAACTATAGTAATTGCAATGTAAATGATATCGTTCATTTTACATTATTATTCTTTTTTGTAAACAAATCATAGTTTGTTTATTAAAGTTAATCAAACACTAAATGTGCAATAATTATTTCGACAAAAGGTTACTGTTTTCGTATTTTCAAATGATTGTCTTGTGGACTTGGGGTAATAAGGGAACTAAATTTGTAATTGTAAAATTAATCAGAAGCAATTCACAAATTTAACATCCACCACAAACAAAAATATCCCATTAATAAAAAAAATGAGGAGAAAAAGAAAAACACAAAATTTGCAGCCAATAAATATTTTCGATTGAACAGGAAAGAAGAAACCAAAAAGGAAAAGCAATACCGCTCAGCAATCATCATATTCACTAGTAGAGGCATTTAGCCGAGCGCTTCTTCTTCAGCCATTTCTATAAAGTGCATTTTTCAGTCACTCTCGGTGCAAACTTTCCGGCAAAAAGGAAAAGAAATCCGTCCGCCGCCGAAGTCTGTGTTGTTGCTTATTTCATCCATGACTTCTCCCACACCCACTTCATGTAAGTATTCCTTCCAGTTTTGGACTTGTGGGCTTTTTTTTATTCCTTTTACTTCGTAGATTCAACATGCATTCTTTTCTCCTTTTGGGGTTTATTAGCTATTTTTGCTCGTATTTATTGATGGGATTTTCGCCTCACCCGATGGAAAGTGGTTATGTTCTTGATGAAATACCAGTCCTACAACTTTTGGAGGCGGATTTCAGTTTTTGTTTCTTTATATGTGGCTTGCTGTCTATTTGTGCTTATAATAATAGTAATCAAATCGTTTCTTTCCATTAGTTTATCTTGTTACTCCGTGCTCCCTTGGTTGGACATTCGTTTGGCTGATAATAATTTTCATACAATATGGAAAAGGGGAATTCTTTATGCACCAAATACACCTCAATATTAGGTTCTGGATGTTCGTTAATGTTGGAATATTGTGTCAGTATACAGCTTTCAGGTGGCATCTGTCAGTTCCACTTGTTATAGGTCGTGTGTAGCATATTTTATTGGTTATAAAATTATGAATGGTTCTTCCTTCTTTTTCCTTTGCATCTTTGGTGGTTTCAGCCCAGATAATGTTTTTGGGTTCATTATGATTTCTTAGTTGGTTTCATGATATAATTTCACATTTATGCTGAAATAGGAAGTTTTTTCTGTTGAAAAACTGAACAATGAGTTCTTGGATGATTGGATCTGCAAGCTCAGCAAGAATGCATCTTCTGTAGTGGTATAGCAATAAATAATGGATTTTGATGGGTGTATGTATATACACCAACTCACAGGGGGCTGATTTCAAAGAGTTACGAGTTGGTAGTGTTCTGTTTCCATGATGATAGACTTGTCAGTTTGTGGTTCATATTTTCAGTCTATTATATAAAATTTGTAAAAAAGGATATTTGCCTTAAGTGTAGACAACTGAATTGGAATGTTCTAGTATCTATTGTATGTGGTACAGTATTAGACTTCACACAGATATTGAACCTTACTTTTGTCACTGTTTGATGTTGCTTGGTTGTTATTCTTGCTACCCGCTTTCATTTCCTTGTGTTCTGATTGGCTGCAGCAGCAGACAATCGGGGGGAGTTGATGAAGGGTGACAAACTTGTACTTCGAGGTTTGAAGTTCCATGGGTATCATGGTGTGAAGCAGGAAGAGAGAAAACTTGGGCAGAAGTTCTTGGTGGATGTAGATGCCTGGATGGATCTTCGACCACCGGGTATTTCTGACAACATGACAGATACCATTAGCTATACTGCCATATATGCGTAAGTGATGAACCCATATCTTGATTATCACTTTAGGGTTGAAAAAGATTGCTGAAGGTTTTAAAATTATAGAGACTGCCACGTTTGTGCATCTGATCGCTTCTAGTTAGTTATTTTATCTGTGAAATAGCAAATATAAATTCTAGTTTAGAGAGAAGCAGATATGCAACACGACTTCTGAACCCTGCTTTGCTTAGATCTCCCTGTCAGATTTTAGATACTAATGATGGATACTTCTTTCAGCATTAGAGACAATTGGATATTAAAGCTTGTTTGTCTAGACTAATATCATGTCTAATGTATTATTGAGCTTTCTTACAACTCGGACCGGGTGATTTGCAGTATAGTTAAAGAGGTTGTGGAGGGAACACCGCAAAATCTTCTGGAATCTGTGGCTCATCTCATTGCTACCAAAACCCTGGCAAAATTTCCTCAAATTTCTGCTGTCCGTGTGCAGGTTGGGAAGCCACATGTGGCTGTTCTTGGTCCAGTGGACTACTTGGGTGTTGAGGTCACTAGATACAGAGGCATTGATGTATGAGAGATTTGGAAGCACTCTTAACCTATTTCCTCTTCTCATGTTCAACTTATAGACTCATATTTACTCTTTCATTCTTTCACTTCAGCGATTGCTAATTTTGGCCTTCTATTTCTTACAATTTTGCTTCTATGTTTTGTTCCGCCACGCTGATTGCAGACTAAACTGAGTGTCAAATATAGTAACACGTGACATTGATTTGATTACATGTTCCATCTGTCACGAGTCATGAACATAAAGCCATAAACCGAATGATCTGGGTTGATCGAATCTGTTGTATATTAAGTTCAATGGTTTGAGAAACATTCAAAGTAGCTTTTCCAAGTTTGCAAATAATGCAGTTTACGCACGGAGATCCTAGAATGTGAGAGCTACAGTTTCCAAAGGCGAAGGCTTTGATACGCAAACTAAGGAATAGCTTCATGCGTAGGAATCCGTTCAGAAGTGTATCAAAAAATGAAAGCTTTTATGCCGAAGAATCGCAAATTAGCTTTTCCGAACTCAAACTGGTGATCAGAAAAATCTAATCTTCAAAAACAAAAAAGACAAGGCTCGAGGAATTGAAAGAGACCTCCATGTTCTAACCACTAATTTGCAAACTGAAAGATTACATGTATAGATCTCAACGCATTGCTCCAGTACAGGTCTTCAGCATAGATTTCCAAGAAAACTTGGTTGAACCAATGAACCTGGTCAAGCCGCCATTGCCTCTGAAGTATTGGATCTAGATTTGCCTTTGCGGTTCCATATAGGAGTAGTTTCGATAAGCTGATGTGGAAAAAGACGCCTTCTTTGTCTGGAAAGTTTGCGGGGATTCTTAACTTTCAACCTTGCAATTATTGCTTCCTCCTCTGCGGTTATCTCCCTAAGCACAACCGTCAATCTACATTCCGGTCTAACTCTTACACCAGCCCTACCTTTAGCATGGATAGACACTCTTTTCTTGAAAAATCCCTTTCCAACAAATGCCTCAGCTGCAAGAAAGACTATCATGAATAAAAAAGCTTCAAATGAAAAGCTTCAAATGAAAACTGCATGAACAAACTTCTACAGTTTACCAACAAGTAGACGGTCCGGATCTAATCCATGATTATGGGCAGCATTTGCTCGGGCTGAATGAATAACCTGCAAAGCAATGACTGTCTTAGCACTGAAAAACGACAATATTATATAAGTCAACTAATTTCGAACCACTAATACTCCCTGCAGAACTTTTTAGGATAAGACAACACAAAGCATGAACTAAACAGAAATCCATTAAAATTTGAGTTTTAACCACCTGATAAACTGTTTTAGAGGCTCTCTTCACAGTTACTTGTAGTTGCATTAAAGCATCCTCAACACGCATACCACGGACTAATGCAGCGACCAAGTTCACCTTTTTAGGACTCTGGATGACATTGAAGATAGACAACTTGTCAATACCCCTCAAAAAAGGAAAAAAAAAAAAAACAAAGGAAGAGAAATATAAACTACCGAAGCTATACCATCTGCAACAATCCAAGTTTCCTATTTAATTCAAAAGCATAGGAATTTGAAAAGAAGATTCATGAATAGTCATCACGATAGTGCAACAATTGCAATATGAAAATTTAACTTTGCCGGTGAAAATTGAAGTAATTAAAAGATCCTTTTCAGATGTTCAACAGGATATGTATTTCAATGTATGCTTGATAAAGCCAACTAAAAGCATCTCCTACTACCAAACCTGCTAGACACTCATACCTGCTTTATTCCCTTTAAGATTGCTTGAACCGTTTCAGGTTTAGATACTGCCTTTTCAGGTTCAACCTTGCCGCTTTCCAATGCTAATGGAGTCAGCAACGGGGAAGAAACAGGAGTTTCATTAGAAGATTCAGAAAGTAGCATTCTTGAGGTAGTGAATCCCTGTTACATGGTACATTTTGCAGGTTATACATGTTAGATTAATATGAGTATATTTGGTGTAGTCACTGAAATGATAACAGACGAAGAATGTCCACCACAATCTACATATTGTTGTGCCATACTGAATGAAAACGAAAACTTTAACACTTTAATAAAAATGAATTTTGTAGTTTATTTAGACAATTTGGAGTTATAAAACAGTTCCTATCCAGAAAGAGGTAAAGATCGTAATTCAGAATCAGGGGACACCAATAGAGTTGTTAATTACAAATTAAATAAAACCAATAACATGAAGGTTCAGTTACCAATTGCTGTGCAAAGCGGTGTAGTGGCCTTGTTGTGCAACTAAAATGAGAATTCCATGGGTTTCGTCCATGCACAACCTCACCTGCAGAAGATCGTTCCATCAGTTAACAATCTCATAGGCAAAACGCCAAGCTTGAGGCTTTGCATTCTTTGAAATGAATAAATATGGCATTGCAAATATAACACATAGCTCAACCCAAAAGTTAATAAAATCAGCCATAAACTAAAAACTGAAAAGAACTACCAAATGCTGAAGAAGCCTTCGAATGGTAAGCTGAGCATGGAGAAGAAATGCAACTGCCCTCAAATCTTCTCCTAGTTTGACGCAGTAAAGTCTGCAAATGCCGCTGCCAGCCTACCATGGGTTATCTAACGAAAATTCCACCTGGAGATTACGAGAATAGGACTCAAGGAAATTAAACAATAACAGTATTCAGGTCTTGTGAGAACAGTAAACTTAGTTACCAGAGACTATATAGAAAGGAAAGAATAATTAGCACACAGATCTTCTTAAGGAATTTAGCCAGCCAATTGCATAACATGAAGAACAGTCAAATCACTATCAAATGCCTAACATTTAACTAACTACAATACTTTTAACAAGATATGAATACAAAGGGGCCCAAATACTGAAGCTCCCAAACCTAAAAATCCATTGGCATTTCCTCGAATAGCTAACAGTCCAAGACTATCAAGCACAAACACGGGTCCAATACATCAACATTATTCCAGCTTTCAGCTACGTTCAGGAATATCGAATCACAGACGTGGATATCCCATGAACCCAAATTACTTTCAGATAAAATTTCTGACCGTGTGTGAAAATCATCCAAGCATTCTTGCATAAAAGGCGACATTTTCAAAGAAAATCCAGAATAATCATTCAATGAATCACGCAAGAGAAAACTGTTGTGAAAAAAGAAACATACCGGCGGCAATATTTGGTCGGAAGACGAGGAAAGATTTTGTGCCGAACTGCAAATGTTGACGACTGATGAAGAGAAGAGAAGAGACTGGGGGCTTTTCCCTTTCAGGGGTTTATGCTGGGGGCAATTTCAGATCGTTAATGGGTCGGGTTGAGAAGTTCGCCCAAAATTCAAGTACAGGTCAAAAGTCAAAACTCAAATAGTTGAGGGGTATTTTGGCGAATTACAGGATTTAAAGGGGTTGATTATGACCTTTCCCGTTTGTGGGCAAGTAGCCCAAGGCATATGGGCCGGACTGATGGGCCTTAAATCACCCGTCTGATTCTACAATTGATATGGAATAGTAGAGTTACATTTTTATTTTTATTTTTCTCAATCATATATACATAGTACTTTATTGTTAGTAGTTTTACAATGATAATAACTATGTTTTTGATAAATAAATGGAGTACTTTTCTTTTTTTTTTTGGAAAGAAAAGAGTTTGGATAAATATACTTGGTACAACAAACGTGGGAATATGGTATCCATCTACCTAACTCATCCCTCAAAAACAGAGTGATGCCAATCAAATTTGACATCAATTTGTTGGCTTATTAGTTTTTTCATAGTAAATAGTACTATTAGTTTGAGTTGTGTATGTCATTATTATGCATTATTTTGTACTACGTGTTACGTATTTATTTTAAACACTTCGTGATTTTTTGATGAAAAGTTGTTGTCCTTGTCCTCTTAAATCTTAATCAATCATAACTGCTTAAAGTAGACGTAACTACTACTGCTGCTAACTCATTTTCTGTTGGAGCACTATTTCATCAGTCATCGCCCACCTACTTATTATGAATGCGGTTTTTTCCGTGCTGATTGCTATTTGATTTAATTGAATGTCTCCTTCATTGGTCCACGTCATTTCTACGGGTCAACTATCATTGTGGTTCAACCTGCATTATTTTTATTTTTTTTATATATATTACGCTCTCTCGATGTTCGAAATTATTGTCCCAACTAATTTGAATTCAAGCCGGGTAAATCTCTTTTAGGAGACAAAACTTTCTTGACAAGTATTTTAATTATTATTACATGCATACTTATATTATTGGACAAAGTGCTTGTTGGTCAACCTGCATGATCTCTAATTCTCTATCTACCGCACAAACTTTTTTACTGATTTTTTTCTATTCAGAAAGAAAGATCAATTACTGTTGATCTTTGGCTGTAAGTACACTCAATCGTACAGCATTTCTATGGCTGCATTTGCCGTCAATTTTAGTGCCACAAAATAATAAATATGGCTCAAAAAGTTACACTGTTACCACCTACAACATCCAAATGTGACAGGCCATTATCACTGTGATATTGTGATTCATTCCTACTCCTCTGTTGAACAATTATTTTGGTCCTGTAGTTATCAGTAAACAGTCACTTGAGCATTTTTTTAACCTTAAAGTCTAAACTGTTGTTTTTGGTGGGAAGCCAACTGAATGAACAGACACTTTTTTGTGGTCAATGGGTTATCAAAATAAGGTGGTGGAGAACTCAAAAGTGGACTTTTTAGAAGCGAAGATTCCTGCTTTTGTTTACAGAATTACAGTCATTAGATTGCTCTTAAATACTGTAGCATTTAATCCCTCCAAAAAAAAATAAAATGGAACATTAACACAGAAAACATTGACCCGTGAACTGTATCAATAGTAGCAAATACTAGTACTAGTATTAAAAGGAATAACTTTTGTGGTTGCCACTAAATACTGAATTGTAAGACAAAGATTAACAATAGAAAAGAAGCTCTGACTGCAATTTTTCCATTTCTGATGAAAACGCCAGGCAAGAATCCAAATTCCAGTGTGAAGTTCAAGATTTGTGGAATCCGATTTTCCTTTTATGGGCCGATGAAAAGGCCGTTTTAATTCACCGAAAGCGTATCGGTGATCCTGCTGTCTGTCTATTTCGCTACCTTGTTCGTTGAATTCGAGAAAAACCCACGTTCCAATTCCCACCTCTGGTCCCTATTTCAGCTGATCTTGTCTCTGGTTTTGCCCAATTCCTCGGCGTCGAGATCTGCAACACGTTGTTCTTGTTGCTGTTTATCATAAGTTCATCTTCTGGGTCATGCAGTTCTGTCCTTTCAGCTACAAGTTCAATCAGCTCCCAAAATATCCACTCAATTTGATTGGAATCAATTGCGCAGGGATTTGGAGAACTCATCTGTCTACAGATATATGTATGTCTCAGCTGACTTAACTCTTTACCGTGTCACAATTCCTCCTACTATCTGTAGCAATATTCAGGTGTTGCTTATTGATTATGTATCTTCTGTTTCTGAAGTTTTAATTGTTTCATTGTTCTGCGAGTTTGGTTCTTTATTGGAATTAATGTCCTGTGTATTTATTTATTCTGCAGTAGGGTATGAGACTATGAGTGTTTGGCTAATTGAACATAAAGGGCTAATCTTTTTCTTCTCCGTTTTCACTGTTTTGGTGTTTTCTGGGGGCTCGTGGGGGAAGATGGGGATGTTTCTACATTTTAGACTGTTCTTTCTCCAGGCGAGGGAGCTATCAAGCTATCTCTTCCTAATTTGTTAGGTACATTATTCCACGCCTCTAGTAAAGGTGGAAGTTGTAACTTACAATGGGTAGCTAGTTCAATAAATGCTGATTGCATCATAGGTGGTTTTGTGTGACAAATACATGTACTCTTTTGATCACTGTCATGGCCATTGCGTCCATTTACAAAACTTCTTTGCTTGCGTGCTTTTGCGGTGGTTGCATTTAACTGCTCTGCTCTGGCACAGTGCATACTGAAAAACAGATCACAGTGTTACAATAATAAAGATGTATTGATACATTACTGTTCACAAAGGGACAACACTCATCTCCTCTTCTTTTGCCTTGGAAGGATTTGAAAAGGGCTAGAACCTTTTCACCAAGAAAGCAAAAATGAGGGAGGACACCAGCATCTCACGTTACAGAGATAAGCTAGATCATACACTCTCATCTCCTGACCTTACAAATGCAGAGACACTGAGGGGCCTTGTCAAAGATCAAATTATGCGTTCGTCAGTAATGGAGAATGAAGGTGAGATGTAAAAGATTATATTTTTAACATTTTAAGTTCAGTAGTCTCGATAATTTCTATGTTTTTCCAACAATTTAATACCCATTTCATGTCTTTCAGATTACTTTGACCAGATACTGGAAACTAGAACCAAAGAAGTCTCAAATTTTCTTGGCATGTTGAGGAGTGCCTCAGTGGATGATGTTGCAGAGCCACAAAACAGCAGGGTCTCACGTGGTGGTTGGAAAGTACACCTTCTTTATTGCACTTGCTGTTTCTATTGTAGTGAGGAAGGAGTCACCATAGTGATACTATTACTCTTCTGTAACTTCTCAGGTAAAACAGGATACTGAAGAGTTCCGTGTCATGTATAGAGAAGGGCCAGAGGGCACTCCGTTACATACCCTACTTGTTGAAGGATATGTGGATGGGCCTACAGATGTTTGTAAGCATAATATGTTTATTCAATCATGTTTGGTTGCTTACTTTCTTGGTTCAAGGACAGTTGAAATATCTATTTGTGTGTTGATTCATCAACAACTCGCCAATACGATTCTAAACCCTTGCAGGTCTATGCATCTCATGGGAAGCGGGCTTATATCCAAAATGGTAAGAACTCCTCTTATGTTTGTAAATATGATGGTTATGTGAGATAATTTATTTTGGGCTGTGCCATCTCGCTATCTTATGAGTTTTGCAGTATCTGCTCCAAACTTATTAATGTCGACTGAAGGTGGAGAATTCAGCCATATGTCTGTTTTTACGTCGCTAAAGTTTAAAATGGCCATAGTTAGTGTTTTTTAACTTATGCTCACTATACTGAAGACTTCAGTACTTGCTGCTGGGTAACTTAATAATAAGAAAGGAGGATGCTTTTTCTTAGATTTATATACTTCATTTAACTTATTTTCTTTTTCCCCTCGAACTCTAGTTCTAAGAATAATTGCATAGCCTTTTTATCTTCAGCGGATAAGATTGCTTTCAAACATCTGGAATAATTCCATCACTGGCTGAAATGTTTGTTCAGGTGGCCTCAGATTATGGTTCCAACCTTCAAGATTGTCTCTTCCGATTGTCTCCAGAAGGTCAGAATTGGTGAACAGATATGTTTAGTGAGGTTTGTTCCCTCTATAAACTAAAGGTTCTCAATTATTTCGCAAAACACTTCCTTTAGTGACAAAAGTGCTTACTTACTTGGAAGAAAGGATGAAGCTTTCGTGGCCATTGTCGACAAGAGAGGCTCTAGTCCACTACTTTGAATTTGAGTACATCCAAGATGGTCTCGTTATTGTTCTTTTAAACTCGGTAGGCATCTAATCTTGTGCTTTCTTCTGTATGTTTATGGGCCCGCGACACGTTTCTCCGTTTTAAAGGTTTGTGCTGCTTGTCAGCTACTCTGAAACTGGACTTGTTTCTTGGCATTTCAGATATCTGACCTGGAAAGCATTAATAAAAGTACTCATGGTTTCTCTAGAGATGGCATACCTGATCCCCAGGACGTAATCAGGATTGATGTGGTTGGGGGTTTTGCTATACAGAAAGTGTCTACAACCAGGAGTTACTTCCGGTAAGCTGTATTGGATATTAAAACAAAAAAAAAAGTAAAAAATTGTTCCCTGAGACATTTAATGTTTCAGTTATGAAACGGAGGATTGGCGATAATGGGAATCTTCTTTTCAGTAAAATGGATGTAATAGTAAGGAAATGCAGAGTATGAGATAGAATATCATTAAATGGATGAATGGCCAATTTTTTGGCAAAACGAATTTTGTTTATACATATCTTGAGATTTTTTGAAATATTGGAAATGTTTTACCTTTTGAATGGATTGATCGAAGACTGTTAAGCACTACAAGCACGTAGCGTTTGGCGACAATTCTGGCATAATTGGTTAAGAGAAGGCAAACTGAAGATTACACAAACATTGCATTATCAGAAAAAACCCTGACCAGAAATTGATAACATTATTAGGATATTATTTCTGGAATCTAGTTGGAAATGGTTGCTGAGAAACGCAACTCTTCGTCCCACCCTCCCTTCTGGGACAAATCAAACTAGTGCTGGAACTTGGTTACTTAACTACATAATCTAGTCCGATGTTGGACGTTTATGATGATTTAAATGGCATATATCAAAAAGGCTGTTATGTGATTTATGTTTCTACTATTTATGGCTAACGGCTTTAACTATTGAAACATTGTAGGACAATAGCAAATATGGATATTAAATTGGACTTTGTTCCCCCTTCATTGATCAATTTTGTTTCAAGGCAGCTCGTAGGCAGTGGTTTCAAGCTTTATAAAAAGGTGAGTTGGATTTCTAGTAATCTCGTCATAATGTTCCTGTTTGTGTCATGATAGGATTATCTTCTTGTTGTTGTAAGTTTTATGTAATTACTGCTCGAAATTTTAAAAAGTGTACTTACTGCAAATCCAGACTAAAGCATGAGATAAAGATGTCTAATTTGTTATTATTGTTTTTAATCGAAGTCCAAAGTTTTCGAATTTCTGGAGCAAGCTCTGGTGTTAGATATTTACGGTTTGTTATTTATAGTTAATATGCTTCATCCGCATTCATGATGGTTTTTAAGTTTCTCAACCCTTAAACCTATTGCAGGAAGTTGCTTCAGTTTCGAAGGGTGATGAGGATTTTGGCAAGGCTTTGAAAGATCCGTTGTATACTCGCATTCGTGAAGCACTATACTCAAATAGTTTACCTACTGTAGGTCCTCAACTAGAAGAGCAGAAGCATGATACTTCCTTTTTGCTGGAAGAAGAATCACGACGGACACTTGAAGGTAGTAGTTCTCAAGAGATTGTTCATGATGACGATCTTTCTGCTCATTCAGAAGCTGGGGAATTATTTCTTCAAGACAAAAAACCTCACATTGAGATTGAAGAGGTCAAGGAAAGTGATAGTGAAGAAAGTATATCATTGGCTGCAAATGGTGACAAATCTGGTAGTTTACAAGTTAATGAGATAAATACAAGAACTTTTGCTGACAGCCCAAGAATAACTATTCGACCAGAGGTGGAAAAAGCTTTGACTTTGTTGGATGAAGTGATATCTATTTTTCAAGAATACCGATCAAATGATGAAACCAAGTTTATGCACTCTCCTCCTGTCATTGCCGGTGAAGAATCACCAAACTTGGACAAGATTGCTTTCACAGAGTCAGTGGCCTCAGAACCAGATAAAATCTGGAAAACTGTCAATGTATCAGCTCAGCCAAGAAAAAGTGTAGAATCCGAAGTGATTGCCTCAAATGAATCCAGGCGCAGCTCTGCTAGCCATGGTTCCAGGTAATCAACCAACAATTTTTATGTGCACTTGAATACGCTCTCATTGCACATAGAGCAACATTTGACCCATGTAGCCTCCCCCATAGAGTCGGCTAAAGGCGTAATTGTTGCAAATATTGTCACCATTCTCATCTCTCTAAATTCCATCATGCTGCTTGCTACCATAACCATGTCTACACACCTGTGATTTCCATTTTCTCTTCATATCTGAAAGTAATTTAATGAGAAACTTTGGAGGCAGCAAAATTCTGTTTGTTAGAAGAATCTATTATTTACTTGGGCCTTGTTTTCCGGAGAGTTCTTTGGTGTTCGTTCTATGAACTTATTATGATTATTTTGTAAGAAGGTGCATCTATATTATGACCCAAGGATTGATCCTTTTTATTATCTTGCTGATTCCACATTGGGCCACTCTTTTATCAGACGTACAGGAAGTACCATCTACTCCAGAGAAGCAAACCATAACAAAATAGCCCCAGCTTCACCAGATGAGGATACCACAAGTACTCATGCTACTCACCATAACAATGCCTTGCATTTGTCTGAAAATCACGTGACAGAATTGAGTCTCCACGAGAAGATAGCCAAGGAAGAGAATGTAATCGCAGTTGATGCAAACAGTTTTGATGGAAATAAAGGGGGGAAAAGTAAGAGCAGAAAACCTCATTTTTTATGCTGCTTTGGCTTTATGGAAATGGCCGCAGTCAGCTAAGGAGTGGTATTTGCAATGGCATCGGTTGGCACCAATGGTACTCTTTATCACATCTGTTGTAATCTCTCACTACTGTTGGAATGAAATACTTCAGGGATGTATGAAATGTAAATTACCATGAGCAACATTAATTATAATTAGACATGTCAGTGAGATTAAACGGTAAATACTATGTACTGGAGGGAGTCCTAGTCTGTCTGTTTTGAGGGGCAGAAACAGTAGTAGTATGTACCAGTGTATTGTTAGCAAGATGTGGCATTCCCTTCGGTCCTCAGGCTTCATGTTGTAGATTAGAATGATTCTTTGTCATAAAATAAGAGGATTAAGAAAAAGAGATGATACCCTTTTCATCATCTTATAAATAAAGTCATTTTTATAGCTGTGTGGTGTTGTGCAGTGCAGAAATCCCCCAGGTCCATATTGTTCATTAAGCAACAGCAAAACATCGTAGTGAGGCTTGGGATTTTGATGTATGATTTGTAATATAAAATTTCATCCTTGGGTATCAAGCAGCTGATGCCAAAAGTCACAATCTTTGATTAAGAATTAGGATTAAGTCCCAAAATTATCAGAACAAGTATTTTTATGGTAGCCATCTAGCCACTACACAATAAGAAATTACATAGAACTACTAGCGTTTTCTTCGTTCATGCTCTCCTCTAACCGAAATCTATAAATAGATTGACTTTCAACTGAATCACAGATTACACACAAACGTTTCTAGTTCTCTCTGGCTGGGGGTTGAAAATGTGGAAGAAGCAGCTCAACTCAATCTCCCCGCTTTCGATCAATCTCCTCCGCCGGAATCGTATTCCTTCTACTTCTATCGCCGCCGCGCCTTCCTCTACCGGAACCACTTTTCAACAAAACCCTCTTCCCGATTTTGCCCCTCCTCGTTCTTCTTCCCACGAATTCCTTCTACAAGATAATTGCTTTTCTTCAAAGATATTTTCTTCTAGGGCTTTCGAGAACCAAAAGCTCCAATTAGGTCTAACAGTCCAAAAATCGAAACTTTTCTGCTCGGTGTCAGCTTCAACTTCTCCTGAATGTGTAAATTGCTGGAATTGCAATGCCGCACCTCCCAATTCGGCGCCGTTTTTGTTCTGTCAAAGTTGCCGCAGCGTTCAACCAGTTGACCGCTCCGTTGATTTCTTCCAGATTCTTGGAATGTAAGTCCTCTTCTTTTCTCCAGCCCTGTTTGTCGAGATTTTAATGATCAAACTCGTCTAGATTGACAATTTAGTGAATTGTTTGATAGGGAACGGAGATATGACATCAAGGGTGAAGATTTAGAGGGGAGATATAAAGACTGGCAGAAGAAGCTGCATCCTGACCTAGTTCATACCAAATCTCAGGTTCAAAGACTGGAGCTTTCTTCAGACTTGAGCTTTACTATCCAACAATTAAGTTTCTTTGATGAGTTTATTTTCCTTTGTTATCAGAAAGAACGAGACTATGCTGCTGAGCAATCTGCCCGGGTGACTGAAGCTTATCGCACCCTCACTGACCCTCTGTCACGAGCAATTTACATTGTAAGTTATTTGTTCGTAGATTTTGTGTTTTGGTTGTTGGTTTCCCAGAAAACATACATTAGATGCACTTATTCATTTTTAAAAATCTTTGTTTGAAACTTTGGATAGTCGTCAGTATCCTATGATGAAGCATTTGCGGGTGATGTCTTAGAGTAGGATCACTGGAGTTTGTAAATTTGGATACTTCAGATTGCAGATGCATTGCGTAAACATAATATTAAGCTCCTTGATGAAGAGCTAAGATGCTTGTCCGAATACTCTGGTTAATAGTTGCAGATTTTTCTTTTCTCCTTTGGTTAAAAATTACATTGCTGATTTCGATATTTGCTTAGGAAGAGATCTGGAGAACTGTCTCAATATTATTAAGTTTCTTTCAGTTGTTTGACTGTAGCTTAAGGCATATGCATCAGTATGTGATTATGTCTATTGTGTCTTCACTTACACACTTTTCTTTTCCTGGAACCTTTTAGCTGAAGCTTGAAGGTGTTGAGGTGGATGAAGAAGCTAGGATATCAGACCCAGACCTGCTTGCTGAGGTAAAATCTGTTAAATTGACTACCTACACAATCTTTCTACCGCTATACATCCAATAATCTTGTGGCTTTATTTACTATCATCTTGAAATGCAGATTATGGAAATTAGAGAAGCTGTCGAAGAGGCTGGCGATGCACAGGCTTTGAATCATATTCAAGCCCAGGTATGGCTATTTGAAATTCACTTCCCAATCAGTTTTACAATAGAATGGATTATAAATGTTTTTCAATTGGTTCATTATCACCCCTAAATATTTGTAGTGATGCCAAGGGTAATATAAGTTCCAAAATGTAAGAGCCTCATGAAATTGATGATTAAAGAATAGGAACCCACATATGGTCATAGAGCAAACAGAAATCTCTTTGCGAAGATTGTTTTTCTTAATTCAAACTACAGAGAGATTTGACCTACAAAAAGATATAAAAAGATTTTTTTTAAAAAAATATCATAGAGAGAGAACAGATAACAGTTCTCATTTTAGAGCAGCATAGAATTCATTTGTGACTCTTGATCCTTGAGTGGGGATTTTTAATGCTTTTTTATTTGAAGACAGTCATAAATGTATTTGCCTGAATTCTGTTTCTCCCTTAAATGGATTGAGGATTTCAAGTGACACAGTATTGGTCTGCTTGATACAGCCTGATGAGTAATGACATGGCATTCGAGAAATGGGGGAGTAATGACATGGCATTCTATTCTCTCTCTCTGCAGGTGCACGAAAAATTTGAGTATTGGTCTAAAGCCTTCGCAAAGGCACTTGAACAAAGGAAGAATGACGAAGCTTTGGATTCTATCCAGAAAATGACTTATTACAGGCGTGCGAAAGAAGAGATCACTAAGAAACTTTGACACAGGCAATGCATCCTCTTTGTGTCTTCTACAAGTGTAACACTGTAAAAGCACAAGTCTGCCAAACTATAAGGTTTCAAAGGAAGGATTTTTTATAATTGCTTTTTTTTTTGTTTTTCTTTTTTTGTAATGTTCATTGGTAATTAAAGAGAATTTGTTCTTGTATAGGTGCTGACCAGACCATAGCAAACTAAGGACATCAGATATTCCAAATGGAGCAAGGGAAGATCTGCATGCCTATGTAATGTAATTGTCACTTGGTTGGCTGTTCACTTGTTTGTCTTGACCAGCTTGGTTATCTTTTTCCCATTTGGTCAATTGCTGAATAGTAGCTTTTCCTTCAATGCTTTACAGATGCTACCAGCCTACCATTCCTGTTCATGCTTAGTGATTTCTCGCCCATCCTCATCAGATGAAAGTAGCTCAAGGAACACCCTGAGACTTCATTCATTTCTTAATGGCTTGTGAAAAAATTCCTGATCATGTATGCAGCATGTAACTATTTTCCTTTACTTTTTTTTTTTTCCTTGTATCGCGCAATATTTATTGGCCAAACATATGGATACTCATCTTGTTCCCTGCTTATCCATTCGAAAGTTTAGCTTTTATATAAAAGATATTGCTGGAAAGAAAGCTAGGAAAAGGATTGTTTTGAGGAGTTGAAAACTCTATTTTTCCGGTTTGCATTGTTGAAAATAAGACTGAACTTTGAATAAGCTCATGAGGGTGTAACTTTTAGCAGACAGTCATTGCCAAATACATTTTTTTTCAGCAATGACAAAACTAGATCAAAATTAGATGCAAAAAGCCTGCAAAAGAGAGTAGCACAGAAATTGTATACCATGACCTATGAAGTTAATCTTCTTTGAAATTTAAGATCAGTTTTCGTCCGTAATACAGTTTTGGCCAAATCGTATTTGCCTTCTCGATTTAACCCATACATAACAGTTTGGAAATTTACGGTACTGGGGACTATCCCACAATTCAACATATCACCCAGAAGTTGTAGAGCTTCTTCAGAACTTCCTGTCTTACAAAGACAATCAATGAACATGGAATAAGTCTTGAAATCAGGGTGAGGGCCATTCTTCCTCATGTGGTAAAAGACATCCCAAGCATCTTTGCTCTTTCCCATTTCCGCATATCCACGTACCATGGCAGAGTATGTAACGGTTGTTGGTTGGCATCCCATCTCTTTCATCGTCTCAAAAGTTTCCAAAGCCTTGTGAACTTGCTTCTGCTTAAAAAAATGGACTATGAGTGATGTATACACATGGACAGTAGGATGAATTCCAACTTGCTTCATTGATTCCACCTTTGCCATGGCTTCTTCATACCGCCCGGATTGTAGCAGGCTATGAACTAAGCTCCCATAAGTATACTGATCCAAAGTGCGCTTGTCAGCACCAAATTCCTCAACTACTTTTAAGGCTTCTTCAACCTTTCTGGCTCGACAAAGGGACCTAACGTAAAGAGAGCATGTTAATGGAACTGTAAAGCCGATTTTTTGGAGGGTTTCAATGGCCTTTCTAGCGTCTGATAGTTTACCAGCTTCACACAAACAAGAGAAAAAAGATTCCAGCATTTCTTTATCAGGATGACACGCTGCGCTAATCATATCCTGGAAGATTTGAACAGCTTCATCAGCTTTCCGGCCCTTTCTACCACAAAGAGATATAACCAGAAATTTGTATGTACTTTTGTTTGGTTTACAGCCACTAGCTTTCATCTCTTTGAAGGTTCTCAAGGCAATGTCCGTGAGACCTGTTCGACCATATAGCAGTATCATGATTGTCCATGTATCAGATGTGATTGGGCAACCATTTCTTCTCATTTCATGGAATAGGCTTCTCATGTTTTTGAAGTCCTTTGCTCGTCCTGAAAGTTTAATAGCCATATTGTAAGATTCAGCATTGTGTTTATAACCACTTTGCTTTCCTACCCATGAGAAAAATCGAAGTACTGCACCACTCTGCAAGCTGCACTTCCGTAGAACATCCGCAACAAGTTCTGTTGTGAAGCACGCGGCATATTTCTCCAAATCATCTTGAATTGAACACCAATCCTTTGAGGCTGACAAGATTCGGCAAATTTCATGTAAATCATCTTCTTTATATGACTTCAAGGGCAACCCCGGGGCATGTTGGTCTGAACATACGCGTTCAAGCATCTCAGGATTCCACTTTACGTGTAATTCTGGTTCAATATTTCCATTAGAAACCAAAGAATTCCTTTCATTTGGAACTAGATTATTCTCAACAAGAGAGTCCTTTTCTTGGTAACCTGAATTGCAAGTCATCCATATCTGCTGTATCTTCTTTACTTTCTCCATCTCTCCATTTTTCTTCATATAAGATATAACCAGCTGCAAGATATCATCCCCAACTTTTATCTTTGAAGCCTGCATCTCCATCAACATCTTGACGATATCATCTGTAGCAGAAACTTTACAGAGCTCCTTGATGAATATACTGTAAGATTTTTGAGTCATTCTCACCCGTTTTTCCACCATACTGTTGAAGACTCGCCATCCTTCAGAGATGCAGTTTTGACTGATACAGCTCGCAACTAATGAGGTTGCTACTACATTATCCAAATGTATGCCTGTATCCAGCATCTCATCATACAGGTCCAAGGCTTTCTGCAATTCATTTATTCGGATCAGGTACTGCATCAAATTAGTGTAAGTGGGCAAGGTGGGTTGATATCCTGAATCCTTCAAGCTCTTCAGAACACTAAATGCACCAGAACCATCATTGTTTCTCAGATAACCATTAACCAAGACTTCGTAAACTTCCTCATCAACAGAGTTCTTTTTCTTCATGATGTCCACAATCTCTAAAGCATCGGCAACTCTATCTGCCCGACACAATCCCTTAACTAAAGTTTTGAAGTTTTCCAGTCCCATGCCTACATTTTTATCCCTCAAAGTGCGAATCAATTCCAAGGCTTCCTTAATTTTTCCTGCAATGCAGAAACACTTCAGTACGATACCATAAACTACTTCTTCGCGAATCTGGGAAACTTCGATCATATCATTCTGAACAGCGTACACGGCATCAATGTTCCCAGAGATTGCTAAACACTTGAGCAACTGCCGATACAAACTGACACTCAATCCAATGTTTTTATGAATCATTTCTTTGTAGAACTCCAATGCAATGTCAGACTTTCCAGCTTTGCAAAGGTTCAGTAAGATGACCCCATAAACTGTTTCATCCGGCTCAAATCCTGATTTCTTCATCTTATCAAAGATCAGTAAAGCCTTGCTGACGAGTTTCGCTTTACCATACTGACTGATGAGAATAGTCCACGTTTTGATGTTCTTCAGGCACGAGTACTTATCCATTTCCTCCAACAATAAGTCAACCATGTCAAATTCCTTAGCTTCTCCGGCAATGAATATCATTGTATTGTATGTCTCGGTTGATGGACTAAACCCCTCCTTTGATTTTACCCACTCAAAGAACCTGAAAGCCAGTCGCGGAACTTTAAAACACCTCTTCAAAACTTTCTCAACGATCTCTGAGTTATACTCCAAACCCGCTTCCTCCAACCTTACTTGCATCGACTGCAAGTTACTTTCATCCCTTACAATTTCAGTGATTTTACGAACAAGAGGGCTGACATCAATTCCATCTTTTAGTAAACCCTCCGAAACCAGAGTATTGTCTTGTACTAGTTCAACCGTATGATCTTCGTCTTGTTGTTCTAGTCTCTGCTCGGCATTTAAACAAGCACCTTGAGAACCTTTCGATGGTGACTCCATAGTCTCGTTGATTCTCGTATGTTGGCGGGTAGGTACCAAATTCGGTATTCCGAGTAAACTACGATGAGACAACACATTTGCAGTTCCCAGAATCCCCAGGATTTCGTTGAAGAGCGGGCCAACGACTCCCTGGGAAGCTCCGTCGTCGTTTCTGGCAGACAGTGATGGAGTTTTCCTGGGCTTTTGGCGCTTGCGTTTGGAGAACTTGGGCCTGGGAATACCCGAAAAATAGAACTTTTGAACATTTGAGTTCAGTTGCTTGCTTATGAATTCGGATCTCAGTCTTCTGAGTTTGAACGAGAACAAGAACCTCATTGGATTCTTCTACAGGGCCCTGGAGAAGTGAGAGAGAAATGAGATGCTAGTAAATTTGAGATTTTTTAAGTTGAGGAAACAAACAAAAAAATACACACACACTCATTTTGTAGAATTCATTGAAGTATTTAGAGTGCTCATCATATTACTGCTTAATTCGCAGGAAGAAGAAGAATGTCTGATCAATATAACAACGGAGTATTATCAGCATCCCAAACTTTTAAGGGTAACCCTTATTTTACACATCCCCCAAGAAAGAGAACAGGCGAACCAGAAAATCTGAGAATTTATAGACACCAAACATTTGTATTGGTTTGTAGTTAAAGAAACAGTCGTAAAAAGCCTGGAAATCAGTAACTGCCTGCCTGGTTGTAATCTATGTTACCCGGACTCTTCTATTTGGGGAGAATAACCGTGTCATGTCGTGTCGACACTGGTGTGGGTATGAGTGTCGGGTGTGATATTTTAGCTTAAAATGTCCAAGATTTTAAAAATATTGACGAGCCGGACACTCAGATCCCCGCACCCGATACGATATCGAGTCCAGGTAACATAGGTTGTAATTACTAGTTTGTAACCAAAATTAGAAAATAAGCCCTGGTACCATAAACAACGTATAACTTATACTAGTACAAATAAGTCTTTTGTCACCCTACGTCAAATTACAAGTAAGGGTAAGGATCCTATAATGGAAACTTTTCAATTAGACTCGCAAGAGTTAAAATCAATTAAAAAACTTCTGCACCCTGTCCACTGCTGGAATCACCCTTTGTTCCACTTTCTTCTACTTGTTCTGCGGCCTTCACTTCATCTGAAACATTTAAACCTCCACATGAGTTCATGAATAAAAAAAATAAGAAGAACAAAAACGAGAATTAAGAGTAATAGTTGAAATACTACTTACTCAACATGATGAGGTAGCATCGGATGCCCCTCTTGGCCAATGCAGCATCGGGTGGCTTTTCGAATCCTCTCACAAAGCTCCAATTTACTCTGGTTAAACTCACTGTGAGAGAAAAACGCCACCTCGTGACATATGGCCCTGCTCACAGTTGAAATAGCATACTCACTTGGGCTTGAATTTCCGTATAATGAAACCCATCAAAGATCTGCATAGCAAAACAATTTATAAGTCAAAGTGTTCAGCTTTTGATCATATTTGCAGTTCTATTCAACAAGTGTAGCAGAATTAAACGTTCAGGAACAAAACAGAGTCTAGCCTAATATGTTTTTGGGTCCTGCGTCAGCACTTCCATGGTGGAGACTGAGACCTCCAGCAAGTCCGTGCGGTATGAAAAGAGTGGTTCATCCACCCCAGGCTTGATGACATGCAGTCCTTTCAAAATTGTTGCTGTCCGATTCCTTTCCAGTAGTAGTGAAGATGCCTCGCTCACTACTACAAGTCGCCCCATACGAATGGTAGGGAAATAAAACCTGAAAACAAAAGAAAAATCAACAGATATCTGCAGTCAGCAAATGGACAGGGATGACAAGAAATTCCGTCTGAGTATCAACAAAGAGTTACACTTAGTTAACTGTAACACGGCTAAGCCAAAAAAGTACTGAACAGACAAAGAAAAGAAGAAAAACCTCCAATCCCTGTGGAGGCCACTGGCCTCATGATTGCCGGTACAGAGCTTACGAGTGGGAAAAGCGTAGGCCCTGATTGGTGGACCGAGTCGCCTCAAAAGCCACGATGGCCGAAACATCATAGTACCTTAACAAGAACTTATCAGGGGAAAACAATTAAACACTGCCCGGTATCCAAAACATGAAAGGAAGTAAAATACACTACACAATCTTTCGTGAATTGCAAGTTGCAAGTTCTATTAGTAGACAACCTAAATCAAAAAGAGCGTAGCATTTAATCCAAGAACTACTTCGCCATCATTTCAAAGTTTAAACAAAGAACGGATGAAGAAATGTTTATCATCAGTCCAACTGACCCACGTGAAATTTAATGCTAACCACAATAGAAATAAGACGAAGCATTCAATTCAACTGTCTCAATTCATGTACATCCATGAACAGTGAGCTGTAACTCCCAAGAAACTATCAAAATATGGCCAATTAACAGAACCCAATGAGATGAGATGATGATGATACAATAACAACAAGTTCAAGATCAGATGGCAACACTGAAATGCAAAAGCAAATTGCTGGAATGAACTCCAACAAACAGCAGAGATGAGAAAAGAAAAACAATAACCATACTAGGAGCTTATATGAAAGGCCCTAACAAAAACTTGCACAAGGACACAATCTCAACTGCATGGATTTAGTATTAACAGCAAAAAATCACAGACCGATTGAAAAATAACATATCAGAATTGGCCGTGACTTCTGATGGGTAGCCAAATTTAAGTGCATCAAAACCCACCCTAAGAAAAGGAACGACAGCAATGTGATATTTATGTAAATATTGAAAAACCGCTCTGATTAAAAATCAGCAAAAGAAATCAACAGAAGAACATATATCTTTCAATAAGCAAATCTAACGGAAATGAAAATACCTAGGAACAATCTTCAGAAGGCCCCGAACTAGATGTAAAAACCTAAAAGAATGAATCGGGAGGAAAGGGAAAACCCCAATGTTAGTAAACGTTCAAAGGGAACTCCAGTATGAACAGAAAATCCAAGAAAACAAGAGAGAGAAGCGTTGATACCTACAAGAAAGCTTTCAAACAACCACGGGACAACGAATGGGGGAGGAACACGATCTGAAATATCAGAAACGAAATAAAATATCAGAAAAGGTGGGCTTTGTGGGCCGCGAGTGAAATGAGACATGAAGTAGGAGATTGGGCTCAAGATGAGCTAAGAGGAACCAAGGATTAAAGAAACTTTTGCTTATATTTGAGCATACGTCCTCCATCAATCAATTTAGGAAAAAAGAATTATTAGTTGTGATATAAGAAAGAAACTAATAAACCAGATTCTTGTTTCATTTGGATTAGTAGATTTAAATGCACAAATCATTTATGAATAAATTGAGATGGAAAAATGAATGTTTGTCGTCGATTAAAAAGATTTAAGCAATTTCATTACGATTGACTTTAAATAATTTTTAGCATTTTAAATGATGTATTTCATGGCCTATACTCTAATAACTGGAATAATTTATTCTGATATTAGAGGAATACACACAACCAAATTCTTTTGAATTTACTTATATTAGTTGCCATGGATATCCACCCAATTCCAATTGTTTCATTCCAAGAAAAAACTGTTGCTATCCATGGTCGAGTAGCATATCCTACGATCACTTGAGCACTTATCCGTCCAAAAAAAAAATCATGTTTGCGGTTCGCCGTCCCTTTGTAGGAGGGAGACCGGAGGAAGAAAAATCCAATGGATTTTGAATCTTCCACGTATCATCCAAGAAATCTTCTAGAACATACCATCAGGGATTTGCGATTCGATTTCGATCCATTTCACCTGGAACAGCGAACGAACAGATCTCCTTTTTTTCCAAATCTAGATTGGATTTATTCTTCCTTGTAGCAGCAACAAATTCCAATACAAAACTGTTGGAAGTGCAATTAATTGCCATGTAGATCTAAGCCCAAGAAACAGTTGATAGAACTTCTTTCTGTATAGGAAGAGGGGATAAAACTTTGGCAATTGAGATACAATTGAGATTGGTGAGAAGCATGGTAGTGTGAGGGGGGTGTTGGTAATATTGAAGGTAAGGCAGAGGTGGAGGCAAGGGTGGCTCAAGGTTTTTGGGGCCTAAGGCAAATTTTGAAATCGAAAATTAATAATAAAGAATTTTTTTTTAAAAAAAATTAACTCTCTTTATTTTGTAAGTTTTGAGACCGGTAACTACAACTCATGAGCCTATAGCAGACGGAGTCAAAAACTTTTTTTATTCCAAATATGATTCATATTAAGTTTATCTTTCTAGCATTTTTTTAAAATATTGTTTTTTATTAATTTTATTTTCTAACTATTTTGGTCACTAATTCTTTTATAAAATGTTCATGATCTATCTCTTCGATTAACTCTTTTTATATTGATATAATAGTCAATCTATTTAATCTGTCTTGTGGCATTGTTGATCTTAAATAATTTGTTTGCTAAATTGTTTTGAGAAATTCTTTTTTGCTGAAGCAACTATTGCATGAATAGTTAACATTATCCTACAGGCAATACAAGAATTTGAAAAAGGATTTATTTCTTTTAATATAATTAAATATGTCAATTGGATTATAATTCTTAGCATTTATATTTTTCTTTAAAATTTTAGATCATAAAATAAATCTAAACCACAAATATCTAAATTATCATTGTGTTTTAAGGTATTTTGAAGGTTAAAACAACTTTTTTCTAAATTGTTGTCATCAAGTGATTTTAATTTTTTCAAACTAAATAGAAAACAAAAAAAAATTGTTCATTTTAACTATGTAATAATGAGATAACAAATCAACTTTGTAGTTATGAGATACCTCTATTAACTATGTAAAGAAAATAATCAGTTCATAAAAAATTTTGAGGGGTTCTAATAGTTTTATTCTCCACATTTTCATCAAACTGCGTATTTCTAAGAATTTAACGTTTTTCTTCAAATTTAGGTTTTATGTCCACCTTAACACCAATTTCATGGTTGAAGTTATAGCATTTTCAAACCCATCTTTTATGTATTTTTTTTTTTAAAAAAAATTGAGACCTTTTAATTATTCTATAGAATAAAGAAAGTCATATATGAATGTCAAGTAGTCGATTTTTTTTTTTTTAACATTTGATCAATGTTTATTAATACTAAATTTTCCAATATATATGTATACATATACAATATATACATACGTATATAGATACACAAACACACACACACAAATATATATACATACGCATATATATAGATAGATACACACACAGGGCCCTCACAATTCTGAGGCCTTAGTCGATAGCCTATTTTGCTTAACGGGAGAGTCGTCCCTGGGTGGAAGCTGTGGAGGAGAAGGAACATGAAGATGTGGAGGCAGAGAAAAATTGCCTAGTTTTAAAACCTAAAAGATGTACCCCAGTTGTGTTTGACATCTTAACAGATAAAAGGAAAACTCCACAAGGGCAGTTGAGGACTTGGGTTATTTTAACTAAATGGTATTTAAGTCTTTAATTGTGAATCTCAAAAACAAATAAGGGAGACTATTTCCATTTTTTCCTACTCCTAACAAAAAAAAAAAAAATAGAAAAAAAAAAGATGTAAACATACGCCATCTTTTCTTTTAAAAGATAAAACATTCACAACGTACTATAAACGAATACATTTTGCATTTGAAACGTAACACCTACCTCTCATGGCAAGTAATAGTTTTTAAGTCCGTAATCTCTATTGTGTACTAATGGTCCTATACTCACCAAACTAATGGGCTCCACATAAACCTATACTCACAAACAGCAGAGATGAGAAAAGAAAAACAATAACCATACTAGGAGGTTATATGAAAGGCCCTAACAAAAACTTGCACAAGGACACAATCTCAACTACATGGATTTAGTATTAACAGCAAAAAATTACAGACTGATTAAAAAATAACATATCAAAATTGGCCGTGACTTCTGATGGGTAGCCAAATCTAAGTGCATCAAAACCCACCCTAAGAAAAGGAACGACAACAATGTGACATTTATGTAAATATTAAAAACTGCCCTGATTAAAAATCAGCAAAAGAAATCAACGGAAGAACATATATCTTTCAAGAAGCAAATCTAACGGAAATGAAAATACCTAGGAACGATCTTCAGAAGGCCCCGAACCAGACGTAAAAATCTAAAAGAATGAATTGGGAGGGAAGGGAAAACCCCAATGTCAGTAAACGTTCAAAGAGAACTCCAGTATGAACAGAAAATCCAAGAAAACAAGAGAGAGAAGCGCTGATACCTGCAAGAAAGCTTTCAAACAACCACGGGACAACGAATGGGGGAGGAACACGATCTGAAATATCAGGAACGAAAGAAAATATCAGAAAAGGTGGGCTTTGTGGGCCACGAGTGAAATGAGACGTGAAGTAGGAGATTGGGCTCAAGATGAGCTAAGAGGAACTGAGGATTAAAGAAACTTTTGCTTATATTTGAGCATACATTCTCGATGAGTCAATTTAGGAAAAAAAAATTATTAGTTGTGATATAAGAAAGAAACTAATAAACCAGATTCTTGTTTCATTTGGATTAGTAGATTTAAATGCACAAAACATGTATGAATAAATTGAGATGGAAAAATGAATGTTTGCCGTCGATTAAAAAGATTTAAGCAATTTCATTACCATTGACTTTGGAATAATTTATTCTGATATTAGAGGAATACACACAACCAAATTCTTTTGAATTTACCTAGATTAGTTTCCACGGATATCCACCCAATTCCAATTGTTTCATTCCAAGAAAAAACTGTTTCTATCGATGGTCGAGTGGCACATCCTACGATCACTTGAGCACTTATCCGTCCCAAAAAAAAAACATGTTTGCCTTCGTCATCTTTTAAAAAAAACATAGTCGAGTGGCAAATATAAAAACATTTTTAAAAAAAATTGTGCACTTCACCTTTCCATGGAATGAACTTTCATCTTTTTTTTTTTTATATATATTTAATATTCAAGATAGTATATGTTTTGAAAGATAAAATATTAATATAACTTGTTGGTGGTATAATTTTAGAAGTAATCATCGATATAATTGATAATAATTTTTGATAGTGTAATTTCCTAAATTTTTAAAAATATATTTATTAAATTCAAAATGAAAGTTTTAGTGAACTCAAGAGAAAAAAAAAAGAAATGTAAACATATATAATGTTTTATACAACATTTCTTTAATACATTTTCCAAAAAAAAATCTCTTTAATAATAATTTTTATTTGTTAGATTTCCCCCAAAAAACTACTACATTTTATACATAACTTTATGGTTTTTCATCCACTGATCCACGTGGCGCAGAATTAGATGGCCAAGTCCACATGTCGCAATCACATCGCTCCATCATTTAATTGTAACTTTTAATGTAAAATTGTAAGTTTATAGATAAAACTAAATTAATTAGGAGATTTCCCTATAACGGTAAATTTTACATCTTTATTTACTTTATTAGTCCTTGCATAATAATACCATTTGTTATGTGACTCCCGTATTATGATTAGTTGAATATTCTGAACTATAGTTTCTTTTTAAAAATTTCCATCCCAATGATCAGAGTTTAGAGATCAACGTACTACAAATTTGCAAAAAATCATCCAATTTGGCGTGAAAACCAAATTACTAGCTAACCGTAAAAAATGTACAAGTATCTTTTATTGAGCTTGGAGTAAACTTTATGTCATGGTACAATAATTGATGGTCATATATTGCTAAATACAAATAGAACAAATATGAAACAGATATCTTTTTACAATATTTTAAGAAAAAAGATATCACTCTAATGAATGTTTACTCTGGAGTCTGGATATACTTTTATTTTTATTAAAAAATTTCACATACCACAAGAAAATTACACAAATTACCAATTTTTGAGACAAATAGAATAGATAGGTATTTTTATTATTAATAAATCAACAAATCGACTATATTAAAAGAGAGTTTTCTATTAAACACATGACATAAAATAAGAAAATGTGATTCACATGGCAAAAAAATAGATAACTAATTTTATTCTTTGACACGCTCTTCATATATAGCAAATCTATTCGAATATTGATCAGGGATGCTGCCGTTAATAATGGTGAAAGCTGGCGGACGAAGGGAAAGGAGACATTAGCTAAATTTCTAAAGAGTTATTTGGTCGACATCTTTTTTTTCTTTTAAGCAAAAAGTAAATGAGTCTTGCAAAACTTTGAGCTGAGAGGTACAATAATACACTTAGAGGGCATGCCTCTAAAATGAATATTGTAACCCCCAACACAAAGCCCAAAGAATTCTCATATTATTTAAAGATAGAAGAGCTGGCAGTGCCTAAGGCTTACCAGGATACAGAAATGTGTAGAGATATAATAAACTATGTAGCCACCTTATTAAGACTACCGGACTCTCACATATGGTATAAACTGTTCATCTAAGAGGAGAAGGCCCTTGGTGTAACTCGGAAGATTCCAAGACCCGCATATTGTTCGGAATGTCAAACTAAAGCCTTTCGAGCTAAACTATCCACCTATCTGCAACCGCATTAGTCTCTCTAAAAATATGATGTATTGTATAACCCCTTCTCTCCATAATAACATGAATCTCTACCATTTCAAAGTGAAATTTCCAAGGAAAGGGACCCCCGTTGGATAAGATGTTAGCCAGCATTTGGCTATCCGTTTCCATCAACTCTAGGGTTTCACATTTTCGTATTCCAAACAAAAGGCAAAACACTTCTGCTTGAAAAAAAAAAATAAAATAAAAAATTCATCACAATGGACCGTACTTAAATGTAATTAAATGCGGGTCTAATACTAGGAAGTACAATATCTTAACACTGGGTTGTTATTTAATTCCCTTTGGATCGACATCTTACTTCTCCTTCCGTTTCATATTTCTCCCTTTAGCTTATACCGAAAAATCAATATGTTTCCTATTTCTCCCTTTGACTTCTGCCAATAAATCGATATGAGACTTTGTAGATAAAAATTCTAGTCAATCAGACGAAACTTCTATTGGTTGGAACATAGAAAGAGCAAAAAAATTATCAAATTTGTATTTAGTAAGGGTTTTGAATAATTATCATTATTGTTATCATCAATTACTACTGCTTGTGATTTTAGTGTTCAAGCTCAATTAGTCCAAATGCAATATCTGAACGATCCCTTTCACTATTCCTTCCTTTTATTTATTGTTATGTAAAAGATGTGACACGGGAACATTATGTAAAATTAAGAGTATACTTCTAATAAAATATATAAAGTCATTAATCAACAAAACAAAAAAGATGGACAATAAGTTATATTGGATAATTTAGAATATTAAAAATTATTCAAAATAACAAAATGCATTGACATTAAGAATTACATAATTTTAAATTATATCAGTAAATTATTCGTTTTTATATATATTACCCGGTAAAAAATGTCAAGTTCATATATATTTTGAGTAACAGCATCACGTGCGGGATAAACACGTTGTAATAGTACTATAAAATATTACGACGTGTGACACTCCGATATTATATAGAATCATAGAAATATGTGCTTTCTCGACCTCTTGAACAAAGTGTAGTTAATCCCAAAAAGACAAAACAGAAAGAGAAATAGAAGATACAGTTGTTTAATCGGGGAAGATCTAGGGCTCTACATATTCGCGTACATTCACACAAAACCCTCCTCCTCCTCCACACACCGACTTCTGCGAACATGAATCCCTCCGTTATCCGGTCAGCCAATAAGCTGCGGCAGCTCAAACACATCGGCAACCGGCCCAATTCCTCCCCAGTTCGAACAATCGCCAATGTTTCTCCCTCCTTCGTCAACCGCCGCTCCGATCATTACACTCACCTCTCGCCTCGTCATTCGCGGTGTCTTTCTGCTCTCTCTTACAGTAAACACTTCCGCTCCGGTGACGCACGGTAATTGAAGTCTGATTTCCCCCCCTGTTAACTGTTTCTAGATAGATTTTCTTCTTATGCTAGCACCGCAAGATAGCATTTCTTATCATGTTGTTCAATTTTGGCTGGTTGGAATTTGTAGTCGTGAAATCTGGAAGGAGATGGTGGACTATTCCGTGGTTTGGCCTTCTAGATATGTGCACGCCCCAATTAACTTGGGCATTCATGTTGTGCCGGATGACAAAGCTTACGTGGTGGAGAGACTCGGGAGATATTTGAAGACACTGTGGGGAGGAACGCATCTATTGATTCCCTTGGTCGATCGCATATCCTTCGTCCACGGTTTGCGAAACCAGTGTGTCCCTCTCTACCCACTTGTTGCCACTACCAAGGACAAGAGAAGGGTGACCTTGGATTCGTTCCTCAGCTACCGTGTATGAATCTTATATTTTCTCCCTATGATAATAATTTCCATGATGTGACCTTTATTTGTTATTATTGATTCTTCTGAATAAAGAAGGGCACTCTCCCTATGATAATAATTTCAGTGATGTGACCTTTAGTTGTTATTGTTGACTCTTCTGAATAGAGAAGGGCATCTAGTTTGTACAAAAACTACTGCATCTGTTTCGAGCCACAAGAAGGGTAAGGAAACTATATAGGGGACATTGTTATTCTTTTTTATGTATGCCTCACGTACTCTGCTGAAGAAGTTTTATAGAAATATTGGTGGGGAAATGCAGTTTAGGTGAGGCTTGAGATGTTGACTAGGTGTGATGCTGACAGTTGAATTGTACTGTAACAAGTGCTCGTCACTGACTCAAATATTGTTTCTGTTTTGATTGTTTCTGTAGATTTTGCATCAGAAAAGTTTTACATTCCAATTGCATTGCCTTCAGTCCCTTAAGATTTACTTACAGATCCTTGAGTATCATGGTTAGCATCAGCTTAAGAATAGAAAACCATTTCTGCAGTTTCCCCATCATCGTGAATATATGACTAATATCTGTAGCCTTTTTCATACCTGATTTCATGAATCCATTATCTCATGTTGTTTCACAAACCTTTCTTAGAAAATGGGAAATCTTGTGTTGTTTTATCCTTCTAGATAATTACTATATATTCTTGTTTTGGCCGGTTTAGGTTTTCGCTTAATAAGCTATTTCAGTTTCTTTTATTCTTGTTATCCTTCGAATTCAAGGGGCTTGATTTGTCCCTAAGGCATAACATCTTTAATGTATGGGCTGAGGCGAAGTAGAAGGTCACACTAGCTTGTTGAGAGATGAAGGAAGGGGTTAGTTTTAGGGTTTTGTGTCTTCAGCTTGCCAGTGATGCTGTAGGAATTCTTTTTAAAAAAAAAAAAAAATCTCACTGAAATGTTGGACTTTTTTGCAGATTTTTAATCCCAAGCTAGCATCGTACGAGGCCAAGAATCCACTTAGTTACATGGTTCTAAGGGCTGTGGACGTTATGCGATCTGAGATCTTTAAGATCAACTTAAAAGATCTTGGCGTTAAGTTGTTTGATATCACGGAGAAGGCAAAGGTAAGCGAGCTCTTTATGTATCTATTATTGGTGTTTTGACCCTTCTATCCGTTCTCTTCAATCAGTTCGGTGGGGGTAGGCTGTTTTGTTAGAGTTTTAGGGTTTTTTTTTCTTTAACCGGAGATTCTGTTTATCCTACAAATAATAACTAATTTGAAATCCCAACATTCTTCATAATATTTTTAAATTTAATTGTTCCTTGTGTCTTAGTTGAGGGTAAGGCCGTGTAGCTCTTCACCTCCTTAGTTAAGGGTTGGAAGAATCTGTAATCACATAAATGGATTAATTATGCTTCTGACTGTGGGTGCGAAATTACTTTCCCAACATTATTCTTATGACTGTAGCTCTTGACCTCCTTGTTTGAGGGTTGACTGCTTGAAAGAACCTTTAATCACATAATTGGATTAATTATGCTTCTGGCTGTGTGTGCTGAATTATGTTTCCCTTCCTCTTTTCATTTCAGGATCTTATAAACAAAGAATGCAGGGATTGGGGCATCGTTTGTGCTGCTATAGAAACAAGCAAGTAAGGTTTAATTTGAAAATAGTATCACTTAGAATTTTACACTCACATGACGACAACTGTTAGAAAAGTTTTTTTGATATCTTTTTTTTGGTGTGTGTGTGTGTGTGTTTGGACAGCGGGCGTTTGTGAGCATAAAGATACTAATATGACTAAGGGGATGGAACTGCAGGAATTGCAGATGGTAATGAAGAGTCTTGAATTTGAAGGTATTTTCAATTTTTCATAGTATTACTTTTCTGTTCCATATATGTTGTGTTTGTACAAAGAATTTTTTATATTTCACAATGTACATTAGTAAATCTTACCGTTTATGGTATTTTGTTAAACTTGCGTTCGTCCATTTTAACCTTGATGATGATGATGATGATGCTATAATGCTGTTAAATGTTAATATTGTAAAACTTCGAGCAGTAAGAATAAAATGACAAAACTCTTTTTTTAGGACATCCAAAAAATATTTAAAAACATGACTATTATATGAGTTACTCAGAGAGGAATAATCATATAGAGTTGGTGTTACATTTGACAAAATTGTTACACTTGCTGTTTAGTTTGACAATAATGAGTACACCACCTTCCTGGTCTTTCATTGCACCACCATCATCTCTTCATCTTCATGAAGTGCGCGCCAGACACTCGATTTGGAATGATATCGTTATTTCTTGACAATGTGTATGTTTTTTTTTTGGTTGTTTTTTCTGGTTTGTTCCGGCTGACGGAAAAGTCGCTAAGTGTTGAAGATAATCCAAACATGAATAAGCATTTCTGTACGATCCACACGGTTCCTAATCTTCTCCCTAGTGGCAAGCTCACCAAAGCTACTCTACATTTCAGCTTTCCTTTTCAAAAAGGTCTTTGTTTTCTTCTTTTTCTTTTGGGTGGGCTTGGGGGCAGCAACGCCCTCTGCAGTGAATATATTGATTTGCAAAGGTCAGACCTTGAAGTTACCACTTGATTTAGAATGTAACCAGTGGCACTGCTTTTGGCTCAATGGTATTGAGCGGCTTCGTTAGCAAAGGTGTTTCTGTGTACCCCTTCATCACTGCCACAACAATTCAGGTTAACTGAATGTCTTCAATAGCTGGGGGAATCATCTCCTTAAAAAAAAATCATTTTACAGGGTAGACTTCTGTGTCAAATGGAGTACACTTTCATGGATTGTTAGTGTGATTGCCTTATAATTCCCTAGGATTGCGCACCTATGAAGATATGAATACTTGAGGCAATCGCTATTTCTTGGTTTTTTCAAAGACCATGACTTTCTGAATTTCCAGGATCAAAGAACTGGTATTTAGCAAGTTCATGTTATGAAATGGTATTCAAAATGGTACACATATGGTCTGGAAAAGTTAGTTTTGTGTCGCAATCTCTTTTGTTGTGAGATACAAATGTAATCAGGGGTGCACAAAACTAATCTACTTCTAAGTGTCAAATTCAGCAGTTACATTTTCAAAAGACAATCCGTTATTGCAGGAATCTTTTACAGAAATTTTATCCTTTTCTTTTGGTGGATTTGGGTATGAGTGTTTGTAGGCATGAGCTATTAATAACTGATGTTTCTAAGGGGCAAAAAGAGTTATTATTGCTTCAAAAGATAAAAGCAAGACAACACTATAGAGTTGGAGGCAACTGATAATATTATTTTTTATGCTCTCACTATCTCCTCATTTCTTTGGTAATTTTTACTATCTGACTGTTAATTACATGGTCAACATCATTACAAGACAATTTTGTTCTCTTCTTGAATATGCTTTTGATGAACTAGTGACAGTTTTATGTTTCTATTTTCACGCAGGGGTTGCACCAGACATTAAGGAAGATCTAATAACTGTTCAAAATTTTGCAAAAGCTTTGAAAAGCCCAGAGTTTGCTGAAAATCCTGTAGCGAGAGATCTGCGGAAGTTGGGAGAAACCATTATAACCGTGGCGAAGGTGGTCTTTTTTGTTAATGCTTGAAATTTCCAAAATTTATCCTGAACCACCAAATTGTCTGTGTTTTTATTCACATTGGGAATTGATCCACATGGTGTATAAACACAGATTGCGAAGTGAATGGCCTTTTATGTCTAAGACACAAACAACCGTAAACCCAAAAAAAAAGAAAAATAGCCCCCCTCCTTTCCTTCCCGCGTATCAATTGAATTTAATTTCATTATGTGCTTTAAATGCAGATGGCAATCAAAGCAGCAAAGAGAAAAGATGGTGCATCTTCTGAAGTTTCGAAGGAGAAGGTAATAGCGAAAAGCAGTTACATTTTTACTTTCTTTTTCTGATTCCTTTTAGCTCATTTTGGTATTCCACGAAATGGAACTATGTCCATTTTTTGCCCTGGAATTGAAAGAAATGTAAAAAAAAGAGGTGTCACTGTAGGGTGAGGGTGCCATGGTTGGGGCCATTGGGTCAATCAAGAAGGAAGAGGCGGTGAAGAAATAGTGCCTTCACTTCAAGGAAGCTAGTTTTCTGATGATTAAGTGAGGGTTAACATTAATGTTGTCTAAATATACTTACTATTGGAGAGTGTCCTGTTGTCTAAATCTTAAAGTGTGTTAAATTAAACACAAGTTATCCTTGGTAGTAAGTCGTGACATGTTATGCTTAAGTAGTTTGTTAGTTTAATATGATGGATGTGTAAGTTAGGCAACGGTTGTTTAATGGAATGATGATGATATTGATCTCGTTATGCTCTAGCAAACGTCGGAGAGCTGATCTGTGAATTTATTAATTACTATTACCTGCGAAACAAACTTATTACTATTGATCTCGTTCTGATGTACTCCTTCCCTCCGGTCCTTCTTATAAGATATTTTTACTTTTTTTAAGTTTTACATAGTATGCATTTTTACTTGACACAAAAACATTAAAATGCATATTAGGTGAAATTTAGAACAAATCAAAATGTCTTATATCAAGGACCGGAGGAAGTATTTATTTTGTGCTCTCTCTGTCAGACACACAAACACAAAATTAACTTGTGAGCAATCAGCATTTTCCATCCCTCCTAGAGACTAAATGAAGAGGCAAATGGCAAAATCTTGTTGGCTAAATCTTCTTTTTTCTGGACATGTAAGATAAAAACAACGGCACAAATTTTCGTGGAATGATGGAAGAAACATGAGCATCTATGAACCATCATCAATCACAATTCACAGGCTGTTTAAACAAAAATTTGTTTCAGATCATGGTAACGACTAAAAAATGACCAGTGTGATTACAAGATCAACCAAAACCATCTAAAAGTTAACATCCATCATTCTTAAGCCTGCAATTACATAGACGTATTTATTTATTATTACCTAGCTCCTGCAATTACATGCGTGGAAAGAGAAAGACATATTTATTTAATAATACCATACATTCAAAATATTTTTTAATAATTAGGAGAATATAAATGCAAAATGTTTTTTAAATTGTTTTTTATTGAATCAAAAGAACATACAGTATTTAGTAAAATTTAGAGAAAATCAAAATGCCTTACTTATAATCCATCGAACGTTGCGCGACCAATGCATAATCGAAGTATTTTATTTTATTCTTGTTCGCAAAAATTAAATTCAGACTTTGAATAGTAAAAATTTTGGCATAAGCCTTATTTGAGACGAAAAATGTTTTTATTATTATTATTAAATTCAGACTAATAATACATTCTTTTACATAGAAATCACAACAAAAATTAAATTTTGAAATAGTATAAATCTCAAGAACTCGTAATTTATAATTGAAAATTTTAATAGTATTTGATATGCAAGATTCTACACTTTTAAAATTTTAGTAGAACTTCTGATTTTTTTTCCCAATCAATCGAGGCAAAGTGCTATTTTATTATCCATGAATATGCTTTTTCCAGTGTTATTGTTAATTAGTAATATCTCGTTTGTATTATCCTTATCCTTGTACGTTTATATTACCCTTTGGTGAGTAAATTAACTACGGTGTTGTTTATGGTTTTTATTATCCTTCTCCTTATACGTTTTTATTACCAGTTGGTGAGTAAATTAATTACGGTGTTATTTATGGTGAGCTATGGAGGAGTAGTAACAATTTTGAAATGTATAATCGGTTATGCTAGATAGATTCTGATTTATTGCCAAGCTTGAAAATAATTTGAATAGATTAATTTAAAGGTCAATAGATTATTATTATGAAGATCTTTGTCTAATAGAAAAAAACAACCATAGGAGACAATATTAGTTTGTGTTTTTTGTGCCATCAATATGGTCTACGCCCGCATTTCGTTGAGCCCCCCAAAAAACACTCCCCCCTCCTACCAAAACACTTACATATCTACTACCAGTAAGTAGTAATGTTATATATTGGTCAAAAGTTATTATACAGTTGATGAAAGATTCATTCTTGATGCCACTGACAAGTGATCAACTTGTTAGGCTTGATAAAGCAGCACATCCTCTGCAAAACATTCCCCACCCGTTTCAGAGACAAGAAGATGATTACAGAACCGTTAAAAGGTTTCTTTCAGGATTGGCCAAAAAAATAAATAAAATGATTGTAGTCTCTGCAAAATCTTTCATATCAGAAGTTTAAACACAGTTTTCACATTCTAAACTTTTTTAATAAGAAAGGCAGGGAATGTACATGATCAAATTGAAATGCAGCAACTTACACAATGGAACAGCCAAAGGTTCTGTGCCTTCTTTTTCTAGCAACTTCTTTCCTCCACGGAGGTTGGAGAACAACTTTGATGGCAGTTTCAAACACAGCTTTCACATTCTAAACAAGTAACAATTTTACAGGGTCAGTTATGAGAATGAGACTGAGTCTAGCAGTCTAAATGTTATATTCGCAACAGTCTTCAAACCCTAGTAGCAACAACTTCGATGAGATGCTAAACTTCTGTCTCTAAATTTATGGGTTACCTATTGAAGAGTGTGAATGAGAAGTTTGGATTTTGATTTTGTAGAATATGATTTGTAATTAAGCTTGTTTAACAGTTTTATTAATTAATCCAAGCTTTTCTTGAAATGATGTTATGTTAGAATCTTGAAATGATATTATGTTATGTTCTTGAGGAAGAAGGGAAGAGGTTAAATTTTTTTTTTCTTCCGTTAATAGAATTAATTAGCAAAGGGTAACAATGCTATAATAGAATTGTTTTAATTTTATAATTTAAATCAAGTAATTTACTGCCCTTAATAAAAATTATTTCATTATCACATTCCTTTTATTAATGTGATTAAATCTACTGCCTCTTAGACAAATTTTCCCTATTTTAATTACAAATTTATCCCACTTAAGTCGTGGCGGTAAAATCGATATAAACCGTCAGATCAAAGCCTATCGACGGACAAGATCTCACCAGGGGTGAATATTATAACATAATATTTCAATATTTTCCAGTTAATACAAGTATTAGGATCAATCTATTTTTGTTATGGAGGTTAAAAATTTTGTAGGCAATATTACCAGTCTCAAATAATTTTCTAGTTTAAATTTTATTTCTAGTACAATCTAAATTTATTTAAAATAAAAAAGAATTTCACTTTTAGTATAATCTGAATTAAAAATAAAAATTCAAACAGTACAATAATTTTGGGATAGATGGAGTATGTATATAGGTTTGACCACACAAGCCTTAGGCTTGACCACATCGTTTGCCTCGGAGTGCAGGCAACGAATTTGCTCCAGCGAGTGGCCACACTATAAGTTGGCTTCAATTATATATCAAACACAACTCCGAAACACCGCGAAGCCTTATACCGCTACGAGCACAGCGAAGATGAGTGCGTTCGTTTCCCGGTCGACCAATCAACTGTGGCGGCTCCGACACCTCCGCCAACAGCACTACTCCTCTCCGGTCCGAGGAATCACCATGGCTGCTTCCTTCTTCCTCAACCAGCACTTCGACCGCTCTGAAAACCTCTCGCCTCCTCGTCCACGCTTTCTTTGTTCTTTCGACCCCCCTGACGGAAGGTAATTGAATTCTGATTCAATTTTAGTTTTACAGTTTTAAAATATTTTCTACAATGTTATTAGCACAGGACAAAATGTGAATTTTGAATCCCTTTTTTGTCTTGTATTTGTAGTCTGGACATCTTCAAAGAGAGGCTTGTGAAACCAGTTTATTGGCCTGAGCGGTTTGTGGACACCCCAACTAATTGGGGTATTCATGTTGTGCCCTACAACAAAGCTTACGTTGTAGAGCGATTTGGAGCATATGCGAAGAAGTTGATGCACGGAACCCATTTACTGATTCCGTTGGTCCACCGGATTGCCTTTGTTCATAGTTTGGAACAACAGTCTGTGCCAATCTCCCCGCTCACCGCTTATACCAGAGATGATGGAAGGGTTACTTTCGACTCGATTCTTCATTACCGCGTATGAATTTCTACTATATATTTCCCTCTGTGATAATATGAATTGCTGTGACTTGTTCTTCTGAATAAAGGGGGCCGCAAGTGCAGTTAGGGTTATGTTATAGAGATGTTGATTTGATATGATAGTGACTATTTTATTATACTGTCATAAGTGTTATAACTGATTCAAAGATTGTTTCTTCTGGCTACTTATGCTTCTAAATATTCATTTTGCATCAGGAAATTTTTTAACTTTCGACTGCATTGCCGCAAGTTACTTGAGAATTGCTTACAGATCTTTGTGGCAATATCATTGTGAAACATCAGCTTACGAATAGGAAAAGTTTTCAGCCAGTTGCCATTGATTATTTTGAGGAACTGGAAATCGTGTGTTGTTTTATCCTTGTAATTAGCAACTGGGAAGTCGTGTGTTGTTTTATCCTTATAATTAGCATTTGGGAAAACGGGTGTTTGTTAGTAAGTAAACTTAATTTGGTCCAATTAATATTGGGTTATCCAAAATTATTAACTTGGACCATTAATCTTTATGTTTAATCCTAAGCCCAAGTCCAATGAAGAATTGTCTAGATAAGAAGATATCTAGAAGTAGAAAGTTCTAGAAATGTTCTACATAAATATCAAGAGTATGTAGAAAAATTCATGGAAAATATCTAGAAGAAATATGTAGATATTAGTAAGGAAAAGTCTAGATATTAGAATAAAATATGTAGATATTTAGAAGGAGTAGAAACATCTTGAAAGAGTGTAGAACCTTCCATGCACTCCTATAAATAGGAGTTAACCCCCTAATGTAAGTATGTGTAGAGAGTTGTGAGAAACCTTAAACTAAAAGCTTAACACACTCCACCTTGTTTCCTTTTACTACAAAGTAATAAAGCTCCCTTTCTCCCAAAATTTCCTTCTCTTCCATTTTCACTTCCTAAACCTATCACTTAAAAGATCTCTTCCTTATAACCCAAAGGGTTCTTTTGCTAACAAACTGTATCGTAGTGGTGTTGGTCCAGCTTTGAAGTAAGATGGCAAATGGAATGATCTCTTTCCATTCCCTCAACTTACCAAAGAAAACTATGGTAAGTGGTCCATTCGAATGAAGGCGATCTTAGGCTCTCACGAGGTTTGGGAGATTGTTGAGAAAGGTTATGAGAAACCTCTAGATGAGGCTTCTTTGACTCCTGCCCAAAGGGGGGAACTCAACAAAGCAAGGAGAAAGGATCAACAAACTCTTTCACTTATCCATCAATGTCTAGATGATTCCATGTTCGAGAAGGTGGCAAATGCTTCTACATCAAAGGAGGCTTGGGATATTCTAGAGAATGCTAATAGAGGCATTGAGAAGGTTAAAAAGGTACGTCTTCAAACTCTTAGAGGAGAATTTGAAGCTTTACAAATGGAGGAGTCCGAATTTGTTTCGGATTATTGTTCTCGTGTCTTGAAAGTGTCAAATGAGATGAAGAGGAATGGAGAAAGCTTGAGCGACACAAGAGTAATAGAAAAAATTCTTCGCTCTTTGACACCAAGCTTTGATTATATTGTGGTAGCAATAGAGGAGTCAAAAGATCTTGACTCTATGACCATTGATCAACTCATGGGTACTTTAGTAGCCCATGAAGAGAAACTAAAGAAGAGAAGGACCAAAGAATCTTTGGAGCAAGCTCTCTACACAAAACTCTCTTTCAAAGAAAGAGATGGAGGCTTTGGACGTGGTAGAGGCCTTGGACGAGGCAATAGTGGATGTCAAGGACGTGGACGAGGAAGGGCTCGAGGTGGCTACGTTCAATCCACCAAGGATGACAATAACAAAGGTTCTCAATCTACAAGAGGTCGTGGAAGAGGTATGAAGTTTCAGAAAGGAGGTAAATCTCGAATCCAATGCTTTAATTGCCAGGAATATGGTCACTATGCAAGTGAGTGTAGGAATTCTAGTCAAGTAAAAGAGAAAGCCAATCTTATGGAGGTTAAAGATGAAGTTCAACTCACTCTCTTAATGCCAAGACACGAGGACGAAGGAGAGAAGAAGACGTGGTATCTTGACTCCGCTGCGAGTAACCACATGACTGGGGAAAAAAGGTTGTTTGTAGACATGGAACCAACCAAAGGGTGCGTGATGTTTAGAGATGATTCTAGAGCAAGGGTTGAAGGCAAAGGTAAGATACTAATCCTTGCTAAAGATGGAAGTCACCAATACATCTCAGAAGTTTATTATGTTCCAAGTCTTAAGAGTAATATCTTGAGCTTGGGACAACTTCTGGAGAAAAATTACGATATTCATTTGAAAGATCGTAGTGCCATAGTTAAGGATCCAGAAGGAAAATTGATTACCATTGTGCCAATGACAAGTAATAGAATGTTCTTGTTGAACATTCAACATGAGAACTGCATGAAAGCATGCTTGAAGGATGATTCGTGGATTTGGCACATGAGGTATGGTCATTTAAATTTTGGTGACTTGAAAATGTTATCTGCCAAATGCATGGTGAAAGGAATACCTCCTATCAATCAGCCCAATCAAGTATGTGAAGGATGCTTACTTGGGAAGCATTCGAGGAGTGCTTTCCCAAAGAAGCAACATCAAGAGCTAAGGAGCCTTTAGAACTCATCCATACAGACTTGTGTGGTCCTATCTCTCCGCCATCCCATGGTAAGAACACCTACTTCATTCTATTTATTGATGATTTCTCTCGAAAGACTTGGGTGTATTTTTTGAAGGAGAAATCACAATCCTTTGATGCCTTTAAGACATTTAAGGCTGTGGTGGAGAAGGAGAAAGGCTTGAAAATCAAAGCCTTAAAGTCGATAGAGGTGGAGAATTCACATCAAGTGAATTCACCAAATTCTGTGAAGAACATGGGATTAGACGATTCCTTACTGCTCCTTACTCTCCGCAACAAAATGGAGTTGCTGAAAGAAAGAATAGAACCATTCTCAATATGGTTCGTAGCATGCTAAAGAGCAAGAAGATGCCAAAGGAGTTATGGGTGAAGCAGTTGATTGTGCAAGATACCTACTAAATCGATGTCCCACGAAGAGTCTAGAAGACAAGACTCCACAAGAAGCATGGAATGGGACAAAGCCTACAGAAATCACCTACGAGTATTTGGGAGTATAGCATATGCCCATGTACCAAGCCAAAAGCGGTCCAAACTTGATGATCGAAGCGAGAAGCATGTCTTTGTTGGCTATGACAAACAATGAAGGTTATAAGCTCTACAATCCAGTCACAAACAAAGTTATTGTGAGTAGAGATGTAGAGTTTGATGAAAAGGAACCAGAACTGGAATATTGAAGGTGACGAAAGCTACGACTTCCTTCCCGTCATCCATGAATACGATGATAACAAGAGTGATGCAGTGAAGATACTCAAGCAACCTCAAAGTCCACATTCACCTTTGAATGAAGAGTCACAAAGGACGAGAAGCCTACAAGAGATCTATGAGGAAACAGACGCATAGAGGCTCTCACACTCTTCCGCCTTTTGCTTGATCGTGAACCTCTAGGTTATGAAGAGGCAGCAAGGAACGAGAAGTGGAGACACGCTATGGATGAGGAAATAAGATCCATAGAAAAGAATCAAACTTGGGAGCTAGCCTCTCTTCCAAAAGGCCACAAAGCAATTGGAGTAAAGTGTGTATTCAAAGCAAAGAAGAACGCTAAAGGAGAAGTTGAGAAGTACAAAGCAAGACTTGTCGCCAAAGGCTACAAGCAGAGACATGGCATTGACTACGAAGAGGTATTTGCTCCTGTTGCTCGCTTGGAGACTATCAGGTTAGTAATTTCTATCGCTGCCCAAAATAGATAAAAAAATCCATCAAATGGACGTAAAGTCTGCATTCTTAAATGGCTTTCTTGAAGAAGAAATATATGTGGAGCAGCCAGAAGGATATGTGGTCAAAGGCGATGAGAATAAAGTTCTCAGGCTAAGGAAGGCTTTATATGGTTTGACAAGCACCAAGAGCCTGGAATACAAGAATTGATCACTATTTTCAGGAAAATGGTTTCAAGAAATGTCCAAGTGAACATGCACTCTATGTGAAGTTTTCAGGCAATAGAGATATGTTGCTTGTTTGTTTGTACGTGGATGATCTCATCTTCACAGGAAATTCGCCTAGCATGATCAAAGATTTCAAGAAGGCAATGACTAAAGAGTTTGAGATGACTGATATAGGACTTATGTCCTATTATCTTGGCATCGAGGTCAAGCAATTGGATGATGGAATCTTCATCTCTCAACAAAGATACGCTAAGGAAGTTCTTAAGAAATTTGGCATGGAGAAGTGCAAGCCAATAGCCACCCCCATTGAATATGGAGCAAAGCTCTCAAAAGATGATGAAGGAGATGTTGTAGATCCAACTCACTTCAAGAGCCTTGTTGGAAGCCTACGTTATTTAACATGCACAAGGCCTGATATTCTCTTTGCTGTGGGACTTATCAGTCGATATATGGAAGCACCTACTACGACACACTTGAACGCTGCAAAGAGGATACTTCGCTACATCAAAGGTACTATTGATCTTGGCTTGTTATATTCCTCATGTGATGACTTCAAGCTTGTGGGATTCAGTGATAGTGACTGGTCTGGAGACTTGAGCGAACGGAAAAGTACTACTGGATTCGCATTCTTCCTTGGCAACACCGCTTTACATGGGTTTCTAAGAAACAACCTATAGTCACCTTGTCATCATGCGAGGCCAAGTACGTAGCAGCAGTATCATGTGTATGTCATGCTATCTGGCTCAGGAGCATGTTGAAGGAGTTAAGTATGCCACAAGGAGAAGCGACAGAGATATATGTTGACAACAAGTCGCCCATCGATCCGCAAAGAATCCAGTCTACCATGATCGAAGCAAGCATATTGATACAAGGTACCACTTCATAAGGGAATGTGTGGCCAAGAGGATCGTTGAGTTGAAGCATACAAGATCACGTGATCAAGTTGCAGATATTTTCACCAAACCACTCAAAGGAGAAGACTTTGCAAGATTGAGGATGATGCTTGGAGTCACCAAATCAAGTTTAAAGGGGGGTGTTAGTAAGTAAACTTAATTTGGTCCAATTAATATTGGGTTATCTAAAATTATTAACTTGGACCATGAATCTTTATGTTTAATCCTAAGCCCAAGTCCAATGAAGAATTGTCTAGATAAGAAGATATCTAGAAGTAGAAAGTTCTAGAAATGTTCTACATAAATATCAAGAGTATGTAGAAAAATTCATGGAAAATATCTAGAAGAAATATCTAGATATTAGTAAGGAAAAGTCTAGATATTAGAATAAAATATGTAGATATTTAGAAGGAGTAGAAACATCTTGAAAGAGTGTAGAACCTTCCATGCACTCCTATAAATAGGAGTTAACCCCCTAATGTAAGTATGTGTAGAGAGTTGTGAGAAACCTTAAACTAAAAGCTTAACACACTCCACCTTGTTTCCTTTTACTACAAAGTAGTAAAGCTCCCTTTCTCCCAAAATTTCCTTCTCTTCCATTTTCACTTCCTAAACCTATCACTTAAAAGATCTCTTCCTTATAACCCAAAGGGTTCTTTTGCTAACAGTGTTGTTTCACAATCTTTTTTGAGAAACTACCATCTGATCTGTTTTCTCGGTTCTGGTTTTCTCATAATTAGCAATTTTAGTTTCTTTTATTTCCATTATTTTCAAGTGTTTGATTCCTCCTTAATGCATTAAATTCCTGAATGTGTGGGGTGAGATAAGGTCACACTAGGCCACATGTAAACAGTCCTAATGCTTCGCAGCTTGTTGTAAGCAAGGTCAATGAAATGGTTGGGTTCAGTTTCTGGGGTTGCCAGCTTGCCGTCAACTGTTGTATGGGACATTCTTTTCTATATATTACTGAAATAATGAGATTGTTTTGCAGATTGTTGACCCAAAGCTGGGATCGTATGTGCATGAGAATCCACTAAATTGTATGGTTCTCAAGATAGTTGACATGATGCGTGAGGAGATATGGAAGATCAAATTGGACGAAGTTGTTGATTATCATGTCGATATCTCATGAAGATAGCGGTGAGCAAGCTGTCTATCTATCTATTATTGGCAATACCTTTTTATCCGTTATCATTAATCCATTGAGCGTGTCATGCTCTCTTAGTCTCCAACCAAGTTAGGGTTGTTTAAAATTGGCGTTTCATAGAGTTTTAGGTCTTAGACCGGAGATTTTACTTTTATCACATAATTGATTCAAGATCTCAACAGTCTTCATTGTACACATTTTGAATTTGATGCTTTTTTGTTCCTTATTAGTTGAGGGTTGGATTATTTGTAAGAACCTGTAGTAACATGATGAGGTTCCGCGGTCACTGTTTTTTGCCGCTTTTTCTTTTCAGGATCTTATAAATGTAGAATTCAAGGATTTGGGCGTGTTGTGTTTTCGTATAGAAACAAGTTAGTGACTTACAAGTTGAAAGTTTCACTTAGAATTTTTCAGTTTATCATAGTACATTCTTAAATGTTTTTTTTTCTGAGTTTTTTGACAGAGAAAATTGATAAGCATGAAGGTTGGACAGGGAAAATTGATAAGCATGAAGATTCGACTGAGAAAATTGATAAGCATAAAGATTCGACTGAGAAAATTGATAACCATAAAGATGAACTGACGACTTCGTTGACCAAGCTGCGGATGGCAATGCAGATTTTCGATTCTGAAGGTATAACTATTTTCTATAAAATTACTTTCCTGTTCCATATTAGCAGTCATATTTGAACATGGTATAACTTTTTGTACTGTACAATGTACAGCATACATTTCTAATATTTATTATCGTGTTCTTACATGTAACTGTTAACTGCATATGTATCAAATATTTGAAGTTAAAACATTCTGGTCGTAATAATAAAATTACAAAACTCATCTTTTGAGGACAAAAAAAATTGACAAGTATGTAAGAAAAAAATTACAAAACTCCTCTTGTTAGGATAAAAAAAAATTGACAAAGTATTTTTTAATGTCCATTTCTTTGTGCGTGCGTGCATGCGCATGCCTACTGACTGCTGTATAAAAGTTTAATTGTTTAAGATTAGAGCCAAAGATGAATAAGCATTGCTTTGTTTTGGGTTGAATAATCAGTGGTAATGCTGTTGACTCTTTAGTATTGATTGATTTGGTTAGCAAAGGTGTGTCTATGTAGTTCTTCGTTACTACAACAGCAATTCTGGTTCTCTGAAGGTCTTCAAGAGAAGAGTGGATCTTTTTGTTAAAAAATAAATTTACAACATCTTTTGCCAAATGGAGGAATTGCTATTTGAGCTGCCATGGATTGTCAATGTGATTGCGGCCGTATGTTTCCCCCTAGAATTATTACCTGTGATGAATGAATTACTTGATACAAGTGTCTTATCATGTTTTGTTTAAAGACCATGGCTCGCTGAATCTCATGGATCAGAACTTTTTAATAAGCATATTTAGCTTGTTGGTGTTATGATATAGTGTTGGAAGTGTAACACTTATGCTCTGAGTAAGCAATGAGGAGGTTTCGGATTGGTTAGGAATCAAATTCTGTTTTTGCTTATTCAAGATTGATTAGTTTCAATCTTGTTAGAAATTTGTATTGCAACACTCATGTCTTATAGAGATTCCGATGTGACCTGGCTTGCTACTCATTTTGTCAAGCCCGAAGCTACTTATCGCTAAATGCCAAGTTCAGAAGTTGCAATTTCATAACACAATCCGTAAATATGACATTCATTTTTGTTGCTAGTTTTTTTTTATTTTTTCTCAGGGATGTTTCAGGGAATTTGAATAAGAGACTAGTGGTGAGGATGTTTCATATTATAGTCTTACTACATTTATTTCTATACATGGGTTGATTTAAGTGTTATGCGATGTTGTTGAGGAGCCAAAAGAAAGTCATTATTGCTTCAAAAGCTGTAAAGCAATAAATGTTAATAGAGTTGTTGGCAAGTGAAGTGATATCGTTCTTTAATTGCGCTATATGAGGAACTGATTTGCAGTTCTTTGATTTCGTGCTGGTTTTTTCATGTCTGATACTTAATAACATCATTAGACGAGAAATTTTTCTCTTCTTGAATATGTTTCACCAAAATAGTGATAATTTATGTTTTCGTTTGCACGCAGGTGAAGAAGTACTGGACATTAGCTCATATCCTGAACTACGAGGTGTTCTAAAGTTGGCAAAAACCTTAAAAGGCCCGGAGCCTACTGGATCTAAAGAAAGAGGATTTCGGAAGCTAGCAGAAGCCGTGAAAGATTTGATGAAGGTGAGGTCTTTTTTGTTTAGGCTCAAAGTTTACAAAATAATCCTTAAAAACCTATCAATGTTTTTCAATCTCTTTTCATAGAATCACGATAATGTAGGTGGTGCATGAGCATAGTGAAGTGAATGGCCTTCATGTCTAAAATAAAACCCTCCCACAACACAGACACCCACCCAGACTCCGGACAGTGTAACTATCAATTTAATATCATCTTGTTGTATTATTAATGTAGATGGGAATCGAAGTGGGAGAGAGCATGGAATTGTCTTATGGAGTTTCAAAAGAGAAGGTAGAAGTGTTTCCTTTTTGGTTCATCTCTTCTCATTTTTGTTGTATTCCATGGAAACTGCGTCTTTTTCTTCTTTTTTTTTTTTTTCTCTCCCTTTTGGAAAGGAAAGAAAAGTGGAAATGGTTTCTTTGTAGGGTGAGGATGCCATGGCCGTCGACGGTGTTCGTGTCAATCGGTCAAGCACTAAGGAAGAAGCAGTGAAGAAATAAGGGCTTGGTTTCAAGGAGTTTGTTTGCTGAGGATTGGGGGAGGAGTATACTGATGATGGTTCGTATACTGAATCTGAAAGATTTGTCATGCCGACTCTTAAATTTAACTTATGATCCTTGTAGTAGTAGTAGTAGTAGTAGTAGTAGTAGTAGTAGTAGCATGGTACTACCGTATTATGCCCAACAAGTAGTTGACCTCTACGCTAAAGTGCTAAACAACTCTTAAGTGTTATGTAAATTACGGCTTTGTTAATAGAAAAAAGCAAAAATCAAGACCAAAAAAAAAAAAGGCTGTTGGCTCTATCGCACATGAAAACTATTGATCTTATTCTGGAAACTACTTAGCAACAATAGCCATTGTACTTGAAACAAACAAACTATTTTACTAATCTTCATTATGTTAGTCAATTAACCAAAAAAAAAAAAAAAGAGTAGTCTAAAGCGTAATTTGTACTGAAAAAAATATTATAAGTGTTTATTTTGCGAAGTAGGGTTTGGAATCTTTTATTTCTCGAGTGCACAACTTGAGATTTAATAACAAAAATACTTTTTAAGTTATTTGTTTGAGGAAGTTGAGATTATATATTCGGAGGTCTTTAATTTCTTAAAAAATAAGAGATATTCTCAATGCTCCAACTCTGGATCACTGATTTATCATGTTTGTTTCTGATATCTGTGGTGTTTCAAGTTTCAACACAATCTTTGTTTGGAATATATGAAGCTAGCTAGCGAGCTTTGTTATCTGTTTCTGTGAAATAATTCCACATAAAACATGCTATAATGAACAAAAAGATAGTAATTAGAATTGTAACTCACTTTTAGCGCTTGTTTCGCCAAAGTTTATTTTTAATCATCCTCCTTTCACTGCCACTTAATCCTGAAACCTTTTTGGTATATTCATGAACTTTATTACAAATGATTTATAATAATAATAAAAACAAAGTCACAATGAATACGGCCTAGGAAGGCCATTGAACAAGTATATATTCTATACACTATAATACTTTCAACAAAATAATTACGTGAATCATCACAATATTATACATACCCCTACTTCTGATTACATAAGTGTTGGAAAATTTTGATCTTTGTCCTTTTTTTAAAAAAAAAATTTATGAAAATTAAATACTGGCTGATGAACAAATAACAATATTGGTTTTCTTAAAAAAAAAAACCCTAATCAGAAAAACTGAAACCGACTTGAGCAGAAAGAAATCCCCCGGCTCTCAACCGCGAAAAGAAAATAAAAAAACAATAAATAAATACAGAAACTTGGAAAACTAGCAAGCACCCTAGATTGTTCCCGAAGCTAAGCGAAAGGATGGGTTGGATCTGGACAGACGACGACGACGACGACGGCGGCAGCGTTCGCCACCGCGACTCCCACCGTTCCTCCTCCTCTGACGGTGGCCTTTGCGCCACCAGAAAAGTAATCAAATCCCAGTGCCGAACCGAGGAAGTTGAGCCCGGAAGATTTATGAGGAAGTGTGAGAAAATCGAGGAGGTTCTTAAAGACTGTGTTGGAAGGTTTGTTTCCTAAAAAGTTTTTCAATTGTGTATGTTTCGACTCAATTTTGTGCATTTAGATTGATCAATTGGTCAAAACCTATTATAGCCGAGACCATTTGTCTCTATGTCTGTATGGGAAATAATCTACCTCTTGATTCGATTGGTTTGGTTTCATTTATTTGAGGAGAAATTCGAGTACCTTTTGGCGCGTCAAGGATTCAGGCATCCTTTTCTTTCTGGTGTTCTTGAATGCCAGAAAAGTGATTGGCCTTTAGCATCAATGCTGCTTCCTAGTGGCAATTTAGCAGGAACTTGGAACATTTTCCAATTGAGTAGAATTTAGGGACTTTGGTCGGATTAAGCTGCTCAAATAATTATGATTTTTATGTTTCATTCATAAAGTATAAAGTTTATAAGCGTATTCGAAGCTTATGATTATTGAACTTGAATTTGATCATAGTTTGAGTTTCACATCATCTTTATCATTGTTGGGTGGGTGATGCGTTATTTTATTTTGGCCCCGACTCCCTCTGAATGGTTGGGAAAACTTTTTGCATTAATTGTTTTTGGCTTTCTATTTGCGCGATTCTATGGTATGGAGGTGGAAAACACCGACTGTCTTGGCATTTCCACTTTCCTGTAGTATGAGCATGGGCCTGTGTAATCCACAGGACACATATAATTGGATTTAGATAGACAGTCGGAGAAACCTTAGCTGGAAGCATAACTGTATCAGAAGTATTTACATCATGCCATATTTTCTTACTAGCTACTTTGTTTTCCATCTGTTTCAAGTGTTCTTCAGAAAATGTGAACTTGCCTTGGTGGCTCCTAGACAGCTGAATATTTAACTAGACTACTTCCTCGTGCCTCATTCAATCTTTCTTTGTTTTGCCATTCTGCCTTTTGTGTTCTGTATTCTGGACCCATTACCTCAGTCTGCTATTAATTTTCTTCTTCTGTTATTTAATAGCTTCCATGTGGATTGAGACTTTATTGAATGTGATTTAGTTTGTATTGTTTGACCATTTCTATGGCAAGAAGGCCCTGAGGATTTATATTCATTCTGAGTTACTTGCTTTTACGTTATGATTTTTTTAATTCTTTGGATCAGATTCTAATTATATTGGTTTTGGAGCTTGTGGTTTTATTCTATGTGAGCATTTTGTTTTGGTGCAAATTTATTACGGTAATTGAACTTTGTTTCGTGGGATTATACGGTTGGTTGTTGAACCTAATGTAACTTGTGTTTCAGGCCCACTGAAGTTGTGCAATCAAATAAAGAGTATACTGAGGAAGATGTTACCCATCAGATGTCTAAGGGTTCTTTTGCTATGGAGTCTCCCGGAGGACCTGTGCCATTTGACTTCCCCGGTCTACGCAGTGACATTGAATCCATTGAACGCAGCTTATTTAGCAGCTTTGGTAACTTTTTCAAAGCAGCTGAAGAGTTAACAAATGACTTCTACTCCATGTTTGGAACTTCTGGTAGTCCTCACGTCCATGAAGGCAATGTTTCACGTGGAAGTAGTAGGAGTCGGGGGATCCGTGTTGAAGCCCCTGAAGGGCGACCTTCTAGTTCGAGGCATTCAGATGGAGATGTTGATCTATCTGGATTTTCTAGCGATGTCTGAAGGCAAATCAATGCTTTGGTCGATTGAGAAACTGTACTGATGTACTTTTGGCTTATTTTTGAAAAACAAGAAGAGGAATGCCTTCACAAGCTGGCCTCTCTGCTCTTTTCAAATAGTCTGATAATTTCTAGCTGTTAGATTTCGATGCCGTTTTGAAGCTTGTTTTTCTAATAGGTTATCCACTTGTTTCTGTATATTCGGATTCACTTTCTGTTTCAAATATGTTTTTCTTTTGGACCTTTATGAAGGCCAGCATTTGATATTTGAAATTAAATAATGGTGCTTCAAATATCTCGTGGATATTCCCTGAGTTTGTTTAGTTGATGCATTATTGCACACGAGTGATTGGAGAATTTCTTAGCTGTTACCGATATCGTATTACTCCTTGCTGGATGATGATGGTTGAAACTGAGGCCGTGTTAAGTTTCAAACTTTCAATTGAGATGCGTCAATTTGTACGTCTATACTCTGTAGTCAGGGCGTGCCCTGTTAGACCATCTGAGGAAGATTATCCGACTGATGCAGTTAGTTAGCAGTTAGTGCAGTTACTTTGTAGCTTGTGCAGGCTTAATTGAAAGAGCAAAATGGTGTGGATGGGTTTAGCCGCTCATAGATTAGTAAGAAACCAACCAGTTTGTTAGGGTCAGACCCAACAGGCACGTTTTGGCATAATAATAACGAATAATCAAAGATGCGCACCCCCACCTCCTGGATTGAATCGAAAATGAGAATAATCAACAGGCAAGTTTTGCATTGTGAATAATTTATGGGGGAAAAGGTGGGGACTGTTCTTCTCATCACTTTTTGGAGGGTCGGAAATTTCTTGTGTAGACACAGTTTGATCGATCAGGATTGACTTTATGATATATCACTGCCAGGTTCTTGAGGAAGTGAATCCATAGCCTTGAAGCTGCCAATGATATCCGAAAACACACACAAAAAAAAAAAACTTAATTTCGATCTTAAAAGGACATTAGATTATTTTGCAAAATTATTTTTCTGGGATGAAACAAGTACTACATTGAAAAAAGGATCGGGCAACCAAATAGAACCTAGATGGCTACATTGCGAGAATCAAAAGAAATCCTTGATAAAGTGAAAACCTGGCTTAGTGTTGACATAGTTGTAGCCGTAACAGCTGTGGCCTGCAGTCCGCAGCCGGCGGGGCACCAAAGTTACGCCACCAATTTATGCAGCCGCCTAATCACCTTTGGCAAAATCCATATGTTAACAAGGTCAACTAAAAACACCTCTTTTTTTCTTTTTCTTTTTTTTCTTTTGTGTGTGTGTGTGTGTTGACGATGATACCATCGTTTAATTGATTGGAGAAAAGGAAGTGGCTTCCCACTCCTTATGCTTTTTGTTGTTAATTATCTCTTTTTTTGGACGCCACCAGGAAACAAACGAACATTCATTCATCTTGTTTCAGTATCTATATCTATAACCTGTATGGCCAAATGCATCATTCCAAATCAGCACAGAAGAAAAAAGATAACCTGTATGGCCAAATGCATCATTCCAAATCAGCACAGAAGAAAAAAGATAATCACCATTAGTCCCTTAATTTGAACTCAGATTCTGATTTACTCCTCCTTGCCTTTTTAAGCATATAAAATTTGTCATCCGACAGAGAACTTCAATCTTAATCCATCTTATGGTCAAAATTACACTACGGTTTAATTCCTTATGAAAAAAGCGTACACACACAAAATACGACTTTTATCTTAAGACGGAAAGAATACTAAATTATGAGTTGTTTTATCGAATTTGGTTCCATTTTGACTCGAATCAACTAAAGAGAAAGGGAAATCCTCTTGATGTTTCGGTCGAAAAACATACGTTGCAAATAGAATGAGTCATAAATTATAATCTGACCCTTATCTAGCTCAGACTCACATTAATTAGAGCCAAATTTCGTTAATAATGATGGTATTAAATCTATAACAACTGAATTTATATATATATATATATATATATTTTTTTTTTACTCACACGGTTAAGATGAATTAATCAGATCGAAAAAAAGAAAAGAGTCAAGTAACGACCTACGTACACAGCGCGTATTTGAAACATTCCATACACAGAAAAACCTGCGACTCCACCTCTTCATCCCACCTTCCTTCCTTCCTTCCCCTGTTTACTTTCGCTTATATGTCACGTCCCTTCCTCCTAAAATCCCTATCAAATTCCAGAGATTAATTCAACCCCCCCAAAAAAAACCATTCAAAACCCTCAATTTGATCACAGAATAACATTCATTTTACCTACTCTTTTTTACATTTTGGAAGGGATATAGGATTTATTGGAGGGAGGGAAGATTCATTTGTGTGTGACTCGGTAAACCGAATTACTTTATCTGTACAAATAAAGACTCTGTCTTTCCTAATCTGTCACTTTCTTTCTCCCTTACGTAACCATTTTTTCCCGTCAATGAAATCGTTAAATTTTTGTTTTGTGTAATTGACAATTGGGTTATTGATTTTTTCGCCTGGAATGGTTCAATATTAACACCCTTTGGTTTGATTAGTTCTCCAGAAGCCTGAAGGGTGTCTCTAATTTTTCCTTCTTTTGTTTTCTGAAATTTTTCCAACTTATCCCCGTTTCAATTCTGTTCAAATTACTGCTGTGTATCAGTGTTGATCAAAGTGTAGTGTTTTGGATTGGAGCTAAGAGCGGTCTCCTTTCCATTTGTGCCAATATTGTTGCCAGAAGATTGTTTCTTTATTGAGACAAAAGTGAAATGGAATCGGGTTGCATGGACTTATGACGATTGTGTTAAAGCTACAAGATTGTTGATCAAAGGTGCTGTTTACAAAGAAGAGATAGTAGAATTCAGAGATGGGAAATAACTGTGTGCATGGCAGATACTCATTCCAGACTATCTCTAATTCTCTGTGGAAGAATCGCTCACCCGATAGGATTGGATATGCAAACAGAGAGATCAACGGTACTGAAGTTCCATCCTCCATGGCTAACATTTCCAAGGAATCAGAAGCTCGTTTACCTGTCCAACACACACCTCCTGAAATGGTAATTATAGTCACAGATGGGAGTATTAAATCCAAGCCTATTATTAGTTCTCAGGAAGTGATCACGTTGATGAAGGAAGACGAAAAACCAGCCAGTAAAGCTAACAAATGGGAAGATGTTGTCAAAGAAAACAAGGAAGTTGCAAACTCCAGGGAACCTGAAGAGCAGCCTAAACCAGCTGCTGCAGCTGTTAGACCAAATCTGGTGGAAGATGAAAAACCTGTACAGGTTTCTTGTACTGAGCTAAGTACCAAAGAAGAAACAGAGAAGCCTAAACCAGTTGCCAGGCCTGAGCAAAGGGGCCAGGCTGAGACGGAGAAGCCTAAACCAGTGGAGAACGAGAAGCGAAAGGTTCCTCGCAATGTGAAGAGAATGGCTAGTGCAGGCCTTCAGGTGGATTCTATTTTAAGAACTAAGACAGGGCATCTTAAGGAATACTACAATTTGGGACCAAAACTTGGAAATGGTCAGTTTGGAACTACTTTCCTTTGTGTGGAGAGAGCAACAGGGAAACAGTATGCCTGCAAATCGATTGCGAAAAGGAAGTTATTGACTCTGGAGGATGTTGATGATGTCAGGAGGGAAATTGAGATTATGCATCACTTGTCTGGGAATCCCAATATTATTTCAATCAAAGGGGCTTATGAGGACAATGTAGCTGTTCATGTTGTCATGGAACTCTGTTCAGGTGGCGAGCTTTTCGATAGAATTGTCAAGCGAGGGCATTATACAGAAAGAAAGGCTGCTCACTTAACCAGGACTATTGTGAGTGTGATTCAAACTTGTCATTCTTTAGGTGTCACTCATCGTGATCTTAAGCCAGAGAATTTCCTCTTTGTCAACGAGAAGGAAAACTCGCCAATCAAGATCATAGATTTTGGACTGTCTATGTTCTTCAAACCAGGTATAATCCCTGACTTCCACCCTGATTCAGTCATCTTGCTGTTAAAGTTGTTTTCTCTGTTGATGTGTCAACTTTGAACTCCTTAATCTCTGACTGATTTTGGAGCTCAGTTGATTAAATGTCTCTTTTCTTTGGTTCAACAGGTTATCTGTCTTGAATAGTTTTGGATTCAACAGTTTATATTAGTATCTTTTACATAAATATGATTCAAAACTGAATTTCTAGCTATTTAAGATGATTCACTTATTTTTATTAGGACTATCTCACTGAAAACTAACAACAGTAATGTGAAATTTGCCGTGCTACATGGTTAATTTTGGTTCCTTATTGGGATTTTGTCCTCTGGCAAAGACTTTGAGCATACTTTACTTTTCAAATCAAAAGCCTTCATCAGAGAGCATAGAAGGAACTGGAACTACCTCTTTGCTTAAAATTCATAAATGCTATTTGGCTTCACAGGTGACCAAGCTCTTCATGTAAAAAGGGAAATCAGACATTATGTTACCTAGATTAAGTACTTCTCAGTAAGAGATTATGTTGAATTGTGACTAATAATAATAGGGGTGGACACTGGTACTCACATATCCTAATGATTTGCAGTAATCTCTAGAGATCTGCTTTTCCTTCTGCTAACAGCGGCTAGTGTGTTTAACTTCCTATAATCTTTTTCGAGCTGAGAAATTGATGACTATATGCCATCTACTAATGCAGGTGAAAGGTTCACAGATGTTGTTGGAAGCCCCTATTATGTAGCCCCGGAAGTTCTTTGCAAGAATTATGGTGTAGAGGCTGATATCTGGAGTGCTGGTGTAATTGTTTACATTCTCCTCAGTGGTGTGCCTCCATTTTGGGGAGGTAAGATAATGAGACTTTCATTTAGATGTTTATCAAAAACTATCAAGAGATCAGTTATTTTAATGGACTGTAAACTGCACAACTTTATTCATTCTTGCTTTGTCTCCAAATTCAATCCATTACAGAAAGTGAAAAGGAAATTTTCAAAGAAGTGTTGCACGGTGATCTTGACTTCTCATCTGATCCATGGCCTAGAATCTCTGAAGAAGCAAAAGATTTAGTACGGAGAATGCTTGTCAGAGATCCCAGAAAGAGGCTAACAGCTCATGAAGTTCTTTGTGAGTTACTCAGCTCTTTGACCTTCAGCTTTGACGCTTACTTGGCTTACACAACTGCTTAGATTGTAATGCAATTCATTTGTTATTTTCCATCTAATTTGAAAACAGCCTTTTACATTGTCAAAGGGGAATAGACATTTTTTAGTGCACTTTTAAAATTTCCAAATTAATCAACTGAAACCAGAAAGTACAAACAAAAAAATGATATCCATAAATTGTCAGAGTTCTGAAATGAATCGCACTGTTATATGTCCTTCAAAGCCAGCGAATATTTAATTCTTTATATTCATGTTCGATAAGAGAAGACTACAGTAGAATTTTTTTAAAAAATATCATTATGTTACCTAGCCTGTGTTTCATGGACTAATATGCTTTTCTGGCAGGTCATCCTTGGGTTCAAGTTAATGGGGTTGCTCCAGACAAGCCTTTAGATTCTGCAGTCTTCAGCCGTTTGACACAGTTTTCTGCGATGAACAAGTTCAAGAAGATGGCTCTCAGGGTATGTAATTGCTTCATATTTCTGCAGTTGATCATGTTATGCTCGCTTTTCGTTTCTAACCCTCAGAAGGATATGCACAGATGAATTGTTTTCCCTAAGATGGTTCTTTCCATACAGGTTATTGCTGAATGTTTGTCGGAGGAAGAAATTGCGGGATTGAAGCAAACTTTCAAGATGATAGACACAGACAACAGCGGCCAAATTACTTTCGACGAATTGAAGGCCGGATTAAAGAAGCTGGGAGCCAATCTCCAAGAATCAGAGATTTATGAACTAATGCGGGCTGTAAGTATCAGTTGGATGCGTAGAAAGTCTTTTTATGTACCAAATCATTCAAAAGAATCCCATAAATGCGTTTACTTCTATAGCCGGTGTATTTTTAGTAGGTTCATGGTTGGAAAATGGAAAACCTTGAGTAGTGATTTACAAAATCATTATGACTTTGCAATAGTGAGTGTTCAATATTAGTTCACAAAACCAGTTGCTTTGAATATTATGGCTCGTCTGTAAGACTTCACAGGGCTAATATGTTAAAACATTGTGCAGGCTGATATCGATAACAATGGTACCATCGACTATGGGGAGTTCATAGCTGCAACATTGCATCTCAACAAAATAGAGAAAGAGGCCAATCTGTATGCTGCATTTCAATATTTTGACAAGGATGGAAGTGGGTACATTACATTAGATGAGCTCCAGAGGGCATGCCAGGAATTCGGCATCCAAGAATGCCACCTGGAAGAAATGATCAGAGAAGCTGATCAAAACAATGATGGATGCATAGATTACAATGAGTTTGTGGCAATGATGCATAAGGGAGTAGCTGATTTTGGTAAGCAAAAAATGGGGGATGGGATGGGGGTTGGATATAGGGAGGCAATGCAGGTTTGTTAAAACATAAGTTTGCTCATCATGGGTGGGTTGAAATTATGATGTTAACAATTTTGTAAATTTTACCAAATAAGGTGTTAAAAGTAATAGTAGGTTTTGAGGCTGTTCCTCTCAGTCAAAATTTCTTTCTTGCTCATAATGGAAAAAGCTCTCCAGTTTAGTTTTGCAACTCTTAATAGTAGTTTTAACCTTTTTTTTCGTTTTTGGATGTTTGTTCTCTAAGAGCAAAGAAAAACAAAACAACAAAAAAAAACACACAATATTTCTTCGTCTCTTGCAAATTAATGGCTGAATAGTTGGACCTTGGAACATTATACTATCAGTTGGGCCCAATGAGCTGGCCAGCCTTGAAGCCCAAGTTGTAATTTAGTGTGTACTTTTGTTGTTGTCTTTCTCTTTTTTCTATTTGTTTTCTTCTTCTTTTAAAGAGACTTCTTCTTTTTTTTTCAAAAAAATAAAAAGAAAGAAAGAAAGCTTAGCAAGAGATTCTAACATCAAATCGAAATACAATAAAAAAAATGATTTATTAATAATTAAATCTGAACATGACATCTAGTGATTATTTTTTAATTTATTTTTGAAAATAAAAAAACAGAAATCTACATGTCAGGAAAGAGATTAATATTGTTTTTCTCTCTCTTTTTTTTTTTTTTTTAATAATATAATTAGATGTGTCTATCGAAACTATAATTGTATCATTGAGTTTGAAGTTCACCATCCTTGTATCTAATGAATGATTTGAGAGATTAATTTACTATTAGTAGTATTGGAATTTTAATAATTATTTAAACTGTTTCTCTAAAGTTGTTAGTTGAAGAGCTGGCATCATAATCTCCTCCAGGAAAGAAAGGGATTTGAACTCTAGATTAAGCCATCATCTTTATTATAATGGAGCCAACCAATTATGGGTTTTGTTTAATTATCCAGATGATTATATGGATGATATTTGGACACCCCCACCCAAAAGAAAAAAAAAGACTTGTTCAGATATGTCCAAATTATATTGCACTAATATTGCCATCCTGTAATATTACTATTCAATAATTCTTGGCCCGTTCGATGTGGTCTTGATTTGAATGCATTTAATCCTTTCTTAATATTGACATATTTAGTTGATGGTGAATGGATGCTTGTACATATAGTATGTTGATAATGTACTCCCTTCAGTTCTATTTATTATACAAAAACTAAAACTGAGTTTAATACTCCCTCTGTCCCAAAATTATTGTCCAATTTGAGATTTCATTTTTAGTACAATTTAAACTAAAAATGAAAATCTAAATTGGACAATAATTATAGGACAGGGGAAATATTAAATTATGCTTTAATTATACATAGAATCAGAAATACGAATATCAAAGTAATGTGTTTGCCTTTCACCTTCATACAGTATTTTATTCATGAAAGTACTCCTCCATTCCAAAATAAGTGTCGTCCTACACTTTGCACATAGTTTAAGAAACTCTTAAATAGGGTAGTAAAATTACTTGAATATCCTGAACCAACCCCATTACAAAATTGTCCACCAATAGCATCAACTCTTTTGAGGGTAATTTTAGAAACTTTTGACAAAAAGTGCATTGAAAGTGAGAACGACACTTATTTTGGAATTTCTCCATTTTGCTAAAACGACACTTATTTTGGAATGGAGGGAGTACTGATCATTTTATAGTTACAATTAATTGTTCACAATTTATTTGAGTTTCCCGGTTGAGATAATCTTGTTATGTATTCACTCAATAACAATTATGGTATTCCAATGAGTTTTAAATAAAAGTAATATTCAATGGGCTACTAATTACAAAACTATTTTAACAGAAAATGGTCATGTAATGGCTAAGAGCTTATGACACAATAATACAGGGGTGAGGAACAATGTAATTAATTAGTAGTTTTTAAATGTTTTATCCAAAAAAAAAAAGAAAAAATAGTTTAAATGAGTACTTCCAAATATGATATTGCTTTCGTAATGCGCTGGCCATGCATCTTTGTTAACTTTCATGGTCCTATGGTATCGTACCGTAATTTTATCAAAAACTCTTGAATAATTGCAAGACAACGTTTAATGTATGTTCTTCTTCAATACCCGTAGAGTTGACATCCCACATGATACTAAGATATTACTATTACAAATTAAATTTACAGCAGAGCCCCTCTTTCTGGCAAGGTCCATTAGTTCATGTTTCCTATATCACATACCATTCAGAAGAATCCAATGCTTTTGATGATTTGATATACCCGTTCTGTTGGTTCTTCAAGTTGCAACCAAACCCCCCCCCCAAAAAAAAAAATTAATTAAAAATAATGTTACCCGTTCAGTCAGATTAATTACAATTTACCTCCCACAGTTCTTCTTCTTCTATTAATAATATTAATAAAACTGAAACACGAATCTTCCAACCGTTAATTCAACGTCTATATGATTAAGATATGTCAAGATATTGACTAGTCTCTAATAATCATGCGATTTCAACGAAAGCCAAAATTAGGACAACATGAGGTTGGAAGAGATTTGAGCCTTGGGGTGAGAACCATATCTAATTGGATGATTGAAGTACATTTTGCACTAATGAGGTCTGGCCAGTGCTAGCTTACTAATACCACATACATATTTACCAAAGAAGGAGGGACTCTTTTTTTCCCCGCAAAAATGAAAGAGACGAAACACCCAAAAACTAAATTTAAACCTCCTTCCCTCTCAAAATTAGTATCTAGTTTAGAATTTCACTTTTAATATACTCCCTCCGTTCCAAAATAAATGTCATTCTAAAGTTTACACACAGTTTAAGAAAACATTAAATAGGGTAACTAAATTACTAGAATATCCTCAACCAACCCCATTAAAATAAATGCTCACCTATAATATTATTTTTTTTGAGAGTATGTTTGGAAATTTTTGACAAAAAATGCATTGGAATCCGAAAACGACACTTATTTTGAAATTTCTCTATTTTGCTAAAACGATACTTATTTTGGAATGAAGGGAGTACTAATTTATATTAGAAATAAAAATCCAAATTAGACAATTATTTCAGGACTGAGTAAGTATTAAATTTTCGGTTGTGCAATTCTAGTAATATTATGTTTCAATTATGATTCGATTGTATTTAAAAATCTAAATTGGAAAATCATTTTAGGACATATGAAATATTAATTTTTGTAGTTGTGCAATTCTAATAATATTGTAAGTACCACCAATGAAAAATGGTGCATGGACAAGCCCTATCTCCCTTAGTTATAGGTTAGTGCAGAAATAGGAAATCGAGAGCTTGATTGACATGAATGAATGAATGAATTATGAATGGGGGGGTTTTGATTAAGGCCAGCCTTGATGAATGAGTACAACGTACTACCACCCCATAACATCCTTTTAGAAAAAGGTCAATTATTTATTTATAAATTATAATATCAACCTATATCCAACGAGGAAAAAATGATGGTTGACTATAAAGACTACCCAGATCAAGGGCTGAGATTGATGGACTCCAAGAAAATGATTAAGAATAATTCAAAGCGCGATTATCTCCATTGTATTATCATCATTCATCATCTTACGCTACACGTTGTGGACAGCTAGCTAATGAAGTGAATGATGATGAAAAACCATAAAACGGCGGTTGGTGGTGCACGTCAATTGGAACGACGCCGAACGTGGGACCAATCACGTTGCTTGGTCGTGCCACGTCGGCTGTCATCACGACAGCCCCCTCCACCTGTGTTCTTCTTCTCCTTCTTCCTCTTCAACTCACAAAATATTTTAGGGATATTTTATCCCCCCACGTTCTCCTACAGTACTACTTCCTCCTTGCTTGCTTATTGATCCTCCGTTTTTCTTTTCTTTTTTTCTTTTTTTTTTCAATAGTAGGATTTATTAATTGACTGTGACCAATGTGCCCCTGATTAATCATTTCCTGTAGGCATTTTTCGACTGATCATTATTAGTTTATAAACATTTTTCAAACTACTTTCTACTCGAACTATAGGAATTATCAGAATTGTGTATTGACCAAGTACGAAAACAACGTATGATTCATATAACCGACTTCACATAATTATTGTTGTAGTAATTGTTGAGATCTTCGTTTAATAGACTCAAATTCCTTGTCACTTGGTCCAGCAAGTATCGATTATTTTATGATAATGTTTAGATTATACTATAAAATGGCGTCTCTTGATCGTATTCTCACATGTGACAAAACTAGTCCCCCTTGATATTGAATACCATTCGTTTTAAGAGCAATTACTGCTAGTTAGAGCTGATATTGGAACTTGACTCATAAATTATTGACAGTTGATAGTGCGTCCTATAGCTGGTGTCCTTTACCAATTATCAACCATGAAATTGACCTCATAGTAGCTAAGCCCGGTGGATGCGTTTGTGATGTTGTGGTGTACTCGAAAACCCATGATCAGATAATGCGAGTGTGCAAATGCAAGTATCACATTATCTGATGAAACCAATTGCTTCTTGATCAAACTGTTAAGAGAATGCATCTCTACTTTTACCCTCGATGATTAGGGAACTTTGGAGTTCAAAGCTTTTGACATGATTAACCATTTTGGAAGTTTCTTAAACCATCCCTCCAAATGGATTACAGTTATGAATGGAAATGTATTAGCTAGGATTATTACTTACAGTCAGTGCATGCCTGCTTCATTAATTTTAACCTTAAAAATAAAAACACGCCGAAAAAAAAAAAGACTAATAAGAATTATACACCGACTAATGAGTTTGGCATCTTTCAATCAAGACAAAAACAAAGATGAATCATGAATCCTATAAGAGGAATACATTATTATCACTAATCATCATTGATTTGTGTTTTTTAATGTAAAACAGAATCTTAATGCTATTATGAGCTGCTGATTAACGAGGTTTACACATGAATCATTAGCCGGAGGGAATCTGTTTTTTCATCATTTTTATTTTTTAAGTAGTGAAATCAGAGATCAGAAGCTGCTCTAAAGCAAAAGTACTCGTACTAGGTTCCAACAACAAAAGATGGTCAAAATGGTTTAGCAGTGTACTTAAGATAATAATGATGGTAGTTTAGTCAATTGACCATAATAACATACCCCAACCCGGACCCACATTAATCCTCATTTTCTCGTAAAGCACGCCCTCTGGTTTTTGTGAATTTTTTTACTGTAGTGAGAACTGGAATTTAACCGCGCACCAATCCCAGGGGGTTATTTTTATTTTTAGAGTGTGTACATATCTTCTCTGGGACATAGCCATCATCACTACAATTATTCCCCACGGTTCCTTCCAGAATTCCCAACCATTAAACCTTGTACAGCACTGGAGAAAGTAGCAGCAGTAGAGTTTATCATTGGGTTTCTTTTTACCAGTTAACCAGCAATCACATCTTGTTCGCTGAAATTAAGGTACAACTCCCACCAGAATTCCTTCTTTTATGCTTTCCATTTTTTGTTCTTCTTCATCTACAGTCAGATATGTTAATGTAGTAGTAGTGTCCAATTATTGACCCTTCTGCCAGGCCTCTGTTTGTTTCCGTTTTTTGTCTCTGAATTCTGTTGGATCATCGTCTTTTGGTCCCTTTTTTTTCTGGGCTTTTCATTATTTGGCTGCATTCACTGGTTTTGTTATGAAATTATAATGTTCAATTCCAGTAAAAAAACTACAGTTGGAAGCTAATTTCTTTGTTATATTGTGGTTGTCAATTTGTGGTATGTAGCTTGTGGTAATGGAGTCCGAAAATGGGGTATTAACAGAAGATGCAAAGAATGGAGTTTTGGAAATTGTTAATGGAGAAGGACAAGAAGTTCATCATGACGTGGAGGAGGAAAGCGACAGTTTAAAACACAGTGATCAAATTTCTGAAACTGGAACAGAGGTGAAGGAAGCCATTGATACCTCGGTATCAGAGGCTAATTCAAATACTAAGACGGCAAATTCAGTTGAAAGTTCCAAAACCAAGAGTACGAAGAACAGTAAGACTAGTAGAAATCAAGAGGGCTTGAAGGGCGGTGGTTCTTCAGCTTCGATTACACGGAAACCGAGAGCAAGCTTGAGTCAGAGTTTATCATTTCCAGCCAAGAAGGGCTCTCATCCAGATGGTATGAGGAGAAGCACTGATTGGTTTCCTTCCAAATTGGGTTCCAAAACAAATCATCAAACAAATGGGGGAAGTTTGAGTTCGGGTTCCCGTTCCAATCAGGGTGTAAAGACTAATAAAAGTTCAGGGGATGCAACAAGCAAGAGGACTGCTTTGGCTTCTCTGCCTTATCTGAGGCAATCTTCGGTACGTTTCGATTCTCAGATTTTTTCATTGTGTGGTCTGGAATTTTGTCCATCATCATTGTTATTCGCTAATGGCTGAATTTTCCGATGATCTGCAGTCGATGAAATCTACTTCTACCAGTGGAGGAGCTTCAAGAAAGGCAACCTCAGAGGAGTAAGTGATTCTTTTCATTGAAATTTTGGTAATGTGTATCATGTAATGCAGCAATTCTGTTGGATGAGGGCAGGAAGGAACAAGATTTCAACTTCCATTCTGATTGAATTTGACTCACATTTTGCTATTGGTACTTTCTTGCAGATCAGTCACTAAACCTTCAGTTAAGGGGGATGATGATGCTCATTCTACCACTTCATCGTAATGTTTTTACAATTTTCAATTGCAAAATCTATTGAGTTAAATTTAGTAGTTGTTCCTTTCTGCATTCTTTTTACATTGTCTTCTGTCATAATCATCAGAAGCGCAACTCCTTGTGGACAGCGGAGGACTAGTGCAAGTGGATTTTCCTTCAGGTTGGAGGAACGTGCGGAAAAGCGAAGAGAGGTAGGGAAAAAAAAAATCTGACTTCATTGATCCCTTAATATCAAGAGTGCTTTTGCATTGTGTAAATGTTGAATATTTTGTTTTCTTTAGTTCTTCTCGAAGTTGGAGGAGAAGATACATGCAAAGGAAGAAGAGAAGTGCAATTTGCAAGCCAAATCCAAGGTGTGTTTAACACCTTACTGCCCTGCCCTTTTTTGTACATTATCTTTGCCTAACTTTTCATGAACATCGCTCTTCTTTCCTTTGATCAGGAAAGCCAAGAGGCTGAGATTAAACAGTTGCGGAAGAGCTTGAATTTTAAAGCTACACCGATGCCAAGTTTCTACAAAGAACCCCCACCAAAAATGGAGCTGAAGAAGGTAGTTTCCCTAATTTGTTTGTTGAGCTACTGATTGAAATCATTTGGTCTTTTCTTCTGCTTTGAAATTGATGATCGTGTATGTTAAATGGAACTATTGTTCATGATGCATACAGATTCCAACAACACGTCCCCTATCTCCAAAGCTTGGAAGGGTTAAAACCTCGAAGAATGATTCTTCAGAAAATGGCGAAACTTGTAAAGAGTCTGGAGCCGCAAATGGTGAAAAGGCTAATGCAGTTACTAAAAAGACAATCAGAAGGATTTCCACCAACTCCAAGCCTCAGTCTCCCCGGGAATCATCTGCAGCAGCTAAAACCGAAGGAAAATCGGTAAAACCAAAAATTAGACCACAGAAGTCCCTGCTTGAGAAGGGTTCACCAGAGAAGAAATCAGAAGTTGTTTTGAATGAAGATGTGGAGGACAATGGACCAGCTTCAATTCAACCAAATCCAGAGCTTGAAATTCCTGTTGTAAGCTAAAGAAGGGCGAATCCTGCTTATTCAAGGTTTTTTAGCTTGTAAATTGATTCTTTTTTACCTTTTTGTTGTAAAAAAAAAAATGTAGTAGGATTATTTCATCTTTATATGTTTGTGCTATTGTGACCCATACGTTTATATACATTTTTATTTCACTTGTTAAATTTGCACGAAATGTATGAATAAAATTTTGTCCAATTCCGGGATCAGCTTCAAATGAAAACCATAGATGTCATTTCCAACATTGTCAAATCCCAGAGACAACTTTGTTTAATTTATCCTTTCAGATGTATCCTACAAGTTGACTTGAATCCCGTGGCTTCATCTTGAATGATCAACTTGTGATGACCATAAGTCGGTATTGAATGTGGGAAAGTAGTAATGTACCATATATTTCTAATTTTTAATGCATCATTGGCTTGCGATTGAAAGTTTTACTTAAAAGAGATCCACAATCCCTGAATATTCAAACTGCTCACTTATTCAAATCAAGGGGACATAAGCTTCTGTTTTTTAATTATGGCAGACATAAACGGCAACTTCATCCGTCTCAAAAATGAACATTTGGTTTATTTAATTATATATTTTGTGAGGGAGGGCGTATTAGAAAAATAACTAAGCAAATAAGACATTACCCTGTTGACGATGAAGACTTCTTGCTATTGTTTACAAGTTACCATATTGTGAGATACTGTACTGTTGCTGTTGTTGTGTGTTTTTTTTTTTTTTTTTTTTTGTGTTCATCAGTATGGATCATTAAGTAACAATAAGTGGCAGACATGTTCACTAATCACACAAAGTTGTGTAAGCCAGTGTAGTAGTAGAAGGAAGAAAAAAATTGCCCTCACCAAACTTAGATAGTGACACGGGCAAGGGTTCTACACTTTCATCAATTACTGTATCATTTTAGAAACTTCTACGTTCAAAAGAAGCGAGGAGAAGACAATGTTGGTGTGATAAGCATGAAACTAGAATTTATTGTATATGTATCAGTTCATATATCTTAAGCAAGAAAAAGAAATTAGAATATCTATACCTAACCCAATAAGAAAAATGTAACAGGTACATCCATGTTCTTATTTAATTTATATTTAGATTTCTTTTCTGTCCGAATGTCGTTCACTTTTTTTTAATTAATTTTTTTTTTCAGCAGAAGTGAACATTTGAATGAACTGATCACTCGATAACAATTATGAATAATACCCTAATATCTTACTTTATTTTTCTCAACATGACTTATCTGTTGTACTTTACGATCATGGTTGTTACAGTTATTTGATGATTTTCATAACGTACATGAGTTTAACCTCGATCAATTTTGTAAAAATGTATATTATGAAGAAGTATTACTTTAATAAAGGGTACAATTACAAGATAGTAGCAATAATTACAACACATCATAAATAAGATCAACAAATAGATTTTGAAATAAAATGCAACTTCAATTTGATGAGAATTATGATCGCTTCCCACGGTGGTGGGAGGGGGTGATCATGATCACCCTCAAACATTCCGAGTGGCTCTTATTGCTCCCTTATATATATATACCTTCTCTTTGAAGTTCGCTACATTTCCCGCCAAACGCTGACAAGCAAATGGTGTAGGCAATATTTTATGTTTCGAAATAATTATTTGATTTGAATCTTTTACTTTTAGTGTAATTAAAAATCTAAATTAAATAATTATTTCGGAAAAAAAAAATCTCTCTGTAAACATTCGGGTTGTACCTCAGTCCTCCAATCAGAGGGGAAGCAGTTACAGCGATTGGCGGTGGAGAAGGGAAGCTATCCAAACGAGGAACCCCCCTTTTTTTTTTTTTTTTACTTTCTTTTGTTTTAGAGGGGATAATGTGGAAAGTTTGGAAGTGCCACAAAGGATACGCAAATTCGGAAATGTAAATACTCGCTCCATTCCAAAATAAGTATCGTTTTGGTAAAATGGAGAAATTTCAAAATAAGTGTCATTTTTTTATTCCAATACATTTTTTGTAAAAAATTTCCAAACATACCCTCAAAAGAAATAATATTATTGGTAGTATTTATTTTAATGGGGTTGGTTGAGGATATTCTAGTAATTTAATTACTCTATTTAATGTTTTACTAAATTATATATAACTCCAAAAATGACACTTATTTTGGAATGGAAGATCTATGTAAAAGATAGACTTAACTCGGAGTTCCCTAAATAATTAGAAACTCAGAACTACCGAGAGTATATTACTAATAATAACAACCTAATGTTGCTCAATTCAAAAAAATAAAATAAAAAAAATACTGAGCGTATTAATTACCAGACAATTACGCACCAAATAAGGAAATATTACTGCAAGCCTGCAAGTTCCAATGTAACGATCACCTGAAATAATCTAAAAATTCAAATAAGAACACGGAAAATCTCACAAATATTACTTCCTCCATTTTAAAATGTAAGTCTTTTTATACTTTATACGTAAACTAAAGATATAATAATCATTCAATAATTAATTTATGCGTTAAATATTTGTTTTACTCTTCATTAATTACATTGAAACTATGAACAAGACTAAATGAAAATAGATTGACATCATTTACTAAGGGTAAAATTGAAAAAATAGTCATTAATTTACTTAGAATTTATAAAATCACCTACATTTTGAAAATCTCTCCACACTAAAAATGACCTACAAATTGAAATAGAAGGAGTACTAGTTGTTTGGACAACGGTTTCATAGGCTTTTTCTTTTCTTTTTTTTTGGTATTTTTACGATCAGAAATGTAGTTAAATTTAAACCTACCTCCAACACAATAACCAGCAAAAATTAAACCACTTAAGCAAGCCATGTGTGATAGGCTCATGGCGGTGGGGAATTCTTTCCATATGAATTTTACTCTCAATGCAACAAACAAAATCTAATAAAATGGATACGATCATACCAGTACTAATGCACCGTCTCCCATCAGAATTCCGAAATTAAGTGTGTTTGGGCGAGAATAGTATTAGGATGGGTGATCCCCTGGAAAATACTCGTGTTGTATCCCTCCCTGAAAATGTACCCAAAAAAAAAAAAGAAGAAAAATCTCATAAAATGGCTTGCTAAGCTCACTTACTGGGCGTCCATACTCCTTACTCCAAATTCTGCATTGGACCTATCCCAAACCTTTACAGCCATCACTGATTAATCAGTAGAAATTTGTTCCCTTATTTTTTTAAGGAATAATGAATCCAAAACCATGGTCTATGAGATTTGGGCTTCAATTGGGCCTCACTGTTACTTAGGACAGAATGTCACTCTGCCTCAAAGATAATTTTTTCGAGGGAGATTATTGAGAGTGATAATGCAAAATGGATGATCAAATTGCATTTTCTTTACAAAAATAAAATAAATATAAATTAATTAAAATAATTAGGGAGAAAAAAAATTATTAATTTTTTCTAATTCGCTAGATATACTAATAAAATAATGGTCCCCAGTAGATTTTGTTAAACAGGGGAGTCAGAGGGTCCATATGATTTTGAAAGGGACTGCCCCTGTCCAAAAGATCTTCCTTGTTCATTTTTAGGCAAAACTACAATGGAGTCCCCATATTTTTTATTGGGTTTCAATTTGTCCCAATATTTAAGTAAAGGTTTTTTTCTGCCTCATTTTTTACCATTCCTCACTATAATATGATAATGTCTTGTTATTCCTTTGATCCTGTCATGCATAATAAGGTCTATTTATTGATTTCATACTTACGCTTTTAGTGTACCGTTTTCTGTTTAAAAAACATATAAAACGTAATAAAAAATGCAGAAAATATCATGAGTTATAGAATTATAGTATATTCTGGTTCCGTATACTTGATCTATGAGGTAGAGATTGGAAGTTTAAGTAGCACATACACCACAAAAAAAGGAAAACTTGTTTATGCATACACGTTTGTGTCATCTGCGCTCCATTTTACTTTGGACTACGGTGCACTGTCCTTTTGATTGATCAAAAGAGAAAAATACAGAGGGGCTTCGGTGCATCTCTGAAGTTGTGATTAATTAGATAAATTAAACCCTTCAATCCATCATCCATGACATTGTAACCAGTTCAATTTATCACAAATTTTCATCAAGTGGGTAACTGGGAGAAAGTCTTTGTAATCTATTACTAGTGTGTGTGTGTGCGTAAAAGTTGGAGTATCCAAGGGCAAGTGCCCCCACAGGCCACAGCTCTATAGCTATATTGATTTTTTTTTTTGGTTCATCCTTGTGGCCATACCAACGGGGACTTGATTCACACTCGTGCCATATTACCATGTTTCCACCTTACCCCACGACCACTAGGCCCGGCACGTTACGGTTTTTCCCTTAATTTTTCCCCCCTCATGAACACTTTCCTAGCTAGCAGCCTCAATAATTCTCGATCAAGATCCACAAGATTTGCGAATTCCGCATGTTCCAATTTGATGAAGTTAATTGCTTTATATATTTGGTTTAATTTGGGTTATTGTTTGCAGCTATTGTATCGGATCAAATACTTTAGAGATCATTTTGTTTGTTTGTTCGATCTGTTTTGCGAGATATGTTGTCAGACAGTAGTCCAACCAACCAAATATAAATACAAATGAATGGGAAGATTATACATTTAATCAAAGTCAATGCCTCAAATGGGTTTCATTTCAATTACCAACTAATAATGCGAGTGAAGCCAGCTAGCTCAATTCTTTTGGCCACCTTCCTACTAATCATCATTATTATTATGGCGCAAACAAAGAAAGAAATAAACTAATCCAAGAGGACATGCAAAACAGCAATGTTTGATAGTGAAAGGGCGTTCAATCACTAAAAATATTCTTATCATTCCGGCCCTTTATAGTCCCCACTGGGATTTATTCTGAATTTCCACCATGACACAAGGTCCAGAATCAATTCTTTGCATACTTAATTAAACTACTATTCATAATTATATATTCTCTTCTCCTTTTTTTTTTCCGAAATCAAATTTTTTTTTTTTAATTAAATGCTTCAGTGGTGGTGGCGTGGTACTTTTCTCTCTGAAAATACTATATTCCTCCTCCTAATTTATCACTTAGATGCTGCCCTTGTTCGATCAGCATCAGTTTTCGTGTCTTAGTCATTAAGGTAATACATGCAAAACAAGACCTCTCACCGACAGTTCCATAACCATGACTTTGTACCTATAACTTTTGATTGATTCTATGCATTATGCTTAATTAATCATGGGCCATCACCATACTTACGACATAATAGTTGCCGGTTTTTTTCTTTTTTTAATTTTTTTTTCCCCTAATAGAAAAAAAACCTTTGCAAGATTTCAACTGAAAGAGATTATCATAACAAAAGAATTGCTAAAACGGATTTGTTTGACGCTTATAAGTTCTGATTACTCCCGCAACATATGATTGAAGTAATAGACAAAGGAATGAGAATATGGTTGGTTAACATAATACATGTGGCTTAAGCGATTAAATGAGATTATTGCCAAATGGAAAAAAGAAAAGGAATAGACAAATTACTCCCACCAATACATTTAGAAAATGAAAGGATAAAAGGGAGAAAGGATCAACACTACATAGGAAAAGAAGACCACTATTGTGATTGGGAGAGATATAAACCAAGGAGATGTTTGTTCATCTTCTTCAACTTCAATGATTGTATGATATTTGAGAAGCATACACTGATCGCATCGGGCAAAAAAACCATTTAAATACAATAAAAAAATTGATATGTAATTACAGTATTTATAACAAAAATCAAAAAAAAAAAAAGAAAAGGAAAAGAAACTCTCTTTTTTTTTTTTCTGTGGGTTTGGGCTATTTTGACTTTGAAGATCTTTCCACCCCACTTTATTTTTGTAATGCACAAATATATCTTTTTTTTACCAAGTTCCTAAAAATTTGTCACAATTCAGGAAACTCTCTCTATTTATGCTGTTGGAGCATTGGGTTGTCGCTACTGGACAATATAAAAAGGGGAGGGGATTAGCCATTTACACACTCCAATCTGCTGTATTTCATTTTTCTTTTCTTCTATTCGACCTTCTGTTTTTTCCTCTTTTTGAGCACAAAATATATTTTTTCAATGACAGCTACTGAATCGATGATGCTGCCCAAATGCTCCCAACATACTACATGCCACTTCCATCAACTTCCCTGCAAACCACAATTATAACACAAAATTCAGTTAATCATATGGTTCAAACATGACCAAAACAGAAAGATGCAACAAAAAATAATAAGAAAAAAAAAATTAGAAAAATGTTCTCAATCAATGAGTTGTACATACAATCTAATGTGGCTGGAACCAAAATAACAGAAGAAATAATATACCCAAAAATTCATCAAATGGGGTGTCGGCCAAATTATTAAAAGAAACCAAAATTTTATATTATGAGAAAAAAAAAAATTTTAAAAAAGGAAAAAAAAAAACATAAAAACCTATGAGGCATCTGTCATGTATCATGAGGTGACAAAATTATTGGAAAGTAGGGTCAAAGGGTCAGCTGGGGGGGGCTTTTGTGCCTCCATACAGAAGGTAGGAATTTCCTTTGAGTACAATACATACAGTTTGGAAAACAGCTGGGTTGAGCTGGAATCTTCTAATACAATTTTGTTCCTAATGGGCTAAAGAAGTGAAGATGATGATGGTACACGGTATTCCCCTCCCTACACCCTCTTCCCTCCACCGTTTGATGCATCATAATCACGTTTATCACCTAACCAAACGCGGCTTCCCAACCGCTTGATTGCTTTGATCATAAACAGAATGACTAGTAAAATCCTATATCACCATTCACCACAGGACAGGATACCTTTCCGCCATATTCCTAAGAGCCACCGACGGTACCACCACCACCAGCTAAATTAGTATTCAATGCCTCCAAATAAATGGATTTTAGTCCCACTGTCAGCATTACTGAAAAAGCCTGGCTTTATACCACCAAATAATAAGCCCACAAACTATTTTTCTAACATATGATTTTTTTTTAATAGTAATATTAATTTGGATTAAAGTAATACCAAAAGGTGAGAAAAAGAGATGATTACACCAATCAAGCCAAAAATCTCCCTAATTAAAAATGTTAATCCTAAATGGCCAAATTTCATGATTTCACTGGGTTCACCTCATGTGCAAAACAAGGATGACTATTCAGTCCTATTTTACTTGTGTTTTCTTAGGCCCCCAATCCCGTCATCATTACCGACGGACACAAAAACGCGAAATTCTCACGATTCCATTACAATTTACCCGCCACCAACTCTGATCAACAAACAATTCTGTTACCCAAATAATTCATTATATCCATAATTTACTGACGGATAGAGTTATTTCCCACCGAATGAAAATTCCAGCTAACTCCTAACAATTTTGTCAACATTAACCTGCTAATGACTTCATCTAAAGGATTGATGACCATGTAATAAGAGGTGAAATTTGTCTTCACACTTAACAGATTAATTCAACCCAAAAAAAAAAAATCAAAGAATTTATGTCACCAAAAGAAAGAAATTGGGGGAAAAAAAAGTGGGTGAAGGAATTATACCTCTCCTTGGCTTTGACACAGCCTTAGCCACCGGGGCAACTTTAGTAGGTACAACCTTTTTCTCTTCCGGCGGCAACAAAACTCCGTCGATTCCCTGAACTGAGATCCGACCGTCGGTGTATAGATCGGGTTCGAACAAATACGCAGAGTTTTCGCCGTCGCCGAACTTCACCGACCCATCAGCCTCCTCGGCGGTGACCTTGTGAGGCAATCTCAAAGTGTCGTACTTCACTTTCCCAAATCTCCTCACCGCATTGTACATACTCTCCTCAGTTTGGTACTCTGGAATCAAATGATAATACACTATTTGCTCCGGCGCACCTGGCTCACTCAATTGATCTGTAGTTAGCTTAGCCATGGCCTCATCATTTGGTGCCAAAACCGTCAAAACGTACCCTTCTGAGACTAATCTTCCCATTTCTGAAGCCAATGATGTGAGGTTCACCAGAATATCTGCCAATTCATTGTACCCACCGTAATGTAATAATGTATGAATAAAATCCTTAACCTGCGCTTCGCCGTCGAAATGATGATGAGGCCCGCCCGGCCCGGGAGCAGGGGCCGGCGCCAGAGATGGGCCGGGAGCCATGGCGTCGAAAATGGGGAGAGCCGGAGGAGACCCGGCAGGGGCAGGACTCGCCGGCTTCTTCAGGCGGTGAGTCCTTGGGTCCACTTCCGGAGCACCTTCCGGCAAAACCGCGGAAATGGCTCTGAGACTTCGCCGGGAATTGAAATCTTGTTGGACGGCTTTGGGTATCAATAATCGCTCAATCCCGTGAATAATGCCGTCGGGGCGAACGATGTCGTTTGGCTTAAAGATTCTGGCGACGCTGATGTGCTTCTCGCCGTTCTTGTGAGAAATCTCAAGGTCTTCGTCGGCGGCGTCCGGGCAAAGGCTGGTGTGGCGGGAGGAGGAGGAGGAGGAGTCCTTATTACGCGGCCATTGATTGGAATCAATGCGAGACGGAATCATGTGAAACAGCAGAAGATTTTGCAAGGACTTAAGATTCCCGGGCTCCAACAAAAACCTCTTGAACTCCGGGTCCAAATCCCTCTCCAGAGCCTCATTCTTGGGGGCAAAAATGGTGATGTTGTGCTTGGAAACCGCGTCTTCAAGGGTCTGTAACAAGAGGGCCTTTTCCACAAGCTCAGACAACTCTGTGTAGTGAGAATCCAAAAGGGCCACCAAAACAGAGTTGGAATTTATCTGGGATGAAGAACCTGATGAGCCCGAGTGCTTGGTAGCCGGATTATCCCGCAATGCAGCCCCAGCAACAAGGGTAAAACAGAGAACCATGGACAAGACAAAAACTCGGAGGACGCCATAGATCTGGACGTCCATGGCGCTTGAAACTTTCTCACTCTAGAAAACTCCTGTTCTCGATTCCTTTTCTGTTGTTTCTTTCTCTCTCTTTACCTGTGAATACTATCAATGTGGACTCAGTTTTTGTGCTTCGGGAGTGGTGTGTGTTCGTTTGGTGGAATATTAAAGTAGTAGGAAGAGGCAGAAGAAGTAATGAAGAGAGAGGAAGAAGAGGGGAGAGGAGTCGTATTTGGTTATTAGTGTGTGACTGTGTGTATCTGTGAGCGAGAGAAATAAAGGCATTCGGTAAAATGGAAGGTGAGAGGAAAATAAGAAAGGGAAAGCAGAAAAGATTGCTTGGAGATTAAAAAGGATATATTTGTATGACAGATGGATTATACATTTGGGAACCGCGGGAGTTTAATGGGAAGTGGTTTTTCTTTTTCTTTTTTTATTTTTTTTGGAGGCAAATGGGAGTGGTTTTTGGACACATTTCACGTTCTCTCTCTCTCTCTCTCTGTTTGGGAGGCTGACTGATAATTGGAGTAGTACTAAAATTAAGAATTAAGAAAAAAAAATCTACTAATTGAGAGAGTTCTTTTGTTTTATTTTTGTCTACCAACTACTAAAAAGTGTGTCTTTTTTTTGTCATCTTTCTTTGATTAAATTAGTAGTTATCATGTCAAGGGGAGGATCAAGAATGTTTACAATGGTTCAATGGCTGTTGTTACTAAATTACTATATCCTCCTGCCTAACAGTTTTGTTGGTTGAAGCTCTTGCAACTAGTTTAGGAGATGTCTCTAGTTGAATGTAGACGTACATTATGGAATATTATGGAAGTAGTTCAGTATATTTTGTTTTCATAATCAAATCTTCAGTTCAATTCAATGTACTCAAATGGAGCAAAGATGCTTTTCTACCAAACCTTTAACCCAATCAAAAATGAACTAAAACACGGTAAAATCCGACTGAAGGGTGAATTATGTTTTTTGTTAAAAAAAAAAAAGGAAGACGGCTTAGAAATGGGTCTAAAAATGGAAGAAAACATGTGTTAATGAATAATGGAAATGTTATTACGCATGGTAATGAGGAGGGGGAATTAATTGAGAGAGGGGTTTGGACAGGCTGTATGATGGGGACCACACCCGAGTCGTCGGTGGTTTTCTGCTTTGCCTCCATTGCCACGTTGGCTTTCGCACCCAAGTCAAACTTTTTAAGCCGCGCTGGTCAACTAAGCCGATGTAGCTTTAGCCGTACACATCGGTTTTTTCCCCTTTTAATTAATTTTCTCTAAGTCTACCACTTATTTTTCTACGTTGAGGTGTCTTTTTTGCTTGTTTTCTACTGTTTGCTTCCTGAAAGTTACTTCTACATATTTTTACTACTTGCTAGTTGCTAATTGTCTTTTCTTTTTTTTTTTCTTTCTCTCTTTCCATCGCTTTCATTTTCACTTTTTTTTTTTTGGGGGAGTTATTTCTCATTTATGTTGGAGTAGGAAATAATACAAAATTGGGATTCTCACTTCTCATTATGAGTTTTGGTCCTAGAATGAATGGAGTTCTGATAATGATGCGCCTTCTTTCTCGAATATTCTTTTTCCTTTTTTTTCTCCCTTTAAATTCTACTACAACAATTTTCTTCATTTGTACTTAGCATAAACTCCACCATATTAATGCCTCCAAACTTCTAACATTATTAAAGTGAATTTTTAGTGTGTGGCAACCATTTTAATTCGTCATGCCTTTTTTTTCTCACCTTGATTTCTTAAAAGCAAAGGCTAGTAGTACTTACGTGGCTAGTTTCCCCAAGTTACTTAACACTTATGCCATATAAAAAGCGGTCTAATCCAATAATTAGTGAAAGCCACTCATTACCACAATGATTTGCATACGTGAATCTCCTTTCTCTTTCCTTCTTTTTTTTTTTTCTCTTTTTAATTTTGAGTAAAGCAAACTAGAATATCCTTCCTTATTTTGATATCATTAAAACTATTGCATCCAGGATTAAGATCATTAAAAGAAAAATGTCCATAATTTTCCTTAAACACCAGTTATCACCATTCTTATTGGAAAGTAGCAAGCAACACTTTAAAGTTTAAAAATACTCTGGTTTTTTTTTTTAAGAATTTATATGCATGGTCTCTTGAATTCAAACTTCATATTATTCTACTTAAACATTGAATTTAATTTTAGAAGAATCTGCAGCTCATTCAATAGTTTACACAATGATCCAAAGTTTCAAACATAACTATGAAATATTGAAATGTGATTGTAGAATAAGTTATGGTAGATTTCATAATATATGAAATGTGATTTATTAGTTGAACAATTAAAAAACACGACAATAGTACCTCTCTATGAAGATTAAGTAAAACATTTTTTTTTAAAGAAAAAAAAAGAGTCGAAGAAATTAGTAGCTTGGAACTTTTGTCTTGGAGAATGGAAATAAAAAAGGAAGTCGAAGTAGCCTACGTTACTGTCGGCCACAAAGGACCATTGCTAAAAATAAAAAGACAATCGGCTGGGTGAAGCCGAGTTGGGGCGGGAGTGAAGCCGGCTGGCTGGGTGACTTGAGTTAGAGAAAAGCTGGAAGGCGAGATGTCATTGTCGGGACATGAAAAAAAATGAATAAAATAAAAAGTTCCATCCTTTCTACGCCAAGTTACGAACACCACCCACCGCTGCTGTCACCGGCGCGTGTGATGCGTGACCTTGGCGCTTCAGCCATCAGCGACATCTCTCCTGCTTCGATACTCATCTCTCAACCGTCGGATTACGCCTTTGACCCCTCCATTTCTAGCACCACTTTAAAAGTCTTCCTCTCAGTTCCATTTCATTTTTGGTACTACGACTTTGGAGTCTCTGTAGAACCCGTGAGTGACAAGTGACAACATTACAAAAAACAAAGTACCAAAACTCCAAAAATTCTGATTATTACTGCTACTGCTAATATTAAAGGTAATTGGGGGGGACTAATTATTAGTCAACTCAAGCTGACAACACCAAAGTTAATTATAAAGTGGGGATTAACAGATGACAAATCATTAGTTTAGTGATGTTAAGTTTTATTTTTCTTATTACGTGTACTAAACACTGTTCCAAAAGGAATGTGCTAATTATAAAGAAGAAGATGCACTGCCCGTTTTGCCCCTCGTTTCTTTTGTCGGTGGTGCTGCTTTTGTTGTGCATCCAATGCTCTATATTCAACGATGATGATGGGAATAAAAAGCAAATAAAGAAATTTTGGATTAAGATATATTTTTAAAAGACCCTGTTAACAATTTTGTAGTACGTTGATATATTTATTAGGACTACAAACTGTAAAGTTTCTTTTACAAGTGTAAACAAAATGAAATTACATTACATTACAATAGTATAAAGTAAAAGAACTGTCAAGCATGCCAGATTGGAATACAATTCAAGTTTTTAAGCGATTCTGATTTCTAAAATCTAGTACTACTATCTACTTTGAGCTTACTTTAAAAAGCAAAAGGAAAAATACTAAATAAAAATAAAAAGAAGGTAAATGTAATTAATGCAAGAGGGAATTCAATTCAAGCAATTTTTTGAGTTTTGAAATCTACTTTGAGCTACATTAATGACCCAGGGAACAGACTTGCAGACCTCCCCCTTCAATATTTTTTTTTTCCCACGTTACTTTTCCTTAACGTTAAAAAAAAAAATCTAATTACCACAGTAAGTCAAGCACTTGGGACTGAAAATTACTAGTAGGTTCTCGTACCAAGAAACCGTGAAATTGGATTACGAATTTATTGATTGTAGTACATATAATTTTCAATAGCAAAGAAGCAAGTCACTGTCATGTACCAATAAAACATTTATGTATTCAGTAGTATCTTCTCTTACAATTGATTGATCTCATTTTGACATTTGCTCCAATTGTTCTACATGACTTGCCTGTTTTTGCTACGAAAATCCTAAACTAAATTAAAAGTTTTTTTCGGTAGCTCGCATTATGACACTGCATTATGAAACAGAATATTTATTTAACAAATAAGTTTGTTATAATTACAATTATTAATGATTTAGACAAGTTCTATTTCTGAAGAAAAAAAAGACTGATTCAAATTCAATTGCTTAAATCGAATCAATGAATATAGACGAAATTTTAATCCATAAGTAGTTGTTTTTTTATTATTCTTACCCTAAGCATTATGTTTATATTCCTTTTTAAGATACAGGAAGAACCATATATTACAATTCAAGAATAAATTTAATACTCTTATAAGATCATGTTACATGATGAGACGTTTAATATGTTCCGGTGATGTTTAGAAGCCACAACCCAATGGCATGCGTGAATTGTAATAACAAAGAAGATTACGCAGCCCATTGTAGGTAGACGATCGATGATAGAATGAAACAATTGAATGGATATGTTTGTATTTTTATCCATACATATACCTAAAAGGGTAGAAAATCAGTCCAAGAAAAAATGATAAAAAGGACAATAGACAGAGTTGGTATTTGTTGTGAAACTCAAATGAACCAACAAACATAAGGCTTTGTTTGTTTTATTTTGTTTTATGGTATTTTTAAATTAAAATATTAATAACTGTTCCATCCCAATATTTTTTTTTATATTTTTAATACATTTTTTTACATTTTTAATACAAAAAACATATAAAAACACGCACTAAAAAAACGAAACAAACATATCTTAAGTTTGTTGCAACCTTTAATTTACGCTTGGCTTATTATGATGAGAAACCCAAAGAGAAAGAGAAGACAATGAACATACTTAATATAATAAAATAAAATAGATTTCATCATGTCATTGACTAAAGCCTCCCATCATCTTCTACAGCAAGCAGGTATTTTAAGTCTAACCAAATTAAAATTATTTTGTCAACTCTCTCTCATTCTTATTCTAACTAGTACTACTGGTACTACTACTTTCCTTGGCACTTCTTCTCGTTCACAGCATTTGTCGGTACAACCCCACATTAACTAAACTATAAGCCAAGGTGCAAATAAAAGCCCTAGATCAAGATCTTCTTCTTCTGCATTTAAGAGTACATGGGTCACTCTCTTATTGTTTCGATTCTTCATGAATACACCGATGTTTAAATATATCCAACCATACCATACAGATAGATATTTTCTTTTGTAGCTGGCATTAATTCGTTTTATTAAAAGAAGAAAAAAATGAAATAACAGCGCTTTGCAGTTTTGGATCTTCGGAAAATTTGACTTGGTTAATGTTTATTACATACTGGTGAAACCCGTTTTGAACCCAAATTTGTTTACAGTGGTGACAAATTGGCAATGATTGGACGTTTTAAATTTAATTGCCTTAACACTTGTTTCTGTTCCACAAATATAAGCATCGTGTGTTTGTTAAAATGGTAACAATTTGTCCTTGTAAGTTTTCTCTACAAAAACCAAGTTTTATAGGACGAAAGAAATACACATACAATATTATAGTACAACATTAAACGCAGAAGACATACTTCCTGCATTGGAATAGGAAGGCGGCAGAAAAGGCTCCCGAAATCTCAAACAAATCAAAGAACGTTTGAAATACGCACAGATCGGTCATTTCAAACTTCCTTTTTGCGTCGGTCCTGCGTTTCCCTTTGCTCAATTGTTGTTTCAATTTTCACCTTTTTAAGACAGAGTATCAGGTCAACCTACGAGGCTAAAACCTTTAAGCTCCATCAAAATTAATCGAACCTATCATACCCAACCAAGAACAAAAGTAGAGATGAAAAAAAAAAGGGGAAAAGAGAGTGATTCGTGGAAGCAGTAGTAGGTTGTTTGTTTCACAAGCACCAAAAAGAACTGCTCCGCCGATTTTACTTTTTTTTTTTTTATTATTCTTTTTTTACAAACTGTTTTAGACATCTCTGCAGAAGTCTACTAAAAATATACTTAGGCCAACCCCAAGTCTAGTATTCACATAATTTTAGCATAAACTGTAGAAATTGTTGGTTGGTTTGAAGCTCGGCATAAACTGCAGAAATCGCCCGTTGATTGAACCTCTCCTTTCTCGATTTCATCTCTCTTTGATACATATTATTGACACCAAATAAACAACCATCATTCCTGTTTACGGCCTTTTAACTTGCAAGCATCTTCTTCTCAGCACTTCATATTTGGAGTAGTTGACAACAGCCTGTGAAAGTTTAAAGACATTTTTCCACTCAAATGACATTAATATTGATGATCAAGTCCAGAAATTTGAAAATCCTAGAGATAGTGCATCATGATGCAAAACTTCAAAAATCTACTAAGATCGACAGTGTGACCAATATAGATTTCAGCAACCGAAGCAAATTATTACCAATTTAACAGAATACTCTCATAGGGTAGGTGAGATTAGAAATAACAGAAATTATTGATAACACTTTAGTTGTTCCAGTTCTTGTTTGCTGGTGAATCAACCAAATTCACATGTCAGTTTGAGCTCCTAAATTTAGTTGAGACCTCAACCTCAATGACAAACAGGCAACCAAAAAGTTTCACAAGAAACATCAGCAAATTGGATCAAGAGGTCCAACAAAAGCAAAACACGACTTCAGAAGAAGCTTGACTGAAAGGGGTCTGTATGTGCGCGTGATTTGTTTTTCCGGGAGGGGGAGTGAAGGATGAGGAGGAAACATGCAAGACAAATGTAACTTCAAAACTCATGTATTGAAGCAAATTTACCTCTTAGATGATCCAGCCGATCATCTGCCATTTGTCAATACACCTACTCCAAAGATGAAACGTTGAGGAAAGACACAAGATTATAAATATACTGTCTTTCATCTAATGGGAAAGAGAATTTGCAGGAAAAGCGGTAGTGTGGCTCAACGGTAACTCATCAGGGTGGTCCACATCATCATGGTGGTTTGGCTGAGTAACTGAAGGATTATTAGATGTCCCAACAGGACGAGACCTAATATTTTCCCTTGCTTCAAGGCGTTCCATCATGCGGGAAACACTTGCAATTCCAGCATTCACTTCTCTCCGAACCTCCATACCAATATCTGCCATGGAATTGCTTCGTGAAAAAAACCTATCCTTCCATCCTCTTGTGCTCTTTGAAAGAGTTTCTTTGTATCTTAAAATAGAAAAACAGATTTGAAACATTTTCATGTCAAAGGGAAACAGTAGCAACCATAGTTAAAAAGAATGTAAATAATATAATTGAGTGTTATACTTGATTGACATTGCATTCAACCGAGATTTCCAAGATTCTGAAATTGAATTCAACTCTGATGGTCCTGCTCTATCTCGGTTTGGTGGCTCAGGGCGAACTAAGCACCTGCAAGGTAAGCATACTAAGTAAGCAAATCAAGGTGAACTCCAAAATTCTGTCAGCAGTTCACTAATTATACAGAAAACTAACATTGGTATGTTGGAAGAAACTACCTGTTAGCAACAGAGAGTTCTGGAGGACTGGCAGGCATAAGGACTGATCTCGATGATGAAGCAGAGAGTTGGTCATTTGGAAGCGAAGAAAGATTTTCACGTCCAGAGGATCCACTGCTGTTTACAGAGCCAGAAAAGGATGGAGTAGCCAGGGCTGTAGAGTCTAGATCCGGTTCTTCTGGTGAAGCTATAGAAGCTGAAGCAGGATCGGCAATGGAGTCATTGGCATGTGAAGAAAACACCAAAAAATGGGGACGGCCATTGGTAGATGAGCGGCCCCTTGAGCCCTCTCTATGAACAAAATGGCGAGCTCTACCCATTGCTGCAGCAGCAGCCAAGTGCTGGATAATACGTTCTTCCAACTCAGAATCATTAGCTCCCACAGGTAACTGCAAGAATACAAGTAACAATGATGTCAACAGCTCAAGAGAATAAAAAAGTCACAGAAGGTAAAATATTAGCTTGGATAGCAAACTGACATGTTGCAGTTCGAAATCCCCAAGAGTGGGATGACGAAATATTGTGGCATTTCTAGCTGGAGTGAACCGAAAGTGTTTCTCGCGCTCTACAGCATCAAGCAATTCTTGACTGCCTCGCATGAGAAAATTTTTGGGCACTTGTTAGAGCACGTACATAAACCAGCATTTAGAAAAAGGGCCATAAGAGAGACAAAAATCAGATTACCTAGTGGGATCCTTCAAGCCTATGGTCTGCCAACACATTGGACAATTTGAACTTCTTTGACACCTGGATGAAAAATCAAGCAATGAAATTGCTGCACAATAAGAAAAATAGAGAAAATGGTGGCTTTCCGCAGGATATTATGCCAGGCGCTTAACTTGAAAATTTTATCAATCAAGATCAAAATGCTCGTTTAAAAAGGTTGACGGAACACAACAGATTCAGCATTCCACTTCTTATTTTCCATCTTTGTAGAAAAGGGTTTTACGTTCTTCCTACTAATTCCCAACACACCAGGTTCGGAATTCCATTATCAAAAAGGGTTTTACGTTCTTCCAACTAATTCCCAACACACCAGGTTCGGAATTCCATTATCAATTTTCCATCTTCACAAACAAAGTTTTTCCTTTATTCCAACTAGTCCTGACAGATTAGTTGATATAAAAGACCCAACACCAAACTATCTGTGAGACATTCTGGACGGCTCTATCAGTGACAAGCCACATCAGTCAAGTCTCCATATAATGCATTACTATTATACACCAGCTTCCATAGTCAAAGCTTCCATAATCTATGGTAATATTATGTGAGGAGGGTTATCCAAACATGGTCTCTTCGTAAATTTCACAACTAATGACTATCCATCCCAGAGTCAACTGCATTGTACATTCTGATTCTATCAAACAACATTTGAATCATCACTCAGGTGTGAATGGAACAGAAACTCTGCAATTAGCATTAAACTGATTCTGCAACAGGATGTCTATCTAGGACCAGATTCATTCCTCACAATTACACATGACTCTGAATTTCAAAGTCTTAATCAATCTAAAGGATAGCAGCCACAGCTCAACCTGGCAACAACTAGAGACTGGTGCTTGTCACTCATTTTAAAATTGAGAAGATTATGGGTGAATAAGTGAAGAGTAGACTCAAATTAATATGCAATGATCCAAATATACGCCTTTACATACCATTCGAGAATGCACTGAAGATGAAACTCGTGCTTGCAAGTAGTCACCTGTAAGAGAATGTATGGTTGTTCTCAACATCAACATTTGAAGAACAAATTCCCTCAAGATGGAAATAAAGGATGGTAACAAAAAACTAGTTTACCGTGGATGGATCACTTTCACAGAAGGCTTCAAGGCATATGCTGCATGAATCATCACATGCATCCTGAACTCCACCTTCAACAAAAGCTGCAGGTGATGTCATGTGACATTCTGCCGCCTTGAGCTCATCCGCCCCCGGAACCTAACAACATTGGCGGCGTCAAAAGAGAAGGCAAAAGCAAAAACCAAAAACGTGAACAAATACCATTGCTTATGCACCAATGATTTTAGAAACTACTCTTTTCATCAATTCTAATTCCTAAGCAAGATATCATAGTTTCTTTCTTATTACAAGTTATTCCAATCATCGTTTATGCATACGACCCTAAACGATCATAAATTCAGGTTATACAATACATTTTCTTGCCGGTAAAAATTCTCTCTCCCCAGGGGCGAAAAATTATACAATACATAGTATAAAGCAACAGATTCTTCTAATACGAACCAACACATAGGCAGAAAACATCATGCACATATTCACATGAAGAAGATAACAGAATCATTTCAGGAACGGGGAAAAAAACCGCAAACCAACCAAAATTCAGGCATGAACAAAATGAAAATGGGAACTTTTTGGAATTATTTAGAACTGTAAACATAATAAAGTCCGAAAAATAATGCAATGCAAAGCCACAATTCATTGGATTGGTTGAATTCAAATGTTATTACCTCCATTGATGAGAAAGAAGATAATTTTTCCCAGAAATCGGATCAACAATTCAAGAGCTCGCCCATGAATTATTGAAGGCAGAGGCCCAGAATAATCATCCCCTTTTTAATTCCCGAGGAGTGAGAGAGCGTAAGAACGCTAAGTTACCATTCAGCTAAGGCCAATATGATTCCAGGACAGGGAGATGAAGAAACGGAAGGATGAAAAAGCCGAAAAAGGGCAAAAGCAAAGATAAATAAATAAAGGAGATTAAAATGGAGGTCACGTTCAGCTTTCAGCTTTATTCTATTTTTAGCTTTTCATTTTCTCTGTCCATTACAAATCCATTTTTAAAGCTATGTTTGGAAGGTTTTTTGAGTGTGTTTTTTTTTGTTTTATGAATGTAAAAAAGTGTATTAAAAATGTAAAAAAAATGTATTGGAAATATAAAAAAATATACTGAGATGAGATAGATATTAATTAAAAATTCTGAAAAAAATGAGTGGAAAAAGGAACCAAACATAGCCTAACGTATTACTACATAATTTTATTATTATTATTATTAGAGGTTAGTAGTTTTTATATTATCAGTTTGTAAATTTTAACAACTTCCTCTATTTTGTCAGATTTCCTGGAAAAAAATAAACAAAAGCAGAATGGGGAAAACAAAAACATTATATAGTAGTACATTTACTCCATTCAGCAATTATTATTATATTAAAACATATAATAACCTACTATAATAAATGGGATAAATGTTTGAGAATGGTTATTATTTTAATTCTTTCTGGCTAAGTAGGTGGGGTACGTGAAAGGGTGTTTGCTTTGATGCGCTGCAACCTTCTTTTTTTTTTCCCAAAAAAATTGGCTTTGTTTGTTTTTTTTTTAGTTGGTTTTTTCAGAATTAAATAATAATAACTGTCTCATCCCAAGATACCTTTTTACATTTTACAATATATTTTTTTACATTCCCAATACAAAAAACACCTAAAACCATACATTAAAAAAACGAAACAAACATTATTAATAGTCGCATTTGATGATGAAGAAAGCGATTAGTCTCCATTCATCTTGATGATTTCGTGACCCACAAATTTTTTGACATTTTCTTTTTAAGTAATAATGACATCCTCTATTCTTCACAAAATTCTATCCCCAGTGCAACAATGTTCCTTTCTTCCTCAATCATTATCGTGATCATGGATTAATTAGTTACGAGTTCTAAATTTTTCTAAGTTGCTAGAATCAATTTTAGTAACTTGAAAAGAAAAGGTTACTAGAATCAATTACTAATTTCATCTACAGAATTACCATATGACGAAGTATGTATTACAACCATCATTTTACGTCAGGATGTTCACAATTCAAGTTCACAGTAATATAGTAGCATACAGTACTTCTATTTTTACTGTAGGAAAATTTATATGGGAGATAGTAATCCCGACATGGATGTTTCTTGGATGAAGTTGCACTGACAATTGGGAGACATGCAATAAAGGGCAAAGCACAGTAATCTTTATTACTCACTGAAAGGCTTCACCTTTCTGATGATGGAATAGACGTATCAAATATTCAAATGGTGAATGGTGACTTGGTGCTTCCATTCATTGTTTCTCAGGAATCATCCACAAAACTCAATTCATGTTTCATTTTGTTCATCTTCAATGTAGAGACAGAAAGGCCGAAAAAAAAAAATTAGTCAGGGAGCTAGGTCGACTACATGCTTTCTTTGGTTAGTTGAGTTAAGCGTCTGAGATAATAATCGCAATGCTCAGGTCAACAAAACTCAAACTTTCATCTTTATTGTTTTTTGCCGATTTTAGCTTCGAGATAGAATCTCGACGACAGAATCGATATTGTCGACTTACTCGTCGAAATAAGCTACTCGACGACAAAAATTCCACGTATTAAAATTTGATGTATAAAAACAGAAACATTGACTCACTCGTTGAGATCAATTGCCCAGTAACATAATCGACGACACTCTATTTCAAAATAAAATTTCTATGTATCGATTTATTCGTCCCAATTACCCCGAGACTTTGTTGTTTTTTTTCCTCACATTGTGTAGCTTTCATCCCCCTATTAACTAGTGTCATTAGTTTCCATACTTCAATCATCTGCCCTTTTCAAGCTGTGCAGTAAGAAAAAAGAAAGAGAAACTTTCTTAACTAGTTTTGTTTATCAAGCACCCTAACTAGAGCTCATGTTCAAAATTCGTTTTACATGTGTCCCTGTTTTTCCTGAAGTTAAAAACTCTTCATGTTTATCTCGTTTGATGTGAAAACTTAACTACTAAAATAGTCTTGTTATATATGACTCGAAACATATATTCTTTTCAACTGTCTTGAAATGATTGTCCAGTTTAGATCTCATTTTTAGTTCAAACTATATTAAAAGTGAAAATCCAAAATGTCAATCGTTTTGGGGTGAATTTAGAGACTCGGATATTTGACATCACGGCTGGGTCTAAACATGATATTTGTATTATATATGATCAAATGCTGCGTAAATTAACTACAATTCAGGTAAAAGCCGGTGATGAAGTTAGTCCAAGTATGAGTAACGTAACAAATTGCGTGAAAAATATGAACAAGTTGGCGGAGATATGTCCCCATTAAGAAATTTGATCCATTAACTTGGGGCCTTCATGGGCTCGTAACTTGTAAATGGTCGTGATATGGAGTATAGGCCCAAATAACCCAAACTAATTTTGAGGGGGGGGGGGAGAATTAGCTGCAGGGAATCCTTTATTCTTGGAACTTTTTATTTTCCCGGGGAATAACACTTTTTTACGAAAACAACAACAGCATCCGCTTAATTAATTACTAGTACCTCAGTATTAGAGATGCAGATTATAAACCGAAAGTGTATATAAAAGCAGGAATTGATTATTACTAATACCAGCGGTACCAAAGCACACTTTTTCAACTAGGAAGAGGTCAAAAGTATGAAAAAGATTAAAAAAAAAAACAAAAAAACAAGGGAAATAACAAACCAAAGGATCTTGATGGGCCAACCTTAATGTTACAACCAAAAGATCTCGACTCATCTGTTTAGTTAGCATGCTTTCGGTGATGATTTAGGGGTTCATATATTGTATTTAAATGGCATCATTTTTATATGTAGTGAGACGTTCCCTTCTAGTCATAATGGAATTTCAGGTAACGCTCTTTTGAGTAGTAGTAAAATGGAAATGACAAACCTAAGATGTAACATGGAAATTACACCCACCTTCATCTTGTTGTAATCTAATTTGAGATAACCACATAATTCAAATTTTAGGTGAATTGTGCTATAAAAATAAATAAAAATTACAATTGTTATCAAAAATAATTTTTTCTGTACGGGAAATAGTTCAATTTTTGTTAAATTAAACAGTGCAATGTATATCATTATAGTTGTGAGGCAAAGTAGGAGCACTTTAAAAGTGAGCACTATTGATCATGTTTCGGGTTGATTACTATCCATTAAGCACGCCGCAAAAATATTCAGATCAGAATGGAAGAACGCATCCACGCAATTGAGCGGCACTATTAGTACGTAGTACTTTTATTGCAAGAAAATAAAGACAAGTACAGTATTAGGTGAATTGTTCATTAACTGAGGCAGAAAAAAGAAAAGAAATACTACTAGCAGCAATCCAGCATATCGATGATGGCAGAAGATGCTCTACAGCGACAAAAATGGGTAAAGAAGATTGAGTGCAGAACTGCAGATAGTGAAGTTATGAAACAGGGTTTTGAGCTAAGTACGGTACACCGCCGGATGCAGTCGTAATGAAATCTTTAACCCCAGAGTGATAAATCAAACGGGTTCCTCTTTTAGATAGTGTCTACCTTTCACTCCTTTTAGGTGAGATCATCATGATTACTCGATGAAGATCCTTTTCATTTTTACCTCTTTGGACAAAGGTGATTCGGAAGCATTTAGTCCTTAATCTTGGAGAACTGATCTCTCTCGTTGTTTTATATGTTACGCAAGTTCATAACCAATTGAGCGGAAATATTTCGAAATTATACAAGTTTGTCACAGCTTGATCAGAGGGTGGCCAGTGGCCACACCCACACGGGTTCCAAACTAGTTTATAATGCAACACGGAGGATTTGGCGGAAGTCATTGAGTTAGGAACAGGCGAACAGCACATGTTGGGCATTGGCTTTAATTTATGGGGTGTTTTTTTGAGTGAAGGACGTTTGGGATTGGGAAAATTGGGGACCCAAATTGCGGGTTCTCCGGGCAAAAGGCCAAAAGAAAAAAAAAACAAACAAAAACAAAAGGGACCATTAACATTAGGCATTAGCCTTTAACCACCATTCATATTTTCTCAAATGTAACCAGTTTCGCAGACCACCTGGACTCGTATTGCTATTTAAGGGTCAATTCCATTGGACAGTGACTTGACCATTTCCAAAGTACAAACCCTACACTTCGTCTATTTCTAATGGTCCCCTGTACTCTGACTCTCTCTCGCGCTGCCTTTTGTATTACTAGTTTTTACCCTCGACATTTAACATTTAACTTTATGATTTACCCGAAAGTACCAAACTGTCTCCAGTTTGGTCCCTGCTTGAATTATTTGGTTGTAAAGCTGAGATAAGCGTTTTGGTTTTATTAACTTGAACAATTTTTTTACGTTTCGGATTTCAATCATGGTTCACAATTACATTCAATGATCGATCCGTGACACTAGTACGGTCGACTATGCAAAGTCGCCAAGTGAATATTAGTACTAGTGTATTTTTAAACAACTATAAGTGAATACTAGATGCTTTTTATTAGTTGATCCGATTCCGACTAAATATTTAGTGTTTGTGGCCAACCACTCAAACTAAATTTTCAACTCAATTTACCTTTTAAACACAAAATCTAATGCAAAACAAATAACCGTCCAAACAATTTTTCAATTTACATTTTGAAATTTAACTTAAACTATATTTCAGTACAGTATTTAGTATAATGACCATTTATGGAATTGAAATAATTCAGTGACCGGCGTTGCACCAATGGTCACTAAACTATTGTAAAGTCTTCAGTTTGGTTACTGAATTATTTCAATTTCATAAGTGGTCACTATCATAAAATCCCACCCAAACAACTTTTTCATCTTCCATTACGTTGTTCACTTAAACCACTTTCTAAATTTAAGTAAAAAATAAAAACGAAACTGACGTCCAAACAAGCACTTAGTTACTCGATCAAGATTTGAAATTGCATAAGAAAATATTGTTAAAATGTATATGTATATATATATATATAAACATGTTTTTAGTTTATTTAAAAATGTATCTCGCAACTTAATACACGAAATAAAGTGCTTGTTTGGATAACGTTTTATTTTAATTTTTTATTTGGATTTGAGAGGAGATTTAAAAAGGTAGTTTAGTTTTTGATTTGGAAAGTATTATAGTATAATGATCATTTATGAAATTAAAATAGTTCAGTGACCAAAATGAAAAATTTTACAATAGTGTAATGACAAAACACAAGACTTTACAATAGTTGTGACCAAACACAACACTTTACAATAGTTCAATGACCAAACGCAATAAAAACTTTACAATAATTCGGTGACCAAAATGAAGACTTTACAATAGTGTTATGACCAAATGCAACATTTTAAATGATAAATTGAAAATTTATTTAGATAGTACATTGTATATTGTGTTTAAGAGGTAAAATGAGACAAAAACTAAAACGAGTAGTTGGACAAACAAGGCCAACACATTTTATCTGAACATGTTCAAATATGTAAAAGAGTTTCTTGATAGTTAAAGTACTATTTCGACAAATTACACATTTGTTAGTGTTGTTTGTATCCTACAACAACATTACCAACACGATGATGGTTGTACCCATAAAAAAGGTTATTTGCTATATTTACTTGATTGTGACAGTGGTATACTACGTTCCCGTTTTGAGTCAACATAATTGTTTTAGTAAATCAAGGTTTAAAAAAAAAGAAAGAAAAAAGGAAGATATTACATAAAATAAACTTAGATTGGACTTCTACCATATCATGGTTCAATGTCTGTGATGGTAATACATTTCCGTCTTAAATTAAGTTGTTATGGTAAATTCTTACCAAAACAAACAAAAAAAAAAAAGGAAAGAAAAGAAAAGTTTGTTATAGTAAAAAGGTTAAATAAATAAAGTCTTTAAAAAAAAATGGATATGGACAGGAGTAAAATTGAATTTTAATTGCTGGCAATCACGGTTGTGGTGAGAAATTTGTCGCGTACCTGTCTGCTTGAATGTTTTAAGGTTTAGTTGATTTTTCAGGTCGAAGGTTTTGAAAGTGTCAACGCCGAACAAGCTGGCAAATAGTAGGCCTTGAATTCAATTACTCAAATTACCTCAACGCATTATAATAATCATCAAGCAAGTAAACTATTTTTCGTCATAAAATTTTTATCTAATTTAAAATTTATTTTTAATAAACGCAATATATATTAAAAAAAAACCATCGAACAATGATTTCGACGGATTAACTATGTTAATAAAAAGGAGTATTAATTCTCAGATCTGGCCCCTGGGAATTTCCTAAAAATAAAAAATGAAAACATTTGCCACCCCCACGTGAGACTTGGATCTATTGCTATAGTTTTAAAAAGTGGAAAGTTGAATTACCAAATCCAATGAACATTAATTCTTATCATCTGTTTTGGCTAATACAGATCAAATGATTATTGTTTAGTCATGACTCCCCTTATGTGTAATCAAAATGTTTGGTGGTCCTTGATGGTACTAATTCCAAAATATCCGTCCGTGTTCATGAGCCTAACTAACGCCTCTTTGCCGCTCTCTGTTCATAGTCACTTCCTGTCCGAAATTTTTATCCAATTTAAATTTTTATTTTTAAAATAAATTAAAATAAAAGTAAAAATTAAAACTGGATAATAATTTGAGGACAGAACAAGTATTGTTTTTAAGATAGATAGGAGCATTTTTCATTGTGATAACCCCGTTAACCTTGTGTGTGTTGAAAGAAATACACTACATTTTACTAAAACAAGTGAAATTATTCCAAAAAAAAAGAATCATGCTTTAGACGAGAAACTTCTATGATAACGATCCATATGACCACTAAATTTAGATGAATTTCAGAGCTCCAAAGCCATCGTGTTTATTTACTGGCCAAACCAATTAGCAGTACACGTCAAAGGTGTGTGTCTTTCAATTTTTCAATGGGAAAATGTGAGGAAATGATCACACGAATTTAGAAATGCAAAGCTAAGATGACGGTGACACTTCCGTCTAAGCAATCAAACAAAATGTGTTCAACACCAAACACCTTACGCGAATCGAACACGAGTTTCAGTACAAAACAAGGTTCTAAAACAAATATCAAAATGCTACAAAATCCACTCCGTTTTCACTCTCACATAACCTCCCTTTTGATTTGTAATCTAACTCTGTAACACGTAATCAGCAAATCCAACAAGTTATTCTCAAATTTTGGTATTTTTTTTATACAACAAATTGTTGTATTCATATCCAATTTGACAATACACAGAATATACCAAATTAGCCAGTTAATCTGATTTTACCATATATCCAATATATGTACATGATGAATCATGGAAACATTGGGACGAAACATTTATCCCCCAAATCCCAATTTTGATTTTTACCAATCCATCATAACAAGATCATCAAGATAAAAAAGAGTAAAACATTGTATCAAAGAAAGAGAAAAAAACAAAAAAAAAAACCCCCATAAATTGTAATGGGTTAGAAATTTTACTGGGACGATTTTGTTTTAACTTTAACATATTACAGTGCCGGAAAAGTTTGACGGTATCAATGGCAATAATCACAAATTCAGTATTCACCGAAAGTCAGTCACTCTCTTTGAGAGGGACTCCTCCAAAAACCAGCACTGTAAAACTTGTCCCACATTTCCTTCTCCAGCTCCACCACGTCATCGTCCGATTCTATCGACAGTGAATTCACCGCCGCAGCCATCATCGTCGCCGACGTCGTCGTCATTGGGCCCGACAAAGGGTGGAGTTGATACAGCTCGACGTCACCGCAGCCGCACTTGCGCGGCGGCAACAGCCCCTTCTTGATCATCCTGCGACGTCGTTTCCTCCTCAACGCCTTCCGGCATAGCCCCGCCGGAACCTTGTAAACGGCCAGCACCAACAAGTTGACCAGACCGCAGGGGCAACAGCAGCACACCGCCGCGCACTCCGCCGCCGTGCCGCCGACAAGCTCCCCCACCCGACTACCTCCCCGGGAGGAACTTTCTTGGGCACCCAGCAACAGCTGCCGCCGATCCACGAACGACTGCGGCGCCCGCAGCACAATTTGTTTCGTCATTACCCGATCAGATGAATTATATTTAATTCTTCCCCTCCCTCAATTTACTCTGTTCTTGAATCTTGGCCCCCTTTTTCTTCCCACAAAAGGAAAAAAGACAAACAAAAAGAAACAGAGCACGAAAAATACGTCCCTTTATAGTATTCCCAAATCCCAACAACTTGGAGTTGATCTGAAATGTCAGGATATGAAATGGGAAGAACGGAGCCGAAGCTTCGCCATGGGCGGATTGAACAAATCCGATGAAGAGGGAGGAAAAGGCCGTGAATAATAACAATAATAATAAAAAGCCCTGTTTAATAATCTGAAGGAATTGCAGAAAAAGGAGACGAGGTTCGTTTAATCTGGTTGTGGGGGAATTCTGAATCAATGAACTGATTCCGAGATGGATGGAAAGAAACCAAAACTAACCAAAAACTTAACAACAATTTGGTACCCCAAGAAAACAGCTGAAATGAACGATTCACAATAAACCGATTCCAATACAACCCGAATAAGCCGTTTTGTTCTTATCGCTCTGGTCTGATAAGCATCTGGATGATAATGGTCAAATCCAATAGATGTAGTAATAACAAATAAAAAGACAGTCGCAGCAAAAAGATCGAAGGGTTGAACTTGAAGCTCTCCGCTTTGCTGACTAACTAACAAATGAGCAGATAAAACTGGAAAAAAAGAAATTAGTGATGATGTAGAGAACTGGTTTTTTCCTAGGTGGGAAATCTAAATCTATATATAGTAAAGATGGATATGTAACGGATGGAGGGCGTGGATATAGTATAAGGAATTTAGGGGTGTATTAATTAATATATTTAATACTATCAGCAAAGAATGATCAATCAAACCTATGGAAGCTTATTATGACAGTTTAGTACGTTGTGTAGATGGTGTATAATCATAACCAAAATACTACCATGTGAAAAACTAACGATACTTCTCCTGCATTCAAAGACAAGTTTGTTTTACATCTGTAATCAAAATTTACTTCCTTTTTTTCTTTTTCTTTTTTTCTCTGTTGTTGCCGAATGAGTTCTCAAATTATTTTTCATTAGGAATAAATAACATATTTATGCTGTCCATAAAATTATGTCCATGTTCACTACTATAAACCGTATTTTAATCTAATTGTAGGTGTGTCACGAATTAATCCTCTATTGTTTGGGGTAAGTAAAGGGGAATTAAAATGTGAAATTGTGAAGGCCAGAGACAAGGAACGTGAGGGAGACAGCCTTTCTACGGGCATACAAAGGACGACGTATTTGTCAGGGTTTTCTTCTTCTTTTTTTTTTTCTTCTCATATTATAATTGAGGATACGGACCTCTTTAATTCTTGGAGGGACAACTAGTGCCATAATCTGTGTTTTTTTTAGAAAAAAAAAATATTAGAAAAGCAATAAATAATATGTATGTCCTTTTCTTGTTTCATTTTTCTAAGGACTATATATAAATACAGAGAGAGAGAGAGAGATGGGAAAAAAAAGTCAGTTCTTGATACTTGACTACGTACCTTTCACTTTCAATCCTCCTCCGTTTTCCTTTTCATTTAATTTTTATTATAGCTTATTCAAATGGAGGTAATTAGCATAAAGGTAGTGGAATAAATCATCAGTGGTGTGAAATTGACTATGGATAAAGCTTAAAAGACACTTATGATTATTGAGAGACCTTAAACCATTTTTATTTAATACTCCTTTGTCCTAGAAAAAAAAAAAGGCCATTTTTAAGATTGCCACTATAAATTTGGTTTCTAAATTGCTGAAAATTAAGAGGTAGGGTGCATTTTGGAGAAAACTACGCTCGGGGCAATGCATTTATTAAGCAGCAACATTTTAATTTTCTCCTGATGTACTAGTACTATTTGTTATGAGAATCAACAACATAATGCACAAACAGCAAGGGTATTTTTTTTAATTTTTTTGCCAGTCACTCTGCAATATTAATTACTAGTATAAACACCCTGGATTTTTTATTTTTGTAATGGATTACTAACAACCATGCAAGCATCCAAGCTAAGATCTCCGGAGAGGGATGGCAGAGGTGATAGCTCAAAAACTATTCGTGCCATTTGGCCGCCCATACTAAGTAATTTTTTGAATTTTGGTTATCATATGACCTAAATCGATTTCGAAAATGTTGAGTACAATGACAAAAAATAGTGAAAAAAAAAATAGTGACTAATGTGGAGTATTATGAATTTCTACTTTTGTTAATTTCCTGTAGAAATTTTATTTCCTTGACTAAATTACACTTTTACCTTTAATTAGTAAATATACATGTTTAGTGGGGATGGTATTTTTATCTTTTCACAAGTCACCATCCTATTTCACTATAAATTATTGCTCCTATCATTATAGAATCAATGTATCTAAAATTAAGTTGTTATTAACTAACACAAAATTGAACTTCTCCTTTCCGCGCATTCTTAAAGTTGGATTTGACAGAGGAAGATTGTAAGTTTGTAACCTTAGAATAAGCTCAAACTTTAGGAGGCTACTTACTTTTCAACTTCAGATGAGGAGAAGAGAAGGAAACAAGACAGAAACAAAAGAGAATGGGAACTCTATAAATATATATATATATATATATATATATATGTACTTTAAAGAAGTGAGAGATGTTGATACGTTAATTGGTCCGATATGCATGCTTATGTAATGGAATGGACTTTTAGGATTAATTTTAGAAGATTGATTTCAGAAGATTAAGAAGAAGAAAGGCAGAAAAGAGGAAGCAAAGAAATTAGGGAAGAAAATAGTCATTAAAATTCTGCATAATCAACCCTTACACAGACAAACTATTTATCCTAAAACAATCAGACTAACTTACTAATTTTCACAATCTGACCCTCTAAATGTACATAGTATAATTTAAAAACCACCCTGAAGGCATGACAGCTTACATAATTTCATGCGGCCCATACGTAGTCATTGTTTTGTTTTTGGTTCTTGACCCGTAAATGACACACATAACACAATACAAAACTTGTAGGTTATATTGTCCTCAAGATTTTTTTATTTTTTATTTTTTTAATTTTGAAGACACTTGTAAGGTTATTATTATTACTTTTTTTCATCTCTTAAAGATTTTATAAATTGGTTTCATTTAGTGGTGCCACGTCTTTACTCAATTAATTTAATGATATTTTTTTGGGACCATTTACATGACTTCTTTGCTTGGTGAGTCATCCATCTCGTATGCTGTTGTTTTGGACGATCAAATCCTGTTTTGGCATGCTTAATTTGTAGCTAGGTTGGAGTACTGTCATACTCCACCCGTTTTGGCTTAATAGCAAGTTCAAATGCTTAATCCCTTGCTTCATCATCATAATCATGTGTATATTGCAACTGGTTTTGTTAATACAGTACCAACTGTCTGCCTTGGGTACTCAAAACCACTGCAAATATTCAAATCGGAGTGAGATGTTTACCGTCTCAATATCAACAATAATTCATAAAATCGGGTATACTCGAATTTAAGACCTTTAATCCAAAGTACACCTCGATTATAAATAGTAGTCCCCATGAACATTTTGACACATGTTGATAAGTCATCACAAATTCATTGGAATATATATATACATGCCATAACAAATTACAATAATAGCAACAGAGACCAAACAAGAAAATATAGAAACTGAGTACCATTTGATCTCTCTTGGTGCATGCAAGATTCTAAATAACAAGAATCCGAATATCCCTAAAAAGGAAGGCATATTATATCCGCTATATTATCAAAACTTTTACTCTCTCCTCCGTCTCATAATTATTGTCCAGTTTGAATTTTCATTTTTAGTTCAGATTGTACTAAAAGTGAGATCTCAAACTGCACAATAATTTTGGGACAGAGGGAGTAACTAAGATTTTGTAACTTGCGATAAGATACGCATAAACGTGCTATTTTATCGATTCGAATAATATGATCCTTACGTTTTTTTACTTTGTAATCCCTTGGCTGCCGAACATAAAATGTTTCTTGCGAGAGCCATGGGGCATGGAAACAAATGAAAGTGTTGTTTTCATCATCATCACTTTTGTGATTTGACCAAATTAACATCTAATTGATTGGTCAATAAAGTAATCATCAAATTAGCGGTGCGTGTTGTGTGGGGCAACAAATTAATGATTAGGATGATTATGTCAAAATTGTCATTCACATCTAGTCATCTTCTTCTGTATGTTTAATTAATCAATATTTCTGGATGATTTCGGATTTCGGGAAGAGAGATCATATATATATATATATATATATATATATATATATATATATATGTGTTGTTTGAGAACATGTAACACAGTCCGAGACTGGACTCTCTTGAACAATTCATTCAATTTGAAAACCGGAACAATTCATTCCAAGTCCAAGTATTGTTTCTCGAAAAATAATTTTCATTTTTATTTAGAGAAATATGTATTCGCACTTTGTTCAATCATCAGTTCAAGAGAGTGAATTATTTTTCTAGTATAACATATACACGAAGTAAAATTTCTTTGTTTTGTATAATTTTGTACTTCCTTCTTCTCGAAATAATTATTCAGTTTGTATTTTTCTTTTACTATAAATAATGTTTTAAAGAAATTCAAACTAAATACTCTCTCCGTCCCATAATTATTGTCCAGTTTGAGTTTTCATTTCCAGTTCAAATTATACTAAAAGTGAAATCTAAAACTGAACAATAATTTTAGGACAGAGGGAGTAATATTTTAAAACAAAGGAAATCTTAATATGATTAAGTATTCCGTATGTCCCAGAAAATAATACATTTTGAGATTTATACCAAAACTCAATACATATTATCTTTTGGACTGAGTAAGTATTGACGATTCATTTACAGGCATCAAGTAAATACTGTGTTAGCCCCAAATCTCAGAGATAGTCCTCATATTTTCTGGCCCTTAAGGTTTTATTCTTAAATGGGCCTCCAGTAGAATGAGAGTTTTTATATTTTGTGGAAATGCAGAATGAGAGGTTATCACTTCTTTTTGGGCATTAACAACACTTTTTTTTCTTTTTTTTTTTTGAAACTTTCGAATTAATACGAGTTTTTATACTTCCAGAAATCGGAATACGAGTTTCTATAATTTGCACTCTTTCCCTTCCTGCCATGCATCTTCAAGTTCAAGAAAGTTATAGCCTGTAGGCTTATAGTCAATGCAAATAGCATTGACTGAAAAACGTTCTCGCCTCATCACACATGAAATGGCATAATTTACGTTGAGCCTCCATATTTGTTAAAATGGGGGGGGGAAGAAAAAGGATTAGGATTAGCTCATAATTTCTGTATCAAATTTTTCATTTTTTTTAATAATGAAGAAGGCAAATGCCTGAAATTCTAAGTCATTACAGTACGTTGATAAGTATATAAAATTAGTTTTAAAAAAATAGAATTCTATTTTCTTTTTGGTACAACAAAGGAATTCTTTAGCTGAACCCTTGTTCAAACTTTAATTGAAACTAATAATGAAACTAACAAGAAAACTAACAGTTTCGTGGACAAATATTTCTATACAAACTCTAAAGAGAGAAACCATTTAACGCCCTAACCAAACTCACTGTTGTTTTGACAAAAACAAGCAAAAATTAAACAACAAAAGAAAAACACAAACAAAACTATAAATTAACGAGATGGAATGATCACAAAGTTCATATATATACACAATAAATATTGCTAATTATGATTAGAAATCAATCTATATCTCTACATCAGAACTGAATGCCTTTGAGAAATGATGCCTTTATATAATGCTTGCCAATTGAGGGGTAACGCCTCCAACTTTTCTTCTACCGCACGGTTCGGACCGGCTGGACGCGCCAGGTTTTTAGTCGCCGCGTTTACGTTCTCCGAAACCGGCCGTTTCACCACCACATCCTCCGCAAACCTCACCACCTTCTTTTTCGGTGCTTCATTCTTCTTCTTACAACTTCTCCCTGCGTATACATTTTCACCATAACAACGTTACATTTACGTCAATTTGTAATCGTAACCCAAGAAAAAAAAATGAATGAATCTCGAAAGAAATTAAAAGCTTACCAATCTCAAATTCCATTTTCTTCATGAAATCAGAGAGAAGGCGTTTGTGGACTTGAAGGGCGAGGAGGACAACGCTTCCAGACACGGCGAAAACCGCCACGAATCCGGTTCCCAACGAATTATCCATTTTTTTTTGTCTCAAAGGCTTGGATGTTAAAGTTAATGTTTCTAGTCTAGGTTAGTTTTAGATCGAGATTTATGTCTCATTAGAATAGTTATTGTATATTATTATGATCAATCAATGAAAGGGTGGGGTGGAAACTAAGAGATGATGATGGGCCATGAATGACAGTTTTTTTTGGTTTTCAGGATAGGAATAATGGAATATGGGTAGGGGAAGTGGAGAGACGGGGAGAAACTGCATTTGTTTGTGTGGAAGGAAAACTCAACCACCCTTTTTATTTTCTTGGTTTTCGTCGAAAAATGACATCGATGGTGGGAAAACAATCCAATCCCTCTGTTATAAACCAATGGCATTTGCTCTTTCATTTGCCCCGCTCCTAGAACAATTGTATTCCTCCCATCCTTGTTACCTTACGTCTCAAATTTATTGGTGAATTTAGATTTTCACTTTTATTTTAATTTTCTCTAAAACTAAAAATTTAAATTGGATAATAATTTTTGGATGGAAAGAGTGTAAAATTTTTCTTAAGATTTTTCTTGGTTCTATTCATAAAGTATTTATTTATTTTTAAAAAAGTATTTGATCTTATTAAGATTTCACTAATATTGAACTTTCAATTTTACACGTAAGTTGGCTGGCCTTTAATTTGACTACCGTCTTATATATTTACCTATTACTAGGACGGAAAGATAATTCTTTAGTAAACTTGTGTTTTCCATTTTTCAGATGTACTTGGTCGTATTTTCTGAGATGGAAAACTACTGAAACTTGAAAGCGCATGTTCAGAATAACGATTGTTTGAAAGTAATTTTGTAAAAACAATTATTAACATAATTTTTGTAACTCTTTAATAAGTGGATCCGTGGCGCAATGGTAGCGCGTCTGACTCCAGATCAGAAGGTTGCGTGTTCGATTCACGTCGGGTTCAAACCCCGTCCTTTTGCAGTTTTTTTTTCCACCCTTGTTAACATTTTCTTATCATCACCACCTTGCCTCATATTACCAGTATTTTCCCTTTTCCGGCCAATGCCCAATCGCCGATCAATGAAGGAGGGAAAATCTATCTTACACTCTGCAGAGTTTTGTTGTTATTGTTTTAATTTTTTTTTTTAAGTGAGAACGAAATTTCCCGAGAAAATCCTATTTCGTTAAAATTACATTAAATATGGATGTTCTATCATTATGATGATGATGGGTGTAATTTTGGAATGATTAGGGAGATTGCAAAACACGATCAAAATGACCTCCGAAAAGTCTCAACAAACAAGCAACAGAAACCGCATCTACTAAAGCTTTGAGAAATGCACGAGAGAAATGACGAATTCAATTACAAGAACAAAATGATCAAGTTCAAATACGTATACAAGATCTTTGTCAATATTACTTCATGAAAGGTGGGATACAAGATCTTCATCCATTGACTATGCCTCTAAAAAATAACACAATCATCATCATGGCTACGGCTGCTCCGGCCAGTAGAAAAAAAAAAAAACAAAAACCAAAAACCAAAATCGGAAGCACCAAAGAGATGATCGAAACTGAGATCCGGGGCCGGATTCGTCGAAAACCACCATCTCCATAATTAGATAAATCTACATCTGCGGGGAAGCCGACCGGTTGACCCAGGGTGGAAATCAGGAGGTGAAGTAGAAGATGGGTTGAAGAACCATATACAGCAACAATAAACAAGATGTTGAAAAGCATAAGAACGCAAGCCCATAAGCCGCTCTCAGCACCATCTTCTAATTTTGTGTTGGTGGCCGGGGGGGTTCAATTCTCGAAGCTGTTAGGCAGCAGATTAGATCTGGTTTCGGGAGATGATTTATTACAGTTAACTGGCAGGACTCATGACGGATCAATTATTTTAAATTTTGAAATATTTCCAACTGGATAATGCTTTTCAGCTTTTCTTTTTTCTTTCCCTTGTGCAAATTGACGATTTTAAAATACACGTGTCCTCCCGAAATTCATTGAACACTAGTTTTGATGCGGTGCCCCGAGATCCACTGGCTACTGCTGCTACTAGATCAGGACTAGTAATTTCTTTTTTAATAAAAAAAAAGAAAAAGAAAAGCAAACAAACCGTTTTTGAATTCAGTTTTTGATGGTCCAACTTCTTGGGAGCGGGAAAGATTGACCAACTGTAATTTTGACGACGGTTGAGCAAAACGGTGGAGTTGCGGTTCCCGATTAAAATTTAGGTTTTTTTTTTTTTCCCCAAAAGGATTACTGAAAATAAGTGGGTAAATAGCTATAATTGAGACTTTGGTACTTAAGTGGGTAAATAGCAATTTCTGAAGTTAAATAAGACTTCGGTACTAATTTTTCCCTAACTCCACTAGTACACGAATATTTTTTCCTGATTTTCGGGCCCACAAACTTTGATCCAACAAAAAAAATTTATTTTTACTTTTTTAATTCTGAAAACGACTGTGTTTCGTTCATAAAAAGTCTTTTTCTCTTCTTTTTTTTTTTGGTCTTTCTTCTTTCATTGTGGTTCAAAGAAAAACTAAAGCCTTTCCCTTCAAAATCTCCCTTTCACCTCCGCCGTTCACCACCCCAACCTTTTCCAACCACCAGAATACACAACTCTATCCACACATCTGTTCAATCCTTCCATACCTGTAGAATTTGGAAAATTTCTAATGCTCAATTATAGGTTTTCATCACGTTCATCACCGTGATTTCACTCCCAAGTCTTAATCCTAAAATAGTTGGTGGCTACGAATGAGGTGTTGAAGCCTTCAAGGGAGTATAGGTGGACGAGAATTCTTGAGCCGCTGTGAGATTTGGTTGCGGCAATTTTTTGCGTTTGCTGTCACAAAAAAGTATTATTTGGTTGTTAGATTTCTTTGTGACGTGGGTTTGATGGCCTTGATGTGAAAACTAATTTTTGGTTAGAATTGCATTGGCTGTTAAGTTTAAAGTTTGTTTCTTGCTTGATTGGTCCTGAATTTTTACTTGAAATGTCCTATTTCCGTGGAGGATTCCAGCGATGAATGGTAGCTCCGATGGCCGATGGAGAATTTCAGAGATTAAGGTGGGGTCAACGGTTGAAGTGGAAGGGGATTGCTTTTCAGTTTTCATCGACGGAGTTGAGTGAACTCAGTAAAAATAAAATTTGTCCAGCTAATTTTGGTGGTGGCGGAGGAGGTGGGGGAGGTGGTGGTGGCGAGGGGTGGTGAGCCGCCGTTCCTTCTCAACTGGAACCCGTTGTTCCTTTGCTTAATTTCGGGGGAAAAAAACCGATTTTCCCTCTCCAGATTTGATCTTATCTTTTTTCCGATTCCGGCCAACTAGAACAAGAAATTATAAATTTTATTTTGGTTATATTTTTTTGGATTTTTTTTCGAAATTAGAAAAGTAAAAATAAATTTTTTTTACTGTGTCAAAGTTTGTGGGCCCCACAATCAGGAAAAAATATTAAAAAAATGAACAATTAACAGAGAGTAGAGTTAATCTATTAAATGTGTAAAAAAAATTTTAAATAGATCAAAAAATATTTAAGGAGACTATTTTCGACAATTGAAAATACATTATGACTCTATCTTGTTACTATCAAAAGCTGTGAGACGAAAAGTATATTTTGTCCTTATATTTGTGCTACTTTAGTTTCAAAATGATTATTATTATATTTGAAATTCTCATTAATAATAAAAATTTAAACTAAACAATAGAAAATATATGTATCTGTACCAAAATCAAAAGACTTGAATGGAACAATGTAAATTTTCATCAAAATTTAATATTAGGGGGAGGTAAAGGAAGCACAATTTGTACTTGTTGTTGGTTGTGTGCGGTTGGGCACTCCAGATTCTGTGCTCTTGAGGACCGTGCCTGAAAGTTCAAATTTACCGCCAATATGGCGCTGGACGTGCACAAACCATAATGATGCGGCCAATTAATTTTGCCGACGCCCAAACAGTAATCAAACACATGAGAAGTACTCCCTCGTGACCTAGTCTCAAGTTATAAATTTAAATTAAATTTAATGTTAATTTATGCCTCCTAATTAAAAAAATGAGCATTCTTTTGTCAATGAAAGTGGTGTCTTAAGCACGCGAACAAGTACTGAATGGCAGGTGTTTCATGAATGATAGAAAGCGTATTATCGTTTCTAGTATTATTCTTACATTTAGAATTAAAAAGAATTTATTAGTCGTTTTTGGGTAGAGGGGGAGAGAGTGTTTTTGTAATTTCATTTTTGGTTGTGTAATAAAAGTTACAAAAGACTTCATTATTATATCCGCAGATAAAAAATATTATAGTGTCTTTTAATCGGTCTAATTCCATATGACAGATTATTTAATATTTTTTTTTAGGCGGCATCCGAACCTTTATAGTGAGGTGGAGCCTACTGAGAAAAAAAGTAGTACTATTAAAGAATGACTCTATTTATGTGCGCCTCTTGTTTGATGTATATGGTCTTCCATAATCAATGATGGTAGGCCTATGTCTATTAATTAATTACCCTTTATGTTTACAATTACTTGCTTTTCGTGTCCGCAGTAAAGAATTGAACTCTCAACTTCATAAATAAGGATGCAATGCTTTAACCACAAGAGTAAAACTCGATTCTTAATCATCTATTGATGATAAAGCAAGAATTCCAAATAAATATTTCTCAGCTTTCAAGCGGTTAGAGTTTGGTTTGAATAAGAAAAATTTAAAATATATTTATTAAAACACCTTGCAACTTTGAACACCAATAGGGTCCATAGCTCAGTGGTAGAGCATTTGACTGCAGATCAAGAGGTCACCGGTTCGAACCCGGTTGGGCCCTTTTTAAAAATTTTTTTTTTCCCCCTGAAATACTGGTGACCCCTCTGCATACCAATCTAATAGCCCATTTTTGTGCCACAAACTGTTTTTTTAAATTTTTTTTTTCCCCTGAAATACTGGTGACCCCTCTGCGTAGTCTTCTAGTCTTCTATCAACATAAGAAAAGGGTGGCACCCCTTAAACTCAGCATTCAGCAAGATGTATGTGTAGTTCAGATTTCAGAGGTACCTTTGTTGATGATTGCCCGGAAAGAATTTTGAATAGAAACATATTTCATTCTTTGCCTTGGTGATATACAACACTGAGGCCGCCTTTCATTTAACTTTCAGTATCATACGTTTTCACTTGGGAGTTTGGGGAGGCGACTAATTATACAGATTGCTATCGCATTTTGTAGCAGTTCTCTCTTTACTATTGCCGTTTGCCAAATTTATGTGCCATGTCTTTACCAATAACGCAGGACGAAAAATGGTTAAAGTGTTTAACATTTGGTTTATTTGTCAGCTCACTGCATCCTTGTCTCATATGTTATAACATTTGCCAACATCAAGATCCTTATGAAAAAAAAGATAATTAACGCAGCTAATTGTTCATCTGCATATGCTTCGGGATTAATATGTCATGTGATGAATCCCGTGATCTCTCTGCTAAAAATTACAAAAGTAAATACAAAATGATTTGAAATTCGTCCTGGCAATGGAGAGGTATTAGATAAACATCAAATTCCTGTTATCAGCGTGGATCTAGAACAGCCAGGTTGAATCATCAGTGGACCCAGCTCCAGCAAACCATGTCTGGTGGACATGCACCCAGGTGAGGCCTTCTGCTACAGTCACGCCCTGGATTCAAAAAATAACACTCTGCATTACTAATCATGCAGTCTAAGCGCATCATCTCTTTTCAAAGCAAACACCAGAATCTCACCTTTGAACTCAATAAAACTGTTGTCAAGCAACACCTCTGCTTTTCACCTGCATGTAACACTCAAGTCAGTAGATGGAATGGAAGAGGGTATACATTGGAATGACATTTGATGTCGGCATCAGATAAAGTCGATAAAATTGTCACCCTACTTTCTTCTGTTCATCACGCATTCACCATGAAATCTCAGAACTACATTTGCACAGATATGGCCAGGAATACGAAGATAAATAACTCAGAAAAAATATACGCACATGAAGAGACCATTCTTAGGCAAAGAAAACCCACCGGATAACTCCCACTTCTTGTACTTCACAAGCCATGAGTCTGATCCGACCTGTGTGGGTAGAACTTGATCCACCCACACCCTGTAACTTTTCCCCTGTTGGTCCCCATAGCAGTTTCTTAGTGCATCCACACAGTCACCAAGAGATTTCTCAACACCCGAAGGATGAACAAAGACACCAGACGGACTCTGCAAGAATAGAATGGTAACTAAGTAAAATAAAGCCAATAGCCAAAACAAAGACAAAAACGTTCATTCAACAACCTGGGGGATATCTTCGAAAGCAAAAGCTTAGATATCGATAACACTACTGATAAAAAAAATTTAATTCCTTTTATACATGGTTCCCTGCACCATGAGCAGCATCTATTTTGTGAATTAAAATGAGCCTTGAAGATCAAATAAAGGATAGGCATTTTCTTGATAAAGAAAATTTTATTTCTACCTCAAACAAAATATCATTCGCAACCCAATTACCTTAAATAGCTATTCTCATAATCAAAAGGACAAGACATGCTGGCAGTACCGAATAAGGAATAATGCAGAAAAAACCATTAGAACTTACACAGACGACCCTCATATTTGCTAAATAAAGCTCAGACTTCTCGACTTCTGCACGTCTCCATTTCTCGACAAACAAATTAAACTTTACAACCTCATACGCAGGATCAAACTTCTCCAGATGAGAATCAGACAAGTCTGAGACATCCCTCGGAGACACACTTGGACCGAGTTTAAAATGGCCAATTGCTTGTATAATACCAGCTGCACACCTCTCTGTTGCATGAATGATTTTGGGATTATCTTTAGCATTTGCAGCATGCCATTGCAACAGTTCTTCCTGGGCATTACTGACCTACAAAAATGTATGCACTTTCATGAAATAGCCTTGGACAAATCTTGAACAATATGACCAAAATGACCAAAATGTTGAAGTTAGAGAAATCACCAACCATGACACCATATACATCTGGAATGCTAAATAGTTCAGCATCATTTCCGGAGTCTCCACAAACAAGGGTGTTGTTTGGTAATTTGGACTCAGCCTTAAATTTCTTGAGCAAATATGCAAGCGCTTGCCCTTTGCCAGCACCTTGCGGTAAGATATCCAAGTCCATCCCTCCACTATAAATTATTTTAGCATCCAACTGCATGATGCCAAAGTAGAACAAGATTTAAGAACTGCAAACAGTAATTGTCTGAATAATACTCCTTCAACACGTTTAAGCTGTCCACATTCCATAAAAGTGCTATCTTACCCCACGTCCTTCCAACCGTGCAGCAAGAGATTTCATTATATCTTGAGCTTTGTCTTTTGGAACATAAAAGCTGACTTTATGTGGCCGCTGCTCCGTTTCTGACTGCACAGGAAGAAAATCAACATACAGGAAAGAATTGTCAACCAAATAAATTTTCTATTGTCCACTTTATGCCACTGGTACAGTTAATGACTCGAATGGCCACAAATAGAAGTTGCATGCCTACCTGAAGAGTTAACTCAGAAAACTTGCTAGTCTCTTCGGTGACTATCTTTCTATCCCATTTCTGGTTTAAGAATTCAACCCAACCATCATCAGGCACCATGTTATTACCATAGGTAATTTCTGTTCCAACAGACATAATAGTAATATCTGGGGTCAGCATGGGCTTCTCTTTCCTCAACTCTTTGTACAATGTAGGAGACCTCCCAGTAGAGAATACTAGTAGGGAATTATCTCGAAAATTGGCTTCCCACAGAGCATTAAACCTAAGCAGAGACATATTCTCAGTATCGTGATGATCAACCTGCAAGGCAGCAGTTGTCTCGGATGAGTCTAGACATCACCATGTAAACTCCAATGAGTAATTGCCATCGACACTTACAAAGAAAAAAAGGACAGCTCACCATTGTGTGATCAAGATCTGAGACTATCATAAGGCGTGCAGAACCAGATAGCCGATCCATAACTGAATCGATGCCAACTACCTTCTGCAAATAAATACAGTTCAGTCAGATTAATTACTTATAATAGTTCTACGAAAGTGACACCCATAACAATCAAATTTAAATTACACTGTCAACTACAGTCGGATTAAGAGAATTTCAACCAGTACAATTTTATTCTACTCATCGAAAAAAATGGGGACAAAAGAATCATATCAATTCTAGGGCGCGCCGAAAGAAGAATAAATTGCTGTTCCAACAGAATAGAGATCAAACACAGTGAAGCGGCGAAAGAAGAATAAATTGCTGTTCCAACAGAATAGAGATCAAACACAGTGAATCTAGCGGATGAGATATAATGTCTAATTCCTAATCCATGATGCTTTATAACTGACAGCATGAGGTACAGTGATCAAATTGCATCTTAGGTATACCTATTATAAAAATAAAATACTCAATCCACTCAATTTAAACACACACACACACAAATCAATTTAATTTCACATCCTTTTTCCTCTTTTCCCTGTAAGTAGTTAGTTACTCACTGAAACGTATCGATTCTGATCAAAATCGAAATCCTTTCATCAAGCCCACACGCGCAATCCCATATACAGATAAAAATATAAAATCTAAATTCAGCGTATGCCAGCGTATTTACGAGATAGAAACGAGTATAAACAATCAAACTCATACTGTATCGCGCATACACAGATCACTAACAATCAGCCATCTTATCGCAAAGAAAAGTCTGCATAATCAAACGATAAAATCAATCGGTATTCAAAAAGAAAGGAAAAAAAAAAACCCAGAGAAACAGAAACAAAGGTAAAAGAGGGGAATCTACCACGGGAAGAGGGATTTCTGGTAAGGAGGAACAGCGAGTTGGGACGAAACGCCACCCGGAACGAAGAGGAAGAAATGAGGATGGCCTTACAAAATGTATGCAGTTATAATAATTAGGATTGGATTTTTTGGAATTGGGGATGATAACTGGGGATGGATGGAAACCAATTCTGAGCATTCGATCCAAATTCCTTGGCGCTTCTTTTGTGAAACTCTAAGCTTCAACAGTATTTTCTACTCCGGTTTAATAAACCAAATTATTTCCCATTTTCTGTTTTTTTTTTTTTTTAAATGTTGGGAGAGGTTGGGTGGCTGTGTGAGAGCCGTCGATTGACTGTGAAATACTCCAGATGGACAGCCATACGAGGTTGGACAAAGAATATTCTGTTATTCTTTTCCCAAATAAAAACGTCATTTTGTTATGGATGTTACTTTTATATTTCCATCAAAAGTATTAATGGGAAGATAATAGTAGAAACATTGTTCACTCACTTTATTCTCAGCCCTATATTTGACACTTGCTCTCTTCTTGCCAAACTTTCTTTGCTTTTCTCTTGTACTCCATCAATTTAAAATAGAGTAGTGATTGCTGGTTATGGAATAGTTAAAGATTCAATCACATCATTTCTCGTAAAATTTTTTGTTTAATTTTTCCTGTATGTATCAGTAAAGTAATTCTTATACTCTCTCCGTATCCAAAATATTCTCCAGTTTGATTTTTCAGTTTTACTAAAAATTTGAATTAAAAATGAAAATATGAACTGAGCAATAATTTTAAAACAGAAAGAGTATCCGTTTGATATAACAATTATTTTGAGACTGAAAAATACCCGTAAATTCACCAATTTTACATCATATAATTGTAAAATACTTTCACTGTCTCAAAAAAATGGTCTACATCGAGATATAAAGAAATAAAGGAGTATTAATTTTAAAAAGACCAAAAACATATAAATAAAGGAGTATTAATTTTAAAAAGACAAAAAACATATGTTACCAGCACTCTGTGTTTGAACTCATTGGTTTGACTATTTAAACTTGTTTGTACTTTAGACTTCAGGGAACAAAATTTTAGTACAATGGATTGAAATTGGTAAAAACTGATCAAATTTACAGGTGAAATTATTATTCTTTTCCCTTTTTTTTTCAATGCTCGACCTGTTAAGTTACTTGAACCAAGGTTTTTAAAATCCCGACTTTAAGTCTTAAAATCTACGATTCTACGACTTTAATGTACTGTATCGATTCTAAGTCTACTAGAATTTTAATCTACGTTAGAATCTTAAAATCTCGCTACAATCTTTAAAATGGTTAAAATCTTACGATTTTACGATTCTAAGAAATTTCACTATTTGAGAATTTTTGAGTTTTTTTATTAAATTAAATTTGTGGGGCTGAATTTTAAGCCATAAAATTTTAATTTACAATTTCACACAATGTAAAAATCACAAATTACTGATGAAATAAAAAATTAACTACAAATCTACAATACCCATCACTTTTAGTCTTTCACGATTTCATTTACTCCTCGTCGGGAAAAAAAAAAAGAAGAAAACACCGTTTCCTCTTCTGAAAAATCGCCTTTCTATGATTGGGGATCCCGCGATAAGAGGGTGTATCTTCTCACGATGAAAATCTTTAGGGATGGAACAAAAGCTTCAATGATTATGGTGCTGATGATCATATTGATGATGATGATGAATAATTTGGTTTTGAAATTGTTGTTGATTTCGAATATAATTTTTTCAAGTTTGGTTCTTTTAGGATGTGTTTTGATGTTGGATTTTTTGGACACAATGACAAAAGTTGTAATTATATGTTCTAATTAAATTATTGGAGTTTGAAATTGTGCATTAACTTGTAATTTGAGATATTTGATTTTTCATATTTGTTTATCAATTTGTAACTGCTGATGCGAGTATTACCTAAATTTAAGTATCTGTATTTGAAAGGCATAAATGTCAAATGAAAATAATTTTTAAATTACTTAGATAATTTCTATCATAATAACTATTATCCCAACAAATTTAACAAACTTTTCTTAGAATCTACGACTCGCACATGGAAACGTCTTACAAGCCATTAGAGAACTTTTCGCGGGACTGGGTAATTAACCTCACACATGCACATTGAGAACGTAATTTCGTAGGGGATTATTTAACCTTTCTAGTGGGAACGAATCCAATCAGACTCACCCGGTTGGATTCGCCACCACCAGGGGTCCGCTGGTGGCTTAACCACGACATCTTAGGAGTATCTTATCTCCGTTCCGTTGTTGTATAGTGTTTTGAATGTATTATTTCCTTCTTTATCAAAAAAAAAAAAAAAAGTTTACGCTTTGCGATTCTAACTCCAAAACGATTCTAGTTAGAATCCCGACTATGGGAACCTTGACTTGAACAGAAGAGAAGTGGCGCCACCAACTGAAAAATGACGATGGGCAAACGGGATGAATGATTATGAACCGGTTTCACTTATTTGGTACTTTTGTCCCCATATTAACATTCTTACTGGGAGAATCATCAGCCAGAATCCACGGATCCCTCCTAATCCATTATCGGTCAATCACTATATTCCCAGCAAATACTCCAAAAAATTTTAAAAAACCCCTCTACCAAAATAATGGGTCGGCTATCTCCCACTAAAGATAAAAGCAAGCTAATTTGTCTCTTCCCCGCCTCTTAGCCCATCTTCCTCTTCTTGTTCAATCAGCCTGCTCGGTATTTTCATCAAGCTGCTCTTCCTTTCTTATATTCTACATAACTTGTTTATCTGAAATTTAGACTCCATTTCCAATGGCAACTGCTGCTTTAAAGCCCCTTTCTTTCTATGCTTCAGATAAATTGTGTGCTGGTTTTTCCAGTTCTTACCAGTTGAATGGTGGGTTCAGACCCACAAGCAAAAATTCCAAATCTTTATATTTGAGCAGGGATGAATATCTCAAGAATTGCAGAATACGTATCTTGAGAAGTGGGGTTAACTGTTCTTTGCTGCCTCCTAACGGATGCAAGAACTTACCTGACAGAATTCGACACCAAAAACGGACCTTGCGAGCTTGTAATTTTGTTGAGCTTGATTTCGTTACGACTTGTAGGGATACCAAGAAGAAAGGGATGAAATTGGTTGGGGTGAAAGCAGTGGTGGACGCTGATAAAGTGGCGGAGAGCAATGGAGTTTTGGGAGGAGTAGAAGAAGGGAGTGGGAACTATGATGCCATTGTTATCGGGTCTGGGATTGGTGGTCTTGTGGCAGCTACTCAGCTGGCTGTAAAAGGAGCTCGGGTCTTGGTCTTAGAGAAATATGTGATCCCTGGTGGGAGCTCTGGGTATTATGAAAGGGATGGTTATACATTTGATGTCGGATCATCCGTAATGTTTGGTTTCAGTGATAAGGTTAGCATTTTCTTTTCTTAATACATGCTCTCTTCTGTATTTCTTTAAATATATTAGATTGCATTTTTATTTCGTAATTCTTAAAATTGTCCAGTTCTAACATTGCTCAATTCAGTGACTTGTACCAAATTAAAATGTGCAAGTTAATGTGGAAAAAGAAATGCTCTTAGTAAGTACATATTTATGCGAACTATTTCAGAAGGTACTGTTTTCCATTGATGCTCTTCGTTGTGTGGTTGTGCTGCTCCTTTTGTTGGCCTCCATCTTGTAATGAGCTTACTTTAGAGGCTAAGTTATATTTGTCATCAATTGCAGGGAAACCTGAATTTGATAACTCAGGCTTTGGCTGCGGTGGGATGCAAATTAGATGTCATACCTGACCCTACTACTGTGCACTTTCACCTACCCAACAATCTCTCTGTCCTAGTACACAGAGAATACAGTGATTTTATTGAAGAACTCGTGAGTAAATTTCCGCATGAAAAGGAAGGGATTCTTGAGTTTTATGGTATTTGTTGGAAGGTTTGTTTTGATTAAGGTGATTAAATTAAGCTTCAATTTAACTTTCTCAGACTATTTGACTCAGAACTTACACTGAATATACAAATCTATGTTGGCAGATTTTCAATTCCCTCAATTCAATGGAGTTAAAGTCACTAGAAGAACCGATGTACCTTTTTGGACAGTTTTTCAAAAAGCCTGCTGAGTGCATGACGCTTGGTAATTTCGCTGCTTTATTATTCTTACTTATACAATGTAGGTAATGCATGGGGTTGTAGAGCTCTTTCTTAATGCTTAGGCTGGATTTAGTTTCTGCATCTATAAAGGCAGATGATGTAGGAAAACTGTGAAACACGTTTACTTGGTTTGTATTTTGAAGGCATTTTAAAATTTGCAGAAGCAGACTGTAGGCCGACTTCACATTGTAGGATAACGCCTGGATGTTGTTATTAGACCTTAAGCTAACTACAACCACAGCATGTACGATTATGACAAATAATTTGTTCAGTATTTCCATGTATTGTTGAGTATGAATTTTCTATAAAGACAACAAACTAATTTGGTGATTCAACTGAAGTTGAAAACAAGAATGTTATCCTGCGTTAAAATGATGGGGTGGTTGCTGTAAGAAGAGCTGTAAAAGCTGCAATGATCTTTTTGATGAAATTTCAAGCAAAGATTGGAGAGATGTAGAATTTTAACTTACTCTGCTTACTGGCTTTAAAGATAGCCAGTTCCGAAAAATCAATGTTGATTTTTTACTCCGAGAACATGAGAAGAATTGATTAGTAACCCTATCAGCATAACTTGTATTGTAAGTTATATGGAAAATCACAAAGAATATATTCTTATGTCATGCATTGGGTGCTTCTTACAGCCTACTATTTGCCCCAGAATGCTGGTGACATAGCTCGGAAGTTCATCAAAGATCCAGAGCTGTTGTCCTTTATAGATGCTGAGGTTGGTCGATTATTCTTTGATCACACACACTTCTCAGGGTTGTGTCTGGTTAGCTATTAGATATTCCTGCTAGCCTCTAACAATATTTTCTGCTGTAGTGTTTTATAGTTAGCACTGTTAATGCTTTACGGACGCCCATGATCAATGCAAGCATGGTAAGTTGTTTATACTTTGGCCAAATTATAGTTTTAGTTACAGTACAATCCTTTCACCTAGATTTTCTATAGGTTTTATGTGACAGGCATTTCGGAGGAATCAATTACCCTGTTGGTGGCGTTGGCGAAATTGCCAAGTCATTGGCAAAAGGCTTAGTTAAGATGGGTGGCAAGATACTTTACAAGGCTAATGTGACAAACATTATCGTCGAAAACGAAAAAGCAGTTAGTTAACTACTTTCCTGATCACCGTGGATTTGCTGCTTGTAGTGTAGTATAATTTAGGTCTTAAAGCAAATTATCAATTTACTAATTCTCCTTGTTTTTTCTTTTAGGTGGGTGTGATACTGTCAGATAAAAGGAAATTCTATGCTAAGACCATTATATCCAATGCTACAAGATGGGACACATTTGGTTAATTCCCACTATAAATCGTTTCCTTAAAATTCAAGACATGGTTTTGTTATTTGCCAAGTCTTTTTGTTCTCTTCTCCGTAAAGATTATATCTGATTGTAGTATTTATTTCATTTTCCAGGAAAACTTTTGGACAGGAAAAATCTTCCTAAAGATGAAGAAAATTTCCAGAAAGCGTATGTCAAAGCCCCATCCTTCCTTTCTATTCATGTGGGAATTAAAGCTGAGGCTTTACCACCAGGCACTGACTGCCACCATTTTGTTCTCGAGGTTCTGTCATATTTAAAAGTGAAATTCTGTGTTCTCGATTCTTCTTTTGTCTTAACATCTGTTGCTCTTTACTGAAGGATGACTGGAAAAATTTAGAAATACCTTACGGGAGCATATTTTTAAGTATTCCCACAGTACTCGATCCATCATTAGCTCCAGAAGGTCGCCATATACTACACATATTTACTACTTCCTCCATCGAGGACTGGGAGGTAAATTTTTGTTGTATATCTTGATTTTCTTATTCAAGAGTGTTGTAACAACCATATGTTGATTAGCTGCATGCATTTCTCAATTACCATTAAGCAACTTCTTTCAATTAGGGACTTTCTGTAAAAGACTACGAAGCAAAAAAGGAGCTTATAGCAGACAAAATCATCGGCAGACTTGAAAATAAACTCTTTCCAGGACTGAAGTCGGCAATTGTTTTTAAAGAGGTATGGGTATGAAGTTCTGTTAGAGGTACATAATTGAAAAGCTTACTTCATGAGGGAGGTAGGGGAAAGGCCTACTCTAGACTGATTTTGATCCTCGGGACCTCTTTGGTTTTTATGCATCAAATAGTATGCATGTGTTTGAAAATGTTCGGCTTCAATGATAGTTTAATGCTTTTTGTCTCATGCTCATATGATGCTAGGTTGGAACACCAAAGACGCATCGCCGGTACTTGGCCCGCGATAGCGGTACCTATGGTCCAATGCCACGTAATATTCCTAAAGGCCTGCTGGCAATGCCATTCAATACAACGGTAGGTTATGTAGTGTTTACTTACTCAAAGGCTTTTCCTGGTACATGTTACTAAAACTTCTGACTTGTGCCTTTATTTCTGCAGAGTCTAAATGGCCTATATTGTGTCGGAGATAGCTGCTTTCCAGGACAAGGGGTTATAGCTGTTGCTTTCTCTGGAGTTATGTGTGCTCATCGAGTAGGTGCTGACCTAGGTAAGGATCAACGATAAGAATCCCTCAGTTATTCTATTATTTACGAAAAGGTTGTGATGTGCCGTTTGTAGGTAGTTTAGACCAAGTTGGCACATAGTTTTGTTGTCTTCTTGATTTATGTCTAGTGAGCAGACCTTTTTTTCCCCTTATTTTCCATAGACTTATAAATAATCTTCATTCATTGACCTAAAGGGCTGGAAAGGAAAGTCCCTATATTGGATGCTGCTCTCCTCCGGTTACTTGGATGGTTGAGGACCTTAGCATGAGAATACCGTTTGACAGAGGAAGAAGGGCCAGTCAAGACATTGGCGGGAGTTCTCAGTTGATATGCAATATATATAGGAACTATAATGTTGCAGAACTGATCATTCTTGATACTATTTATTCGAAAAGGAAAAGGAGAAAATTATAACTAGATTTCCTTAGATGATCATGTAGTTCAGAGAATTACTTCGCAGCAGATGTAACTACGTTGAATTGCTGATTGCTATATCTGGAGAATGTACTCTTAGCTTCCATCTGATCAATGACCTTGAAAATTTTGTAGATATTGGAAAAGCTATTATTATATACGTCAGTAATATTTGTTGCTTCTTGTCATTGTCCCTTGCACTTATAAAATGTAATTCTGACTTTTCTACATTTACTACTTTCAGGAGTACTAACTGAGCTCACATCATACACAATTAAACCTGTTTTTGGGATACCCTGCAAACAAACTTTTTATCACGCTTCATATTCACAAAATTTGTAGAGATGGACGATTTGTCCATCCTCATATTAATCTCAGCTTGAGCCGTGAGACCAAAACAGATGGTAGAAAGAAGAATCTAGCTTCAGACCAAGCAAGGATTTTGGGGTTCTCCCAAATCAAAAAAGGTGTAAGAAAGAAAGTTCACTGATTACCTTGTCATTTAGAATTGCTTTGCCGCAGATGACAACAATGTCATTCAGAATTTAATATTGCTGCGGATGAAACTGTGCAGATTGTCATTCAAAATTTACTCTGCAGATCCTAGGCTTGGTTGTGTTATTGTTTCCACTATTGATCCATTTAAAGATTTACTTGACAATTTTTTCTATATGTGCTCAGAGGAATACTAATTGAGCTCACCAAATCATTACAAAATTAAAGCTGTTGTGAGTTTTCCTGTGTGCAAACTTTTAATTAACAGCACTACAGATACATAAAAAAATGTCCAGAGAAGAAAAATTCGACCCCCGTCCTCATCTTGTCTCAGCTTGAGCTTCAGACCGCACAAATCATAGGAGAAGAAGAATCTAGCTTCCTTTTTGATACATTTGAATCCTTCTAAGTATGTAGTTTCATCCTTCGCAAAGATAGGTAAGCCAAGAATCTATAGCCTACAACCATGATTGCCAGCACAGTGACTTCCATCCAACCACTGTCTGTTGTTATCCCATTGATTGTGTGACTTATGTGTTCATACTGGACCTTCAGGAGCAGTTTGTAGGTGTGATAATTAAATGAGAGATACCGGAGCCATGCTATGAAATCTGGTACATTCTGCAAAATGAGCTGTTGTTAGCTTGATGAAATTCTTAGACATTACTGTAATCTTGTTAGTTTTCTGGTTTATACACTCTTGGTTTTAGGTTGGTTTATTCAATGTCTCAGTGCTCCACTTGATTCACCATTGTCCAAAATTTAACAATCTGTATTCTTACCTTCACAAAAAACCCGCCAGCCAACATGAAGGTCATCACAGTCACTGAAGCCAGAGTTGTTGCCCTTTTGAGATCCATCAATGTAGCGCCGATAGCTAGTCCAAATCCCTGTATTTCATACACATTATATTCTGATGCATATCAGATTTTGTCATTTCTGTACGAAGGCGGTGTCACCAATGCAAGAATTGCATACCTGAGCTGCTACAATGCACAGGAAAACGGTAAGCATTGTGAGGAAAAAAGAACCGGCATTGATCCTTAAGCCTGCCATGAAATATACCACCAGAAGGAAAAGCACTGGTAATAAAAGGTCAAGTGGAAGATCACTGGTTGTCCTAGCCACAAAATATGCACTTAATCTGTACATATCAGCTGCTCTTTCCTTGCTCAGCATGGCTCTTTCTTGAGGGAATGCGAATATTGCAGTGAAAACTGGGAAAAATCCCCAAAAAACAGCAATAAAAAATAGCAATCCAGCCTGCAAGTATCATCGGAATAGCAAATTTTATGTCAGAACTGCATGGAACCAATCTCAAGAGATGGTGAGAGGCTCCTTTTGTAACTTTCATATCTTCAAAGTTTAGACTTCATTACAAAAATTTGTCAGATGAAATTCTACCTAAAGAAATTACTGTTAGGTACCTGATCTTGTAGTTCCTTGGGGTTATTACTGCCTGACTGCCACCATAGCAATCCTAATATGACGGCAGTTGCCAGAACCTGAGTGATTCTCAACCAGCTGAAATAATCGTGTCGTCGCTCTTTGAGTCCCCTGCAGAATAGTATAGAATACTGCTCACACCAGCTGGCCCCCCATTCTCTCTTTGTTGAACAAACTTTAGACTTAATATCCTCGTCGATTTGCAGAGGTATCATAAGCTTTTTCTTTTCATTTTCAGCTACTCTCGTCTCATAGGCTTCCACAAGAAACTGCTTGGGAACAAAATTTTTAAAGTTTGTTACCATGTTTTTCTTTCTCTTTGCATTGATCTAGGTTGTACTTGACTACAAAGACAGTTTCCAAATATTTTAAAGAATTACAGATTAGGTCTACTCCAGGAAGTGTTATTATGTTTACCTCATGCACAATAGCAGGCGACGGCCTTCCATTTCTAGTCTCCATTTCTGAATTGCCCATTTGCACTTTGTCGTCCAATTCAGAGGGGACTGAAACATCATTCAAGTTCCCATTAGCAAGATCTAGCAGGAACTCTGCAGGGTTCATTGGAATTTGTGGTGAGCATCCGACGGATGCAAAGTAATCCATTGCTTCTGACGCCTTTCCAAAGTAAAGTAAGCTCCCATTTCCAATAAGAATCAGTTTGTCAAACTTGTGAAAGAGTCTGCTAGATGGCTGGTGGATGGTGGTGATCACTGTCTTACCATTCTGTGTCAAAAGGTCAAAAAATCTATACATCATGGATGTTCAAAACTGAAACAATTTTCCATGTTTATTACATTGATCTAGGTTTTCTCCCATGCACTTGAAGAATAACATGAAGACTAGAAACCTCATTGGAGTCATTCCACTGTCTAAAGTGACTAGAGGTAGGGTTAATGTGTTTTTCGAGTCAAAATTTACCCGCCCAACCAAAAGAAAAGGCAGACAATGGGACTTAAAATTTACCTCAGCTATATCCTGCAACAGCTCGACAATCCTTAAAGCAGTGGTGGAATCCAAGCCAGAGGTAGGTTCATCAAGGAACAAAAGTGATGGGTTGATAATTATCTCATTTCCTATGCAAACACGCTTCCGCTCTCCACCTGAAACTCCCCGAACAAAGGAGCCTCCAATCATGGTATCTTGACACCTGTGCAAATGAGAAACTCAGCGAATGGTAGTTTCAAATGAACAAGATTTTTACATAGTGTTGAATGAAGTGAACTGCCAGATTCATGAAGAACTGAACATACCTCTCTAATCCAAGCTCATATATGACATCAGAGGCACGTTTTTCCTTCTCCTGTTTTGTCAGTGTGCTTGGCAATCTCAGCCTTGCAGCAAAGGTCAGTGTTTCTTTCACCGTAAGGTGCGGAAACAGCACATCATCTTGAGTTACAAACCCTATCCTGCCAAATGCAAAAGTGTCAATAACAATAACTGCAACACATTCATCAGACTTTTTTAGATTGAGGTTTCTCTGAAGATGTTTGGATTTTAATGAACTTCAAATTTCAGAATCCTGAACAAAGTGGTTTTTACCTGCTTTTCAAGAACTTTGAGTATGGCTGGTCATTGTATGTGATTGTACCTCCTACTGTAGATTCCCTCAACCTGCCACCTAGCAGACTGAGCAGGGTAGTTTTCCCACTTCCAGAAGGCCCCATTAAAGCCAAAACTTCACCTGGATTTACACAACCTGTTATTCCATTCAAAACATCTTTCTCCACTGTTGATGTCACTCCCCTGACCACAACCTTATACGAAACATCCGTAAACTGCAACTCACACAAGGAATTCCATCCGTCATTTTTCGGTGGGAAAATTCTACAAAGAAAGTATTAGACAAATTTGTGACACATGATTGAAAATTTGGAATTCCTCTGCGAAAACTATGAGACATATCCAACAAGGCATATTTGAACTGGAATTCATGTTACTAACTTCTCTATCATCAAAACTGGGAGTGATTTATTGGAATTTTTGTTAATAATAATTTAGGGGATAGTCTTGTACAAAAAGCCATATGAAATGAGATTCTGTACAAGACTGAACCTGACAAGACATCCATGTTTAATGGGGAACCCCTTGATCGTGTAACATAAATCTCCATCCCCTGCCGGTTCGAAATATATATCAGTACCTAATTCAATCCATTTTCAAGCAGAGGACATCATGTTTTACGCCACCAGATCATGCAAAGTTCTTAAAATTATATGGAATTTTTTTTATTTTTTTTTTTATTTTTTTTTCAGGCAAAAGATGCCCATGCATGCACGAGGAAGCAAATCAATCACCTTGAGATAAATTGGCAAGGTGGGTTCTGTGTGAATCTTCTTCTTACGGATACCTGCTTCCAGGTCTTCAGCTGCAATTAATACATTGTGTTACAGGGTAAGCATAAACAGGTTTTGCTGTCCCAACATTTCTACCATTGCAGCAGACCAATAAAGGATTATTATATAATAAGGTTTAATGTTTGTCATTGAAAGCTTCATTTTAAATTTTGGTGATGTTTTTAAACTGTGTTATCTCAGACAATACAAAGTGAGAGATGGGCTAATCAAATCAATTAAAGGAGTATTAATAATCAGAGATCATTCTTCAAATTCATCTTAATGTGCTAAAACTGCAGTCAGGCTTATGATTATTATTCACTTCAAGTGTATGCAATCTTAATTCCATCTGGGCTACAACATAGCAAAAATCAACGGATTTAGAAATTAGATCAAGAACTTGGTGATCAACATGGTAGAAATACTCTCAAGTTTGTTCTGTTTAACCATATGATTATCACATCACTGAAACAATTAATCATTGACAGTAGCATCACATCCATGATTTCTGCCAAGATTGATGGAGCAAATCAATGTCAGCTGCCCGAAATTGACTTTAAGACAAGTAGCAATTAGCATGACATTAATAAGTTTTTTCTTGCTTTTTTAGGTACGCTTGTGACTCATGAGTTGTAACTGTTATATTCAAAAGCTGGGTGTGGGGGGATGTGGATGATGATATTAATATGGATAGATGGATCGCTTTCGGTCCTCAAATCATTGATCTGAATTCTCCAGTGATATTGGTAACCCCAAGTCAAATAAACTAGTAGTACTCTGTATGGAGTTAAAAAAAAAAAAAAAGAGGACACTTGCTAAACTGATTTAAGGTTGTCTCATTCAAGCTCTCAGGGGAGTGTTGGTTATCCATGGTTGAATCTGGGACCCACTTTCAGACCGGGATTCCCACTTGTCCGGAGCCTGATACAGTGGATTTGAGAGGATTACAATTTACAAGTGGCAGAATGACAAGAAGTTTTGTGGCAAAGTGTGTCGTGAATTTAGGGCCACTTGTTTTTTTTTTTAATTGCCTTCTTCAAAGTGGGAGGAATCGACTATACACATATTGCTAGACTGGAGAGGAGATGTGGACCACTCATTTTTGTCCACCCTCATTTACTTCTACTATCACTGGACCATTCCTCTGTTGACACTTGACACTAACAAGCGATTAAGCAAATCAAACCCTAATTAGTTAAGCTTAAGCATATGAATTTTCCTCCTCTTTTTTAGTCTTATGAAAGATCCATGGCTTCATCTCATTTCTTCTCTTTTCCTTCTTTTTTTTTTTCCATCTTCAAACTTCTAAGCGGTTTTGAAGAGAACACCTCCTAAGATGAGATTTAACTAAACTATCACCGTCATAGTTTTTTTTAGATGCTCCAAGATCAAACACTTTGATTCATCATTGTAAGAACTCACATATTAATTAATCGCCTAAAACAAACTACACATGGGCTTCGTTTCTTACTTATCAAGCTAGCTTTGGATTGGGTAGGTGATTAGGATTTAAATTAATAATAAAGGGTCATCATATTTGTTGGTAGAAAGTTTGTTGATATCACAATAATGCTTCAAATCATGGCCATCTGCCAATTTCTCGTGCCCACATTTGTTAACACATGAGGTTTTATCTCCTAATGAAAAGAAAAAAAAAAAGAAGCTACTGTTTAAATAACTTAGCTATATCGAAGGGTTTATTCATTTTGGTCATTAAATAGTTCAATGAATTGAATCAGTTGCAAAGTGCCCTAAAACACAAGGCAAAAACATATACAGACGCACCAATCATCATTCTTGTCCATCACACTCATCATCCACTTGGACACCAGGCTATAGCTAGCTAACAACAGTTTAGCTACCAGCTACTATATATCCGTTTTAACATGTAACCTTCTTTGTACGTAACCCGGATCACTTTCATCTAAAAGTTCTTTTCCTTTTTTTGCAAATTTTATCTAGGTTTTGAACCCAGTATTGTAATATTAGTAATTATACGTACAGTAACAATAAAAGGTATTATACGAAGTACTCCTTTTGTCGTAAAGAGAGTACTATTAAGTATTAATTCTAATTTATCGATCAATTTATTGATGAACACTAGTGTAATCCAGATTCATTTATTTGCCTTAATCTACAAAAATTAAGGTTGTAAATAATGTTTGAAAAATTTTCGTTTTTATTTTTTTTCTAATACACACGTAATCATTTAACCATGTCACGAATTCAAACTTTTTTTGCATGGTTTTAGAATCTTCTATGAACAATGAAGATTATTCTTTAAAAAAAAAGAGAGAGAGAGAGACTTACGGATATCGTCGTCGCTGAAGGGCTTAGTGTCGGCGATGTCATCGGGCGGCATGGTGAAGCCGGTGAAGGAAAAGGACAAGCCCAAGCTGGCGCTGGAGGCTCGACTCAAGGCGGCGCCGCTGCTGACGTCATCGAAGTCGAGTTTCATCTGGGCGCTGCTCCACTTCCTAATGTGGGTGTTCCGGCCGCTGGCGGCGCTCCTTCCCGGCGACGGTATGGCCAGCCTTTTGCTGGATTTCCGGGAAAGCGTTCCGCTACTAACATTGTTAACGCTGTTGGTTTCCGCTCCTCCGATCAGGGCGGCGGGACTTTCGGGATTGCTGCTCGACGGATGAACCGGCGACGGCGACTTCAAAGCTGACATGGCCTCCGGCAGTTGCTCCGACCTTGTTCTCATCAGAGATGTTGACCAGTTGGGTGATTTCTGATTGTTGTTGTTATCGGCCATCCTTCTTTCTTTACTTCTTGTCACATTAATAAATCTTTTCGATGATCAAAAAAGGATAACAAAAAATATGGTGTAAATCAGAGACTCGCTTCCACAAAAGTAAAAACTAGCATTTCCATTTTCCACCATATATTCGTCTTTCACAATATATATATATATATATATATATATATATATATACGGAGTACTATTATAATTTCACTAGTACTGAACTGCTAATAAAACAAAAGTTGATGTAACACAACTCGATCAGGGCTAGAAGTAGAATTTGATCAAACAATGCACGGAATATTACTGAAAGCGGCCGGGGAGAGGAAGAGAAAAATACTGGTCAGATGAAGGAATCAAAGAGAATTAGTGCTGTTTTCTTTCTCTTTGTTGAGTTTGAGATTGCTCTAAAGCTAGGTGATATGGAGTCGGAGAGAGAGACAGAGAGAGGGGAAGGTATGTATATATATAGAGTGAGAGTTGTAATAAAATTTACCTTTATCCAACTGTTTGAGAAGCGCATATGCATACAATAACGTCCAGGTGGAACCTTGCTATATATAGAAGGGAAGTTCGATTTAATGGTGGTAATTTGGTTTTTGTGTTTTGGATGTGTAACAGGAAATTTCCATATTGTTTGTTGCTTTCTTTTCTTAAAGCATCATGAGGTTTTAGTTGAAACGATATGTGATCCCTGCATATTTATATTTCCTCCCTCCAAATGTCAACATCACTTCTGAGGGGCACGTATGTGTAATATGTAGCTTAACTTCGGGATGTATTTGATTAAAATTACTCTCTCCCTTTTAGAAAAATAGTCCACAGTTAATATTTAGCTTTGTACCGTACAAATCTTAAAACCCAATGAGGAATATTTTTCTAGAACAGAAGGAGTAGCACAAATTTCAAAACTCAATGTGGACTATTTTTTAGAAATTGGGAGTAGTATTTAATTCTAAATATTAAATTTTTTCTACATTTTAAACACCACTTAGCCAATTAAGAAATCGTGTTTTTTTTTTCTTTATTTTGTTGATGGAAAAGTATGTTATAATTGAATAAGTTTAAACAAATAAATGGTGTTACGAAATAAGCCCTTAAAAATGCATATGATTTTATGTCTTTAATGTTGTGCGCAGTTGCGGATTTGGAGGGCTCCAACGCCAAAAAGCTCGTCCGTCTTCAAGTACCGAATCGTTTCGAAGCATGTTCTAATTGGCGTAGCACATCTACATACTGTGCTATCTCTACATTGTGCAACAGATTTCATTTCACGCAACATTCATTAATTCATTATATATACTTTTCTCATTGGTCCGTTATTTATTTTTCATATTCAACACCCATATATAATCATTGTAATGTAAATAACGTAAATCATTTTGAGACAGGGGATTACTTGTTAAGGAGTACTACAATATACAAAAAAAAAAAAAAAAACAAGTAATCCCCTGTCTCAAAATGATTTTCAGTTTTTCATTGTAAATTGAAACATTTTTTTTAGTTATTTTTTTTTGTATATTGTAGTACTCCTTAACAAGTAATCCCCTGTCTCAAAATGATTTTCAGGTATTTATATTTATAGTATAAATTGTATTATAAGTAAAAAAATTCAAGACAATTATTTTCAGATTTGAAGCATACATTTTTTTTTGCACTGTTTACTGTTGGGCATTAAAAATATTTGGAAATAGGAAAGGTGACAAATTTCCTTCATTCTCCCCTCAATAAAATATCTCTAGATTAAGAAGTCTTTCTTCAACTTTCTACGCCGAGGTTGACAATTCTAAAAATATTTCTTCTCTATCACAGTTCCTAACATTAGTAGTTTTTTTTTTTTTTAATAATGAAAGAGGCCGGAGTCTAAGTATAAGAAATTCAGTAGTATTTTTTCAATGTAGGAATTCCCTCTATTTTTTGTCATCCTACGCTCACTTATAAAATGGCATGCTTCGCACCAATTAAAGTTACTTCATCTGTTTCTAGAAAAAATAATCTTCATGACTTTTTAAATTTATACTTTTAATTTATAATAAAAGTAGTATAAATTTCAAAACTCAATATAAACTATTTTTTTGGGACATAACTCACATAAGTAGTATTATAAACCTACATTGATTATACATTACTTGACGTTGTATACATACAAGCGCGGGGTGTGGTGCGTGATCATTGTGGTAAGTAGCTTGGAGGATTTACTATGAATATTGGCTATTGTGCAATCATTGGTGTGGAGTTATGGGGGCTATTTCAAAGTTAAAATTTGGCGTGGGAGATGGGAGTTCGTCGTGTGATAATGGAGATTGATAGTCAGTGTGTTGTGAAGTTGATACAGGGTGAGGAGGAAAGTGCCGCGGTTCATGGTAGCTTGATTAAAGCTATCCGGGAGTTGATGAATCGTGATTGGAAGTGGTGCTCCAATATGAGTTTAGAGAGATAAACTTTGTGGCTGACTTTTTGGCTTCTCTTGCGGTATTAGGGGCAGGTGGTTTTTTAAGGTTATATGATCCTCCGCAGGGAGTAATTTCTTGGTTGGAACATAATATTATCGGTGTTTTCTACCAGAGAAGTGTTCTAGTATCGTGATCTAAGCTTTTGCCTCTTTCATTGTTAAAAAAAAAATTAAAAAAATAAAAAAGGCGTTGTATACATACAACAATATTTGAACGTTTCAAAACTCATGATAGAAGAATGACAACAAAAGGGAAACTGAAGAGACGATGTGGAGGAATTATTCCTCGTTGACAAGAAGACTATGATAGACTATGCTATATGCAAACAAATAAATAAATAATTAAAAAAAATCCTCTGAACGGTGGAAAATTACTCGTTAAACTAATTATGAGATCGAATATTGACCGTAAACTATACTGGTTTTCATTTTTCATGGTTCATGCAATTGGGACAATTCTATCATGCATGGCACACTGAAAAACACTTGACATTGTGTAGAGATGTCATGACGATCTTAATGAAATTAATCATGAAGCTATAAGAATTCAAAGCTCAAACATTCATCCGATGAATCATTAATAAACCTAATTTATAGGAAATCCATGATTATCAGAGCCGAACACGTGTTCGTCGCGCTTCATCGTTCTATCCTTTTTTTAAACAGCTTTTGATGTGCTAAAGCTAAAACACCAGACATCATCAAAGCCCATCAGATGGTGAATATGTCGAATTAATCTGCTTAGTAATGTATAAATATGTCGTTGTTATGTTTTGGTTATGCTAGCTGCTTTAATTGCTAAATAAAAGCTGGCAATCAGTTTTTCCTTCCTTTCTTTCCTTACAAGTCAATATCTGATGAAGCTTTTGGCATTAATTGTTTGGTTAACCTCATCCCTGATAAAAGCCAAAATAAAAAGAAATGAGCGATTGGCATATGGACCGCGACTACTAATGAATGAATGATGATAAATCGATAAATAATGTACGTACGTAAAGGCCAAAAACCAAAAAAAACTGGAAGACAAAAATTAATTAAAAGGGATGGCTTCGATGAGGGATGATATGAGAGGTTACCTTGCTAAGAGGGCATTTAATTTTACACAACCCAAACTTCAAGAGTACGTACTTGTCATTTCTACCAACTTTGTAGCTTTCCATTGATATTGGTACTACACGCATTTCTGTGTCTGTCCCTCCGGATTTTCCATTTTGGTTGCATTATCCCCTAAAGCCTTTGCAAATCCGTCAGACGTGATGCAATCAATATATATATAGCCAGACAATGATGTTAATCCCCCACTCCCAAGAAAGTTATTCATTGTATGAGAAAGTAGTCGGAAAGAATAATGTCATCATTTTCTCGTCATGCTTACTATATATTGGCATTACGAATGTTATTCAGTTACCTGATCGAACGAAATTTTTTCTTATTAATGAGGCTGGAATATGCTTCATTCGTCACATTTTAATAGTTTACCTAAAATATTGTATTCTTTCTGTCTCAAAATTACTGTCTAATTTGAGATTTCATTTTTAGTATAATTTAAACTAAAAATTAAAATTCAAACTGGATAATAATTATGGGACGGATGGAGTAGTAAACTACTTAGTACTTCTTATTGTTTTCATGAAACCTATGGTAATATTCTCTTCGTATGGACGAGGAGATGTATCATTACGCAGATCTAACTGCAATGATATGCTCCTGACGCCTACCCTATGTGTTGAGTGTGTGCCCGACTCAGTGGAGATGGTTGGAGATTTCAATTATGAATCCGGTGTGAAATTAAATACCCCGGAAGAAATCTTTGCTATATATACTTGATTTGATCAATTTAATCACTAATCCCATCAAAATTATCTTGTCTATAAACATAGACCCTACCGTTCAATAATTTTGAAAACATAACACGAGTAATAGAAAAATACTACTGAAGTTTCCAGTGTCTAACTTGTAAAATAAGGATAATAGACGGGCACCCATACTAAAAGTACTCTCTGATTTTTGTGATTATTATGAAAATTTCAGGATAGGGAGAATGAGCCTTTTCATCCCAAGTTTTGAGCCACACCATCTAAAATATCCCAAAGTTTAAAAACATGTTATTTTCATCCCAAACTTTTCAAAAATATGTAATATTGGGACATTTGTTAATTTTTCAAGTTATTAATGGCGATATTTCATTCAATTTCTTTTCTCCCATTTTTTTTAGTCAAAAAAATTTCATGCTTGCGTTTGGTAAATTTCATCCATGCCAAGCAAAAAAGATGCATGCCCTATATCAATTACAACATCAATTTTTATAATGATGCTACATATTTAAAAAAATAAATGAAATAGGGCTTTCTTTCTAATTAGGACACACACAAAACCTCTGATGATTGTTATCAATCTAGAAGGTGAATCTTGGATTTTTTTTTTCTTTTTCTAAGCAAGGGAAGAATGGATGATGTAAAGACCAAATTAGGTTTAGCTATTTTCTTATAAGGTGGGAGTTAATGGAACGTGTTAAATGATTAAAAGAATTAGGGAAGGAGAAACAGAATAAAGTACCACCACTAATTAATTAATTGGAGTTAAAACTTTAACGAATATCCTATGTAACATGTTTTTTTAAAGTTTGGGATGTAAATGATATGTTCTTAAACTTTGAGATGTTTTGGATGGTGTGGCCCAAACTTTGGGATAAAAAGACCCATTTTTCCTTTCTGAATATAAGATGTAAAAAGTATGGTAGCTGTATATAGTACAATTCACCTTTAGATTATATGTGAATTTAAAATGATCAGTTTTGATCGAAGTTTCAGACACCAGATATGGCTAAAAATAGATTGATTTTACTTCTCATAACTTATTAAAATGGCTTAAATACCTTTAATTTTTTTCGTTTCCCTCTTTTCTTTTAATTATCCTTTTTCCTTGTTAAACAGTTTAATTTTTCTTCACAGATCTTGTAAAAATCATTAAAATAAACCACAATCGTTAGGGCTTTGCAAAATAATCCATAAATAAATTTTCAAGCATACATGAATTTAAACTCTTGTTTCAAACTATTACGAGGTTACAATATGAAAATCAATAGGTTAATGATGCTGATTATATCATCAAGTTTTGTCATGTCGATAGTTTTCTCTTTTAGCGTAATATGTTCTGTCGGCAGTTTTTTTTCTTCTTTTTTTTTTTTAAAAAAAAAGTTGCCCACAAGATT